GGTGCAAAGGGTTATAGTGTGTGCCGTAAAACTCGTGCGTCTTCGCATTTGAAAACCAAGTTTTCTTTGCACAGTCTAAAATATGGGTTAGCATAAAATAGCACTGTACGAAATCTCGTTTTCCTTAAAATCCCTCGGTCGTATCACACTTTTATACTAAGAACGATCACGTGATTTCTAGTTGTATGACACTTATATAACTAATTTCTCATTGTACATGGGTGTAGTTTACAAAGAGGCATTTTCCGATACAAAACGAACATTTTCATTCTTGGTACTTAGCACCTCCTTTTTGAGCCTGTGCCCCTTTTTGGCATTTATCATGTCAGACCCTTTGCCTGGAGTGTCCTACAATTTCCAACTCCGCAGTCGCCTTGAACCTACTTACAAAATTCATGAAACACATGCTCGATTTCATAGTTGCGCAACTTCCGTATGCGTGTCATTGCGCTAGTGGTGGGATATTAATTAGCACGGCTTCTCATGCTAATACGCTTACATTGCACAGAGAGTTTCTTTTTTAGCAAAATTTCCGTAGAATATTTTTATGCAGACGCCGAGGTTTTAACAGGTAACTTACATAGCTTATAATACCAGTTTTACTGCTGCCTCAGTTGTTTCAAGGATACTGAAAACCTATTAATAGCTCCTTAGGTACAACACTTCCAGAATTAGGAGTCGTGTCCGATATGAGTATACACCTATCGTAGTCATGAAATAACCGACACTTCCGGTGAAGGCTATCTCAATTTTATAATTCCTATCTCTACAAACACTTTGGTGCTTCGAACATTGTTTTTGGACTGTTCGAACCTTTCAGATCAATAGCGAATTCCATATTTATGCGGGAAAAAAACAAACCAGAAAAGTCTGTCATAACAAAGTAACGTAATGCTTCACTTCGTCTTTCTTTTTACAGGAAAGGGAAGAAAAATAAACTTTCTATGCCTCAATTCCCGCCATTTGCTAATTCTGTCTCAAAAAGAACTAGAATATTTGTTCTACGAAATACCTTCTATTGTGCACTTGTCCGATATTGTGGACGGTAGAGACATTTCATAGATGTTTTTGTTTATATAATATTTTACTTCACATCCGTTTACCTCAGGCTTTTGTTTTCCTGCCCCCAATTGAATCCCCACAGGAAGTCACCTCATTGTTATGTGTGGGATTGACGACAAGAATACTGCCCGAGAATGACATACTGCTTTTTGCAATGTAGTAAACCACGATCGGCTACGGTTTGCTGGCTAATGTCTCACATAAGCTTCTCTTAACGTTGGCAGCGAATACTTCATACCATATATATATATATATAACGACCGGAAGCGAAAGCGCACCGAAAAGAAAATGAAAATTAAACGATCACAGGTGGAATCCGAAGTTCTAATGGATTTGCTACTCTAGAACTTATGACTTGAGGGAACGTTCATTCAGTAGGTTAAGCAGCCGTTGTGTCAAGCCTCGAGCTAGTCGAACGCGTGCTGGAGCGGCCTATATTAACCAAAACCAATAACCGTGTCGCGTGACCCCAATATGCGTAGCGTCGAAGTTAATTGCGATGTCACATTTACGACTGGAAGCGCTCTAACCGGGAAAAGGGGGGGATGATAGAGGACATGTCGCAGAAGAGTTATCGTCCTGTCATCACATATCGTTTTCGAATGAAGGCAACGAGACTAACGAAATGATTTTCCTTTGCTGTGATTTTGCGATCTATACAAAAGAAATGGATAAAGCAAGCAAGTGAGCCTTTACGGCAGTAGAGAAGGGTGATGTGTTCATCGAAGGAATGAAAACATAATTGAAAATCGTTTAGCTTCTCTTTGCTCCGTGCAAAGTGTCATACTTTGGGCAAAGTGAGGTCTAGTAGGAAACTTTAAATGTGTCAAGCTTTACGTCCGTCACCGCCGTTAGCCATTCCACATCAGTTGGCTAGCTCCCATTACGAACCCAAATATGTCAATGCCCGTGTTCGAACCTAGACCATCACGTGTCCTTCAAATTGCTAATACATTGCGCTACGGCGGGGGATTTGACAGGAAAGTCTGTTCAAATTAGTCATTATTGGCAGCAATGCTAATGTAATATATATTATATTAGCGTAATTATTTTTTGTCAGTTTAACGGATCTTTCTAATTCTGTTACCATTTAGAGTTACCGAACGGAGTGATATATATTGATCTTTCTAACCGCACGCTTTTATAGTCAATAGATATATAGTATATTTCATACATCACAACAATCAGCCATGTGTACTATTCTGTCATATAATATTTTCAAAAAGTCTAGTTAGAGTGCGGTAAATGGGGAAACCTCAGCCGCCATGTGATGCCTTCAATTTCACTTTGGTTGGAGTCGCTAGTCCATTAAGAAGAACGTACCTCGCGACGCAATGCGGCGTTTTTCTCAAGGCAAATCATTGTACGGTACCTAGCAGCGTCATTTGATACGTACGACGGCAATTACTTTGACGTTATTTTTCTGTATCTACAACTGATTTAGTCAAACTGTGATAACTCCCCATAGTCTACCTGGCTATTACGCTCGGATATTAAACGTTTCTCGTGCTGAGGTCGCCCGTTCTTTTTTTGTAATTTTACCGATTCTCGGCCTGATCGTACGCGTCCTCTATCGAATCTATCAAATGGTCACGCATTTATTTAGATTGATAGAATTTTATCTAAACGAAGCTATAGAATGCCAATGCAAACGTTGTCTACTTAATGTAGCTAAGTTATCACCTATTTATTAAGTATAGCATGAAGAACTTAGTCCATTGAGTCTAACAGGGGGGTGAATGTTGCTGGACTTACCGATTTGCACAACGGCATGGCGACCATACAAGCAGCTATTAACCTAAATACTTATACCTGATCTTCTTTAATCTTTTTATTTTTCCTTCATTTTTTTACTTTTTAATTATTATTGTTACTATTATTACTGTTGACCTCCGCGGAGATTTCAACCAACGTGGTAGCGTTAATCGTGATTACCACGGCAATGCACTCAATAGGATTCCCATAAAGCACCCAGATCACGCCATAGCGTATATTGTAGATCAAATAGGGTGCTTCTATGTGCGCCATATAGATCTGGAACACGCTATGGGTGTAGGATTAGAATGTTGAAATTCTCAGCGTCCAACGAGAGCTGCATGTTTACTCAGCGCAGTTATTATTTATAACTGCGTCAGATTACTGAAAGTGGAAATGGTAAAGGCTGAAGCTTTTGATAGCATTATTAGTAGTTTTTAATGATGTTAGGTCTACTTGGATATCGTTTATAACCTTTTCTTGTCCGCAATACCGGTGGTAAGCGCGGATGACTGTTCTGCGGCACATACTGTGCACTATGGGCAAAGTGGGATCTCTACGGTGCAGTGGCAACCCTATGAACATATGTGATAAATGATCTGTTTGTTAAAGAATCGCTTAAAATCAACTAATAGTGTTTATTATTACTTGGCTCTAGTTTATGTGGGTTCGTTGGTGCGTTTATGGTACAAAAATCGGTCATCGGAAGCTTGAGCAACTGTAGCCCACTCGTAAAAATTGGGCCATCTACGGAACTGACTACAGGTTTTAAGCATTTAGTTCTATGATTCATTATGGATAAATTTTAAAAGCTTATATCTAAAATTTGAATCCCCCTCCAATTCTGTAATCGCAAGCTGATCCCAATATTCAGACCACATAGAATTTATTTTTAGCCTCAAATACGTGCAAATGTTCTTACCCTTGCATATTTCCCTATCCATCACGCGTCATGACGTGCCGTACCGCTAACGGAATTTTTCTGTATGCTGCATTTGTATGTTACATGATGCAGATCACATTTGAACAGTCTGTTTCTATTCATCGAAGCATAAGAAAGGTAAAGGGCTCTTGGGACAAAAAGTCTGAACGCGTTCGGTTCTAGACGTTGTTTATGTTCATACAACATTTTCAAAACAACGTCCAACATGAAGAACCATACATGTGACTTAAAGTGTGCTGTACAAAGGTTACAGTCAGGGTCTAGGATCGTCAATTATGTAATTGTCAAGGCAAAAGGTCCCTATTTATTGTTTATCGCTAATCTTACACTAATAAAAATAAATTAGACATCCAACTGAACAATAAACGCCAAGAATACGTTGAATACCTAATGAAAAAAACTATATAACCGTTGTATAACAATTCCATTCAAAGTTCACTACTAAAGACACTACAAGTCGAATATATATACATATATATATTATGTATAACATGCAGAGGTCCGCCATGTTTACGCGTCAGATATACAGATTCTCAGTTGTCTTACAACATCAGTACTAAAAGCTGTCATTCCTGATATCGTTCAGAGCATTACTGTACGAAAAACGAGTCGTTCTTTGTAGGATCTGAGAGAGATGCTATTAAACATTTAACATATTTCTGTTTTAAACAACGAGACCTTTAGTGGCTTTACAGTGGGGGTGAAGCGTACTCAACAAGTTAGGCTTAATCAAAACGAAATGAATATAGCAATATGACAAGAAGATTTTGTTTTCTAAACACATTCTACACTGAACATTAAAATCTTTAACTATTAGTAATAAAATTCCGAAAATTAATAAATACGATGCTGCTTATTATTGAAAAACTCACACCGAATAAAATGCAATCAATCGATATCGATTGAATGGTAGTGCAATCAAAGAATCTGAGCCTTAGGATTTTTCTCATAACTCACAATGTCTTCTTTTGCCACACGCTAGCAGACAAACAGAAACCCTCTATACTCCTTTATGTATATATATATATAGATATATCATTTTTGTTTGTAATTATTGTAAATCAGTGCAGCAGCGTTAACCAACGAAAACCCGTATCATATACACTTTTTCTAACAACTGAAATCTATCAATACCGATATCCCTCTATCAGGAAATTTTAGAAAAGTTTTTTTTTTTTTTAGAAAAGGTAATTTACAAACTGTATGTTTGTGTGCGTTCACTTAATTCTTCCCGTTTCAGGCATGTCCGTACGGAGTTCGAGCGCAAATCGCCTGAGTAGCTTATATGATTCGAACGGGACTGTCCCTCCGAGCGGGGTGACCCTCGGAGGATCCTCGCTACATCGATCAAAATCGTTCGCTTCGTCACTCTCTCTTCGAAGCAACTACGATGAAGGTAATTTTTGTCCTGCACATTTCGTTAAAGCTTACTAGAATAAACGTGGTAAATTGACGCCGGATCCAATTCGAAAAATAGACAATTAGAACTAGCACGCATAAAACACGCGATTCTTGGAAATAATAATAATGTTAACTATGGCACATATTATGAGTTTTCCTTTGTTGCAATACAAAAAAAAAGAAAAAGCGTCCATAATTTGTTAATCATTTAATAATATATCAAAGTCTTTAATGCATTGAGTAATCAGAAGCGGATCCGGCGAACTTTAAAATGCAATGACTTCAGAACTAGTTAAGCTAGAGTAATATGTGTTAAAGGCATACCCCTGTATTTTTTGCAATAATTCCTCAGCGCTCTGACAACTTCCAGATAAGTACATACCTACCATTCGCATCGTATATGTATTTTTTCTAAAATCTTTTTTCCTTCTTGGCCTTTTTGAGCACGACAAGCTCCGTAATCAGATGAATTCGAATCAGGAGAATAAACGGGTTAAAGCCAATATTGTATACTTTTTACTCAATCCAGGAAGTAATTGAGCAATGGCAATGGAGGCTGACATTGTCATTAAGTATCTAGACTGCGTGCTTTCAATTGCCGTACCAACCACCCATGAGCCTCTTGAAGAAGTGGAGATTGCGGGCTTCATTTAGGGTTGCCTTGTCTTTCTCCAGCTGGCGGCAGAGATTGAGAATGCATCGTCTATGACTACCGTGAGCTCCAGAGGGCTTTCTTTTTGTTGACTGAATTGTCGTAAATGACACTACTAGCCTGGAGTCAATTCACAGAAAAGCTTTTACTCCGCCATTATTGCCGCACTTTCAGTATTTGGGGTATAATTCTGTCACATATCACAGGTGAAATGTCAGTTTTGGTCAACAGAGCTCTCAAACTTCAAGCTTTCGTGAAAACCCTGTTCAATTGCGGCAATGCATTTTCGTCCTTCTGGTGCCCACATCTGGTCATCTTCTCGCTGGCTTTCAAAGCGTCAGTGTTCGTCCTTAAAACGTTTTCCTCATTCACGTACCGTGCATTCATTATAAGATAAATCACATCTCATTGCCTAACGTCTTCACCAAGCTTTAGTGCATTTTCGTTGTGCGGTGGCCTCCAAGGAACAAAAATTTGATAAGTAAACGTTGACATCTGACATGCTTTTCCTTCTAAGTTAATATATTCTGTACTAAAGTCAACCGGTTTGCATTCGATGGTTTCTAGGGGACCGGAGTATTTATCAATCACATTTTGTCTGCTAGCGGCGCGCAAAAGTTATTTAATTTGAAAGCACGCCGGATTTGCTTGTAACAACCTAATATAATGTCGACCTGTGCCCGCTTCTGGCAGGACAGCAATTTGATCTTTCTCTTTAGGATTGCCTTGAAAGCTCTCGTACATTCAATTCCTATATGTTATGATAATATAAACCAAGTATTACCAGGGCGATGTTGTGTTAACAGACTCCATTTGATGAATCTATCTATTTAGCATGTTTACGATGGTGATTAAGACATTTTTTCTTCAAATGCATACAGCCAATTACTACGAACAGTCTCTGTAGGCCATGAGCTGACCAGAACAGTCTCCCCGTATCTGTACTGTATGGTGTTTGTGTTGTCAATTATTAACATCTTTAGCCAGCCCCATCAAAGTCTACTATTTGCATGTTTTTGGTCAGGGATGTCGAGAACGTAATCTATGAGAGACCAAGGAATCGCGCTTACCAACTGACCGCAGTCTGCGGCTCTGTTCTGTACGGCCTTACATATAAGCCAGACAGAAAAAGACAAATGACAAGGCATCCAGTTTTGTATCTGTGGTAGAGGGATCTTCAATTATGACGCTCAATAGATAAACATAGACGATTTTCGCTCACATACATAGTTCCCTGATCTTCTCAATAGTATTTGCCGTGCAACGCCTCCATTATCATTCCTACAACGCTCTGGTTATTAAATGCCATAAAGAAATTGTCATTCTGTATGCGCCTATTGTCACTACTTATTACAGCGCGGGGATGTGCGTTCGTGAAAAAAAGGTATGTATAATTCCAGTTTGGATAGTATTTAGCTGAATTAGATACTAACTATAGTAGTCGCTAGTACCAGCACCAGATCCAGAGGAAACCTCAAATAGTGCCGGTCTATATTATGCTTATCTATCTCTATCGTTTGCGGTTTGAATTACTCGTAATACCATAATAGTACTGAATGGTACGGGAGCGCTAGTTTGCGTCAGCATCTCCAGTTTGGTCTATATATACATACATATGTATATATACGCCGCTTTATGGCACTAAGCACAGAGTTCGTTGTATGTCGCCGCACCTACTATTGCCTAGATGCTAAATGGAGGGGCAAACTTTTTTAATGAAATGTGCTGATTTAATAATGCACTGCTAATGTGCTTAAGAAAAGTGTTATATGGTGACGATAGTTCTTGTGTACCTATCATACGAAAGCCAACCTGCCAGCAACTGTGGCATGTATTCTGGCCCCAAAACTGAGCCGCTAATATTCGTAACGTGGAGAGCGGTCCTTTTACACAAGAACAACTGCGCGATTGGAGAAAACAATGACGTTACACAAGACGACGGCGACAATGATACCGAGCCGTTGTCGGCCGCTGAGGTCAGTGATTACTGCTGAGTGTTACTTCAAACTTGGAGACATGGATATCTTCTACGCAATCTTTCTCTGGGAATCTCGAAAGATTTTCATCATCTGGACTCGTTACATCTAATGAAGTTAGTTTGTTATGTGAATATATATATCGGTTGAAATTGGTTCCTGAGAACGTCCAAATGTTTGACTCGTTTCTGTCCTATTGTGCGGCATTCTCCAAGGAGACGCACGGAAAGTTAAATGCGTAATTGGCTCATTGAACGGAGGCTTCATTATTGACGACAAGCACTTCGCTTCTAATTCAAATGCGATTAGACTAGCATGATTTGACGAGCTTCGAAACTACTGCTAGATTGTAAATGTGACAAACTGTTATCTACTATAGTAGTATGCCATATGCTCCATGGATCAAGACTTCGTGATGCGGCTCTTCGGCTCGCACTCGTAAGTTGCATTAATACGTTAGATCTGCTCTGAAAGGCAATCGAGTATGCAATACTCTGTGAAAACGAGAAAGCTTCCATTTAGAGTGCAGTGATCATTCTCCCGTCTGCGCCTCGCTTTCACGAATTTTGTGATTGTACCGTCCACCTGCAGTAAAAGCAAAGCATAGCTGCAATGTGACTTTCGTATTTTCGCGCCGAGCTGCTGCTTGATTCAGGAACATGCGCTGGTTGAAGAAATTCCAGCAAGGTCGCTTGAATAGACCGGCCGTCGATGTAACTTGGTCACAGTTGCAGCTTGACAACATCACAGGTAAATTTATCATATATCTATTATCAAACCTACGTCACCTAATTTATTAATGACTGAGGTCGGGTGAAACATTTTTCTTCATTTTTTGGTATTTTACTCCCCCTGTTGCATATAACCCGAACTTCCAGTGAGTTCCGGATCTGACCTTCGACCATGCAATATAATCTTTTGACAATTGAAAGTGTATTTTGATTTGAAAATGCACTTCATGCAACAACAAGATATATAAATAGCTTATTAAGATCCAGCTAGTGAGCTAAATGCTCAACGGTCCATGCTCCATTAATAGAAATTAGTGACTCGTCGCAACAGAGTGTAATAGCACTAGTAACGTAACCGAACTAAACGTGCGTCATTATTTATTATAAATAAAATAATATGTCCCTATCCGTATACCATTGTCTTATCCGATAGATAATTATCAAGCCATATTTGATCCAATCAGTTATTTTTGATAGATGTATATCCTTCAGCTGTGCGAAAACGATAATTTTATCTCATCTTAATGCGGTGGTTTCCACATTGGCGATATATCCATAGAAAACTTTGACGTTGATGCAGATATCAGTAACAAGCCCTTGTATGTAACTTGCTTTTGTTGGTATGCAGTGATGAATAGTAGAGGTAAACCTTTTTAAACCAGCGTAAGCTATCCAACCTCCAGCAGGTAGAAAAGTAATGCTGTTCTAGTAGTAACCGAGCTCACCGAGCACGTAAACACTCAACTATACTGTGTATCTAGATATATCGCGTAAATAGTACATGTATCTGCTCTAATCAAGTCGGTCCTTTAAACGGACACCGAAGAAGGAAAAGTTATTTATCCGTTCGAAGTCACCGGTCCGTTGTATTCTCACAGGGGCTTAATGATATCTCGATGCAAATTTTTTTGACAAAGCTGAGTAAGGTGGCTGGCGGACAAAGTCGAAATCAGATTTGCTGTGACGGAATCGTGAAAATTTCCATCTCCAGTGCTGAAATCATCGTGGTTGCATACTGCCATTTAGGAACTTTTGAAGTGACAACAAAATTTGTCTCAAAAAATATTACATTTAGAATGTACTTCAGTTAAATATAACGTATGTATTTATGGAACAGGATAAAATTCCAATTACATTTTTCGTATTTTTTTAAATTTTTATTTCTTATTTTTTATTCTTTAACTTTTTTTTTAATTTAACGTATGTTCAGCAGTGTCTTTCAGACAATATCTCTAACGATTTGGTAACGACACTTGGTGATTCAAGTTGCAATGCTATATGATAATAGCCAACTACAGAAATGGTATCAGAAATAATATCAAAATGTTATTGGCTGAAAAGTATCAGAAAACGCACCTGGCTCATTTACGAGCAGATTTTAAGCGCGTAAATCTTGGAAGACCTGTTAAGCTTGTAAAGATGAACTCATGTTTTTACCAGTCAGACTGGTGTATGAACTAATTGACCAATGGGCTTCGTGTTTCCAACTAACGATGAAATCTTCTTGTGAGCATAACCCTTCTAACAATAACACTCCTGTCAAAATGCTATTAGCTAAAATAGTGTTGCTGCTCTTTATCAACGAACACTTCGACTGGCGAACCGCCCAAGCGTTCCTTTTGCCTTCAAAGCAAGTGCGAATGCGTTCATCCGTCTGTTTTTATTCGTGTCGACTGCAGCGCGACGTGGCAAGAAGTTCCAAGGAAGTGGTGCGGATCGGCAACACAGACGATCAACTGCGTTTAACAACAGCTGGTCAAATATTAGCTTGTCTGCTCACGACGTTGCGGTCAGCACCAGGCTGCGAGCCAGGGGCCAGCCAAACAGACGATTTGATTGGTTGTTCTAAAAATCTCCGCTGGAACGAACGAAGTTTCTTTTGCTGGGAAGACTTCCGGTAGTTGTCATCTGTTTAGCAACGATAAACGTGCACCGAAACGGACTGTGTATTGTTTTAGGAATTTTTGCAATACGCAGAGAGACACGATCCGAGCAAAAGTGACCATTGTTTTTACTAGTTAGACATATACTGTCCATGGTCAACCAGCCTGTCTGGCAAATATAGAGTTATAATCAAAGTAGGAACAGACGGGCTCTTCTTCTATGTGACACTATTAGGAAGTGACGAGAATCCATATACCATTAATTTGAAGTTTTTTTTTAAGTGTAAAATACAAGACGAATCAACCTTTTGTGTAGTGGTGCTAGCTTGATACTTCCGCGATAGAAATTCTGTCGCGGCATAGACCGAGAGCAAACCAAAAAACGATGGCTAAATGTGAAAGCGTAGACAAGGATCTGGATAAGCTTCTTGATTCGGCTTTGGATGACTTCGACAAGCCGAAAACGCAACTAATGAGTGCGGCTGCCGCTGAAAGCGTTCAAAAACAGCCCCTGGCTGATGGTGCAATGCCAGTAACTTCGGAAGTAGACGCAGCCAAAAGTGTGGCACAAAGTGGAGGAGGCACGGCCAACAATGACGCAGGCTCTGTCCCAGAAGACGAGAGCGCTGCATGGAAGACGGAAATTGAAGAAATTATGAAAAAAATTATGGATCAAAATCCGTTGTTTCAGGAGTCGTTGAGTAACATTGCTCAGCCAGCGTCGAAGACACCTAGCGCCACAAATGAGTCGGACTCTTCATCGACATTCCAGGAAACGTTGGACACAATCACGAGGGCCATTCAGCAATCCCTGCCGCCAGCTGAGAGCATTAATGACGGCGGCAGTTATCGCATGCTTGACCTAGATAAACTTCTGGGTAGCTTAGGCTTCGGCGGTGGAGATAGTGCCGCAGGCAGCAGTGATGATGTCGGAGGCTTTATGCAGATGATGCAAGGAGTCATGCAGAATCTACTCTCGAAAGAACTCTTGTATCCGGCACTGAAGGATTTAACCGAAAAGTACCCGAAGTGGTTGGTCGAAAATCGTGACAAAACGCCGACAACAGACATCGTTCGCTACGAGAAGCAGTTGGAAATTATGGTTAAGGTGTGTGAAACGTTCGATGAAGAAAACGACGCGGATAGTCACGACATCCGGAAGGAACGATTCGAAAAAATTCTTGAGCTGATGCAGGAAATGCAGAAGTGTGGTAATCCTCCGGCAGAACTCATAGAAACTGGAGAAGTCGTTCCGGGTGTTCCATCGGGACAGTTACCGAATATGCCAACTCCGCCGCCTGAGTGTAGTCAACAGTAGTTAACGTAGCAGCTGCAACGGGACACAATAAAGTAATACTAAAGAGTAATTCTGCTTTGAAAAGTAAAAAAAAACAAACGCTACGGTCACGTGGCTGTAGCTAATTGCTCTTTGAGATGACTCATTAAAGGGATTTTTTTAAACAAAAAAAAACACAGTAATTATACAAGTCTGTGTAAAATCTGACGGTGATTCGTCGCAATTGGTGTTGTTATTTGATTTGTTAAAATCATTAAAGAGATGCCGGAGTGCGTCGGTGGATCAGAGAAATTAGAGAGCTAGTGCTCGAAAATACTTAATGTTAAACACCAAGTTACATACAAATAAAATGGTATTATCTAAATTGAGACACGTTGCGGTTGTTTGTTGCGTGTGATCGCGTAAATGAGCGTATGAGTATGAAATGTGTTTAATAATAACTAATGTATGTCGATTGGATATGGAGGAGATGATATTAATGGATGACTCGCTACCCTACATTTGTTGTAAGAACCACAACAATTCTGTAAGGATAATGAAAGGGCTGGAAGCTTGACATGCGCGATTATAGAACTGTGTATACGTCAACTGACGCAGACTAGTGATCACGTTATGTTAACAAACATAACCCGCCATGCAAGTAAATTTGTTCGGCTTGGTGTTTTGCATTTATTTTTGCGCAAAAAAACGCCGACACGAACTAAAATATAGCGGTACGGACTCTATAAATTGAGACCTTCTGCTTGACCGTGTTTTTGTTTTATTAAAAACCCGAAACATTTAGGATTTATGATGTCGTTCCCGGTGGACTAACTCTGCATAGTGCCTTTATATGAGCTTGGAAACTTTCCACATCAAGTAACGGGAGATAAGGGAAATGCGTAGTGTATGTTATTTTGCAGCTTTTCTGCCGATCTGAAATCAGATGGAACACGGGAATTTCTCCCCGACTGCGATTCTCCTCAGGCAGAAGCTGCTTGTATATTTGTGCCAGGTTCTAGCAGAGCCTGAGACATATATATTAAGGGTGAATTTGATTGATTATAATATTATGCTAATTTGTACAAAGTGCACGATTGTGAACTATTGGGGCCAGCTATCAAACCAATGAGTGGTGGAGCCGATTTAGTAATGAATGTTGAACAGTACAGCTGACAGGAGGCTATGTACCTAGCAACTGCAAATTTCACAGAAAAACCGACTTACGCACAAGAATGATGATAAATATGATGATGATTATTATTAAGATGTGCTTCTACATTCTAATTAAAAATACACGAATTATGTGAAAAAAATATGTAACAAAACTAGTATATTAAGTGAGAATAAGCAAACGAGATAATAAACAGAAAAGCTGGCCGCTATTTTCTTTAAAGATGTGTTGTTCTCTTCGATCTATTACACAGGCGGCTTAATTAAAATGAATTTTCTGGTGATCTAATTATATGGGCTGGGTGATTTTAGAATTTGTTCAAACGTGGAAAATATTTACTGTTTTTCCTGATATCACGCAAACACCCGCAACAGCATCATTGGAATGGTAAATGAACGAAGGGCATGAAAATACAAATCAGGCTTTGTACTCCAATATATCGAGACGCTATATATCTTAGGCACATTATGGTACTGGCAAACGTTTTTTTGTGTTTCACGAAAATCCTATTTTTTAAAACGAAGAATCTTTGCAAATTGAACCATTTACTGAAAAAAAAAACGCTAGCGCACAAGCGCAAGGCGGATTCAGATAAATCAAGTTTCTCTACGCCTGAAGTGCTTCCCGGCCTATCGGTACGCAATATAATAGTAAAATATCGCCCACAGGACGCTGAATAATAAGAATGAAAGGTAAGCAACAAGTCATGCACGCTCAGATTCTAGTAAAATGTATTCTGCAATCACGTCCTATCTTTAATAAGCACTAAATCTTCATGTTAATAGGTCTCACTCTGTACGTGATTTTCTGCAGACAGCCGTATTTTTGGTGTGTGCGTACCACAAGTTTGTCGGTAATTGTAAATATCATTTACTTTATTGCCCCAACTTAGTAAACTAAATTTAGCAAAAGAAAATGACAGGCTAATAAACCTTTACTTACAGTATCAAATATTAAATATGTAGATGAAATCAGATATTTTTGCCCAGGAAGAAATTAAGGTAAGCAATCAACTGTATTAGTTGATAGCTGAAATAGGATATTAAAAAGTTAACATTCTACATTATATGTAAGCGTTTGCCATGTTGCTGTTGCCGATAACAGCGTCAACTCAAAGTGGGGTATTTATTTGGAACTTCGGATCATTGATATATCAATTACACTTAATGGTTGCATTTGCATTCTTACCCTCAGCAAAAATGTAGGCATCTATCCTCAATGATCTTATAGACAAGCTAAGTAATGCACTTTTTAAATGGAAGTACGGACGTTTGCTTCGCGTGTGAGGTCAGCCGTTTGATGCATTGTTGACACAGTTTTGGACGTAAAACTGGAATATTTATATTATATTCGAAAAATGTATCTTTTATGACATGACTGACTCCTTGAATAGTAAACAATTCTTAGGCCTCACGGTCCTTGACGCTAGTTGTGCTTTAATTTTCTCTAGCTTGTGACAAGCCAACCTTGCCTACTTCACTTCTGGTGTATTACGAGTATGTAAAACTAGCATCGAGTCCCACTTATATACAGAACAATGCTAACAATCAGCAACTAGAACGGTTACGCTTTATTACCTATATAGATATTCAGTTAGTATTGTAAACCCGTAAGCTATCTAACTGTATTCAAATATAGTCTCCTCTTTTTTCATTGAGTTCCGGCTCCTTAGATAACTATATGTTCGCTTTCAACCTCATTCGAACTCGTCTATGTAGTGCTTAGCGTATGCATATATTAGCGTAGACCCCTTTGTAGGCCTTTATATTTAACTAAATTGTTGACCGTCAGATTATACCAATGGCCAATAACAAGTAACCGCCTGACCATCAGATAAGTGTCGACGCTACTGTACGTAGATCCCCATACCGGTGTAGTGTGCACATGCTTGTCTACCAAACCTAAGCACATCTACATAAATCTCAAGTCAGCGTTAACGTTCAGCAGCGCCAGACTGGCTATCGTAGACAACAATTGCTGTTAAGAAACAATTCTCATTTTAACTGTAGTCGCAAGCGTTGATTTCGCCAGAGCGTAGTTAGTGTATAATTAGTGGAATAGCAACATCAATATAGAGCAGTAGCAGCGTGTACGACTCTCCTTAATACAGAGTTCACTTATCTTTTACGTAGTAATAAGTATGCTACTTAACAAATTATTCACTTTATATATACATAATGAAACTTCAGTTGTTGACGGCTTAAATTGTTGGATCTTATTGTTAGGGGGCGGTGTAATTTTTGTGTAATGAGTTGTGGTTTAATAATATTTACTGATTTCGAAAGAGTCTGATCCAACAGAGCGCTCTTGCAGATTTTCCGTTGTGTTACTGTTGTTGTTTTGTCTTTTTGTTCTGTTTTCTAACACTGCGCGAAATGTCCGTGGTTATAGGCGGCGGCAGTGGCGGCACACTCGGCCGATATCACAATAAACTTATACCCCATCCAGAGCGAACGTGTGAATTGTTCGAAGCTGTGCTCGATGGACTTGCGTAAGTTAGACAGGATACAGAATGGCTTATGTAGGTTATGAAATAGCTAGTTGATCCTTTGTCTAAAACTGCTATTTTACATAGGAACTGAGACATTTTTAGAGGTTTTTCTTCGTGTTAACTGCAGTAAACTAGGTTACACCTAACCTAAGTCTTTATTTTAGGGGTTCGAAAGATTTAAGCTCTTTGTTGTCCCGAAAGCTGATTTAGATTCAATGCGTTGTATGCACGTAATTATTGTATTAATTATGTCGAATTGGTTATAAATATACAATCTTACGTCAACAAGAAGTCTATACCAATAATCTCTAGCGTATATGGCGGTGTACAGAAAAAAAAATCTCTAAGTTCGAGCCCAACTGCGTATAAGAACTAGGCTGTCGTTAGTACAAATTAAAATTCTGGTCTAAGCGCATTTCGCCCGTTGTTCTGGTGAATGGCAAGCCAAAAGAACCAATGCTTAAGGACAGAGGTACCGGACATAAAAGACATTAATTTATTTACTTAGTTGCTTAGCATACGCATAAAGGATTTTCATCTCTTTTACGTTCACTTTTTTGATATTTTATTTTTATTAATTTATATTTTTTATTTATGCTCCAATTAGCGAAGTTATCTTTTGTTGTTTATGCAGGGACTGCATGGATGTTACTAGCGAAGATATTCGCACAGCGGAGATGTCATCTAGGGGAAATTCCCCCAAAATTGCTTTTGTTGCCTCGCAATATGTTCAGCGACTGGAGGCCCAATATGATGAGGTCGAACGATTGCGCAATCGCTACCTTGTTCAGAAGCAGCTGCGGGATGGGGCTAGTGAAATGGGTCGCGCATTCGTCACCTCGTCGCTAGGCAGAACACGAGAAAAGGTACGTGTACGTTCAATAGAACAAATTGAATAGCAACAAAGAGTTCAGTCTGTTCTAGTTTGGCTTTTGGGAGAAGTTCATTAACATCATTGAACACCCAATTCAGAAGCGCATAATGGAGTCCTATTCCTACATTAGCAATAGGGACTTAGTTAGGTTCTACTTGAAATAATTTGCTTACGCTAAATAAATACTGCCGATAATTAACGATGTTATTACTGATTCATACCACCAAGAATATTTGTACATACGCAGTCTTTAACAAACATTTTTTTTTTAAATTTAATTAATGTTAATTGAACTCTTACAGGCGTTGAAAGGTATCCGAAACACGTACAGGGAGTGTGAAATGACAATGAAGATGATCGAATCACAGCTGGAGACCAAATGTCTGGGCAGCCTACATCTACAGATTAATGCTATGCAAGGCTTTGCTAGAGTTTGTCCAGGGGACCAATTCCTCATTACTATTCGACATGGAGAAAAAAAATGGAAGACGCGTGGAAAGGTGCATGTTACTCCCTGTGAATTCGCTCTGGCCACAAATGACGTTACCTAGAAATTGGTGTCCTTTTAGGACGATGCATGACATAGAAATTCTCATTTTTTATATCATGCATTCTACCACCTTCATAATTTAAGTTAGTCAATCTTTACCTATTAAAAACTAAGTTTAACTAAACACAAGGTGTCCGTAGCCAATGTAAAAAATGCTTCCAGCCGGTGACAAACGGTAATAAATCAGTCTAGAAAGGTAATATTTTTCTTTACAACCAGCCTTGAGTGATGACCGACAGGACCTAATCAATAATATAGGCATTTGTTCATGGTTGCCAATGGTAGTTTGAGAAGCCGCTAGTAGCAAGCCAACTTAAAACTTTAAAAATTAAAGAACATTTTACTTCAATACTAAATGTGAATGTGACAGATTGGAAAGAGTGGAGCTCAAACCTGGGATAATCGTGAAGCGCAGTTTCGGTTAAGTTCATGGTATCATCTCCGGATTAAGGCAGTCGAACTAAAAGGTTTAGGCCGAAGTGTGCAACTGGGTGAGCGCATCTGCGAGGTCCCGAAACTGATGCGTGCTCAAGCGCAAACGATGAACGTCAAATTTGGTACGAGTGGAAGTCTGCAGCTAGAGCTTGTTGTCGTTTGGAAGTAAGTGCTTGTCCTGGAAACAGCTGAATCATTATTTAAAATATTCTTCAATTCAAATTTATTTTGAATATTAATATAACTGAACAAATAAAGCACTATGCAATTCTTACAAGAAGCGTAAAAGCCAATCTGTTGCAAGTTTCTTCTGGGTAAGTAAGTAACTTGATAATGTATCCCGCAGCAGGCGGCTAAAATTAGCATACTTCTGTCATTTAATTTAATCGTCTGTCGAACGTTTGCTTACAGCCCTCTGCATGGAACAGAAGAGTTAAGCGATACTATCTCGAAGCGAAGCAGACCCGTATCCGCCTACCTTATCAACCAAAGTGGACTGGTCATTATTTAAGAGACAACATTTTATCGAAATTTTACTCATCTTTTATCACTGTAACTTTAAAACACAAAAAGATGATCCAGTGCCCACATACTTGGAAATACTTTCAAATACTTTAGTGAAAATTATTTGACAGACAACTTGGAAATGGTTCGATGACGCCAAAGATGTTTCCTAAATATTTGTTTTTTCTATTTGTTCATTTTGTATACGTTTAGCCGCCCACTCCACCGTCGAGTGGGTATGCTAGCAAGTCTCCTGTCGCCTCCAGAGCAGGCACTGACGCTTCATCGGCTAGCGGGTCCCTTCGGGGCGTCGAAGATGCCCTCGAGGCGTTTTCTTTCCTTGACGAACAGGACGATATGGACTCAGGCGTCGGACATTCACGAAACGTGTCGCCAATGCCACCACCCTTTCCGCCGCCCCCCTCTGCAGCGGCTTTACAACAGCTTTCGCAACAAGTATTATTATATATCTATATAAAAGTATATCTGTGGTATCTTACTGGAACTTAAATGCTGTCCTCGATTAGCTTCAGCATCCAAAGCCGCTCCAATATGTACCCTTTCCTACGCATTTGCATGTGGCACAAGCACATTTCTGTTCGTCACAGCCAAATTACATTAATCCTGTTTTTGCAAACAAAACTTAGCATAACCTGTTTTCGTACACGAAACGTTCATCTTATCACATTGTCATGGCCTAGGGTCGTAAAATCGGTTTTCTTAGTCGTATTCGTGTTTGTTGATCTGTATTCAGTGTCGGCGACCAGCGTCGAACGAGGCTGTTGATTTATTACGAGGCCACACTCAGGCATTCAACCGTCCTCATCGCGTCCCACCATCGACGACATCTCATCCAAGAGCTAGTCCCTCAGGCTCTAGAGAATACCAGCTACCACAATCATATCCTCAGTCTCCAAATGTGGTACCCATGTATCAGCCTCAATATCAGAAAGAATTAGAGCAGTCACTGGAACAACGGCGGCAGCAACTGCGCGACTATCGGCCACGGCAAACAGGGTCAATGCAACAACAGCAACTGCAGTCGGGGTCACCAACTATAGGAGTTGGCGTCAATCGATTCGGTACTAATCTCTGTAAAGCCACAGCTCCGAATCAGGAATCCAGCCTACCGCAGCACCGTCGTCCTATATCGCCGTTCCAGCAGCGGTCCAACGAAGCGCCGCCGTTCCGAACAGACACGCACATTGTTAACGGATATGACTCCACTATTTCGTACCGCCTTTGAATCTTGACCCGAAAAACCTTTCTACAAAAAACAGGATCCGTGTAACGCATACATAGGATTGAATATAATCATAGAAACAATAATAATGATAATTGTAGATTCACTGTATGAATAAGAGATCATACATAGTGAAAAAGAAATGCAAGATAATTGTGTACGATGATGAAGGTGGCGACCTTGCGCATAGGGTAGGAATTTTGTGGAGTATTCATAGAGTTCTATTAGATTCACAAGCGTAATGAAACTGAATAGAGCCTTATTTTAAAAAGACCCCGTTTACTTATTGCTAGTTAACATGCGGTAGCTATCGCCGCATATGAGCTAATGGTAACAGTAGCATTGTACTTTCGTACATTGTAATGTTGCCATGGTAAAATTCGGACGGGAACAATTGTTTCTTCTAGATATTGCGCCTTGTGGATAAGTGTGTAATGATATGATAATGATTAATGAATATCTGAAAATCAAGAATAGCCAACATATCTGTGAATACTGTTATATGCTATATTTATCTCGGACCAAATTTTCTGCTTTCTTGCGTGTCCGCTGACGTGCCTGATAAATCGAATCGTGGCGAATCGTGATCGTAATTGGTAAGCCTTCTTTTTTGGAATATTATACTAGGACGCATATGTCAAACTGACTTCTGCTTTTTGCCTAATACAATAACGTTGAACAGCGGTACTTTGAGACCATTGGCAATATGACATATTCTGGTTGAACTAATAATTCATCTATTTTCATTGTTATATATGGTTATACATAGTCGGAACCAAAAATAGGAAATGTGTATCTCTCAACCGCAATTTGAACATTCTCTGTTTGGCAATATTTTTATGCGGAATTGCGTTTCCTAGTGTACGATAGGTTCGATATTGCGATCACATGTACAAATGATAAATGAAGCATAGTGTCATTAAGAGGAGGCAATTTTTTGTCTATCACTTCCTACTAGATGCGTAAATATTGGCGAAAAAATAGCTTTGTTCCTTTATCCAGCTATATAATTATGTTGTCTTCGTATAGCGGTATGGCAAAACTGTAAGCTATTCATAAATCTAACTCGATGGTGAATCGTTGCCAAAGATGACTGTCTTCAAACGTTGTATTGCACTTCTAATTCGATTTGACAACGAATTCGATTTTGGACTGCACCCAACGTAATTACTGAGGGGCATCTACATGGCCGAACCCAATTTTGTAACACTACTACTGAAAGCAGAGCCCGGTCCGTAGAGAGGAATACAAAAGAGACTTCTAGTCGACGCGTTTTGCGGACAAGTGGCCATGCAAAAAAGTCCATAGGCGGTAGTAAAAACCACGTAAATGGGCAGAATACGTACTGGACTGTATGAAAGCATAAATAAACCTGTACAGGCTTGTATAAGAAAAACAATAGAACTTGTATTAAATGTATTAAACTAGCAGTTATTTTTTAGGTTTTCTGCTTATTGTTACTATCGTTCGTCTACTTCGTGGTTACTTTATTATGATGTTTGACGATCGCTAACAGGTAAAGTCTATTTTTTTTAGAGAACTGGTTTAGATTAAATGCACGGGTATTTATTACTAAGTTACAACACATGAGCACTTCTTATGACTTACAAATTAAAGATTATCATAAAACTGTGTTGTTTTTGTTAAGATTCCCTTGTTTTATCAAGCATTTTGTCTTTTTACCTTCTCTTTTGACCTTGATGATGAATGTTTTGGGATTTTGCGTCCGATACCACTGTTAGGTATGTATGTATACCTGAATTCAGGTCTTGAGGCAACCTAGAAATATATTTAAACGAAGCTGTAAATTTTGATGTCTGTTTTCATAGGGGCGGTGGAGTTGTGTCGGTTTTGAGCTCTACGAATATGATTCTCGCTTAGGACGCGAGTGGTCCTGGATTAAAATTCCAATGAAAAGCGATCTCTGTAACAAAATTAACTACTATGCAGCATTTTACATCGTATCTTAGATATCTGATGGTTGGCATGTTCCGGGTAGCTCAGCTGGTGAACCTGGGAGATCATAATATGAGAGCTCGAGTTCGTTGTTGGGCGGAAATGTTTCAAAATAGAAATAAATCCTAAAAAAAGACCTGAAACTATACGCTATAGTACGATACGGGTTTCATACGAGTTGGACAGGAACGTCTTTCTAGCTAATTGTCTTCCCGCTTGCAGGTTCGCGTTATGGAACATCCGCTGCTGTTAATCAATGCAGAAGATTTCATATCGTAAACATTTCCCACTAAATTATTGCTTCTATTGAAGCAAATGACAGGTGTATTAGAACTGGTTATAGTTAAAATATTAGAATTATGACTTTTAATTAATTACTCGCTCTTTGATAAGACTAATTGAGAACTCCTGTATGCGATACACATCACTACGTTTCTAATAACCCGCGCTGGACGAAGGTCCATATGTGTGTCACGGTAGTTGAGGCCAGTGCTGCCCGTGGACCAGAGCTGGAGATAATGCATCGTAGATATACGCAATTTGAAATACTTTATTTGACTTAATAAGAACAACAGTAATACTTCAGTTTTCCCCTGCGTGACGGCAAGAGCGTCTTCTTTAGTTAGTGTGGAAACGCGCTTCGTCGCTCTTTGTCTGTAGAGAATCCACAACCCTGAGATAAATAGTTTTTTCCTAAGCTACCCGGGCCACAATCAACGAAGCTCCCATATTCTAACACAGCAAAACACTTTCGACATGATTTTTTTATTTGTATGAGTCTCTTGTAGCATATACATATTGAAACTACGGCAAATTATCCTCTTCCATGGCAAAGTTAGCTCCTGCACGGCAAAGACTGTGAAGAGCTTTAATGGAAAGTTCTTTTGCACTGGCCATATCCTCCAGGTCTTGTTCTGATGTATTATAACTTTTTCCGATAATCGGCAAACTATACATGACTCGTGACCGTACATCTGGCAGCAACGAAAGCTTCAGAGTTTAGCCAGATGAGTTCTTCGACACCAATCCTGAAAATTTTTGGCGAAAAAGAACGTACGCATTAATTGAGAGATGGCAGAATGTCGTGGAAAATCATGGCGAGTACATAATAATAAATGAATTTGTTACTACAAAGAAAAGGAATTGCTTATGTTCCAAGGTAAGAGCCGTTTATTACTACCAAGCCTTAAATAAACCCGAACATACGACTGTCACCGGTAAATGCATACATGTAAGGAATTATGAAATATTTTTTTTTATATATATCATATACAGTTATATCAATACATTTTTTAACACTAAAAACAGCATGAACTTGCTTGACCGGAGTCTTACAATGGATAAAGTTTGAAGAATGTACCAATTTCACGTAGGTTTCTATATACTGATAATGGTAGCTGAGTTTATTTATTAATCCTAAAATAACATGCAAATGAATAAAGCCGTTAGCTACATATTGCTCAACATATGTACATCTTAGGTATAGATCCACGTGTCCACTTAAACCTGTGCCAAAACATAATTGTTACATTGCTTTTAATTACTATTTAATTTTAATTTTTATACGCATAGGAGCATAGTATAAAACAATTTATTTTTTAACGTTTAGTTCCCAGTTCGTCAAAAACAACAAAAGTTACATGCCATATGGTCAATTGTCTAAAGACTATGGTAGGTCTATTGAAACTGATACGTATGACAACATAGCACTGACCCGGACGCGTTCAACGTACCATGCGGGTTATGTCTCAATGACGCTACCTGCTTGTTTCGTATTGGTACGTTCACTGCGTAGCGACGCAGAGCAAATGTCATTTCGTGTCTGTTGTGTCTGTCAAGGCTATGTACTGCTGCAGATCGCCGCCTTGAATCGCTTTTTCGTACGGGCGTGTAATTACTTTGGACTGCCGTATATTGCATCTGTAGCCGATGATTTTTATAACAGCCTGCGACCTTTTGACTTGAAGTGGGTGGATATTACGTCAAGAGACTTAACTTTCGGTAACTCTGTGAAGCCTTAGAGAGACAATATTATGAGCAGATAGTTATTTGATGAATCAAGTTTTGAGCGTTCTAATCATAAATTTTTTCTAGAGTAAATGGCCTGTGTTCGATGCACGAGTGTAATGCACTGCGTATTTCTATTTGTTACTGAGCATTTCTGAAGCAAGGTCTCTGAATATTAACCTAAATTACAGGTAGCATAGACACATTGATTACGACTCGTGTGACTTTCCCTGAATCTCATCGACCGACCTTTTTGTTTGAGAATGAAAATGTCACAGGACGTCCTGTAAAACCATCTGCGAACGAAGTGGGACGAAACGAATCGACAGCTTTGAGGCTCGTTTGAAGTGGCTTCGTGCTGTACCTACTGAGTTAACCTGTATCCTTAATGCTGGTAAAATCAGTTTTTGTGAGTGGCGTAGGCCACTTGATACAGCTGCTATTTTGTTTAAACAAGGTAACTGGTTGGCATTAAATTAAAAATTATAAAGAGAGTACTAAGCAGACGATGCTTAAACTGGTTGGGATAATTGCAAATTAATAGGAGTTACGTTGTAGCATCCACCGATTTCCGTTTAGATAGCTGATATTCACATGTTTGTCCATTGCAGAGGATTAAATGCCTATTTCGATCGCGTTTGTGTGTGATATTGCTGTTGATCTCAAATCTTATTGATTATGCTCATCGGGGAATTAAGCATAACATGATCCCGATGTCGTAAAACGTTACTTAAAAAATCCACATCACAATTCGAAAGCGGGACGCAGCTGGCATTGTACTTTGACTTGTGCCAAAGCAGTGAGCGAACTGTGCGCTGTATAACATATATGGCAGCGATGAATATACTGTCGCCTTCGTTGAAGATTCTTTGTTTCGTGCTTGCCTCTAGGAAGCGTTACGCTGACCAAGAACCTCATGGTTTATCTTTTTAGATGTTATGAAGTAAGCTCTCCTTGTGTAAAACACCATAAGCAGCCATAGAAGAAAGGCAGTCAGAGGAGGCCTTTATTCAAAAGCTGCGCAAAAATAGAAGCCAAAATAATACGTTGAGTATAGGCTTGCCGATTAATTAGAGATGATAAAAAGCATGTTCAGAGTTATTCGTGATGTATGCAGCATGGTAATTGGCAGGTGTACGAATTAGTTATTTTGCAGAGCCTAGGCCAATTTTCGGCCATTCTTTGAGCACGTCTAACAGGACCTTAGCTTACAGAGGCCCAGCATTTAGCATAGCCTCGCCTCCATGTGTTTAAAAAATCTTCACTTATCCTCTTGTAAATATTGATGGCTGGGCTCTTCAGACAGAGGTGCAGGCGTACACACATTTTAATACATGCTTTTCGCCTGAACAAAACGTGGGCTCGTCCGGGATTTGAACCCGGGACCTCTCGCACCCTAAGCGAGAATCATACCCCTAGACCAACGAGCCGACAAGAAACACAGTGAGTCCAGTGATTCATGGGTGTTTACCGTCTATTGGCCACAACTTTCAGCAGATCAAAAAACTGCAAGAACAATATTAATAATAATAATAATAGGGATTAGAACAATTTGTTGGCAGCCATCATATAGATCACCAACTAGTTTGGCTGGACGAGGACTTTTTGGCCTGTAGATCATGATGACAATGAATCGGCCCCAAAACGCTTAGCTACATGATAATATTTTCAAAAATGTTGGCTGGCCAAAAGGGAATATTTTGTGAATCACCTGAGTTTGTGCATAGTATTTATCGATAGGATTAGCGAGATTTTGTATTAATTCTATATTTCTTTGTGTGAAAGAGCACTATTATAAGAGTTAAAGATTATTTTTTACGTCTTTTATTGTTAGTCGCACTTTTACGAAGAAGGAAGGTGTCGAATACAATTATTTTTACATGCAGTTAGCTACTAATATACTCTACTAATATATAATACTCTAAAGTGCAATGAAGGGTCGTTCGGGATTTGAATCCGGTACCCCTCACATTTTCAGCGAAAATTCCACTCCTAGGCCAATGACCCGCTGATAACAACGGCAATACCTGCTGCAACGAAGTAATTATTTATTTTGCTGTCGTGCAGGCCTAAGTGATCCAATCCAAGTATTGTAGAACGGTATTTATACACCTATATATAAAAATACATGTCAAATAATCATTATCAATAGAGGCACCTTAGTATAGTATACTACTACTGCAAAACATTTTGACAAACAAACAGTTAATAAATTATACTAATAATACAATAGTGCAGTTATATACTACGTCTATAATGATGATACATATAGAGGCTTCTGAACTGATGTAATATGATTTTTATCTATTTTCGTGTGAATTTAAATAAATACATATGCATTGACATGTACAGTATGCCGCTTAACTCCCAGTATCTATTAAACTGTGTGCGCGAATCAAAAGTACTTCGCATACATTCAGATGTAAGAGTTAATCTCAAAACGTCTACATAGCTTTCCACAAGCATAAGTTCTTTCTAGATATATCATTCTAATGCCTAATCAATGTAATAGGTTTTCTTCAGATGCTAGATTGGTGGACGCGGACAAGCATGTTTGTGATCAGGTTATACTCAGAAGCAATATCCGTAGAACAAGGTTCAACCTCATATAGGATCCTGAGTGCGCAAGTAGTCGATACACATATAATTGCAACATCTCCTTGAGTTCAAAGTTTTGTACCGTGTTAGTCGAAATCGCTGCGCTCAACATGGGGCTTGAGTCCATGACCCTGACACTGAGACAACAGTTATGCTCTACCCATTGAACTACCACGCTACGACTACGTTAATGGCCCTGTTGGTTTCCTGTTTTTTAACCAACGGATTTCCGTTGGCAAATTTATACCGATTACACCTGTACACACGACTAATGCCATTACTGCTCTGGCTACAGCCTCTAGTTGAGGTAAGCCAGGGGCTGCTGATTCAGGCCAGAACAACGACAAATACCAGGCGGAAAACGAAGCTAGGCAGAAAAAAGTGGGCCTTTAGACCTTCTTTCATACGTCTGTTCATGAGGGAAATATGATGCTTCATATTTTTATAATTTACTGTACTTCGCTAAACCCGGCATCGCTTGCGTCCGAAGCGGGCAATGACACCCCTGCACCAACGAACCGACTCTCTATTTATAACGTACTTTAATACTTGACCTCGTAGATTTTTATAATAATAATCTAATAAAAAAAAAAAAAAACATTTTATATAAATTCTATTGAAGAGTCAATATATTATCTATTCACTGTCACATTTAAGAAGCTTTTGTTATCTTGGCTCCAATTCATTTATTTCGCCCCAACGCAATGTTTCAGGTCTTTTTGAAGAAGCAATTTAGCACCCTTTTCAGATGAGGTTCGGAGTAGGAATACGAACGGAAATGTGCTAGTCCATCATCTTTTGGTCTAAAAAACATAATATATCTAAAAAAACACTCAGGTAAGTTCTTGTGGAACAGTTTTGGCAACTCTCGCAATGTATGATCTGGTATCGTCGCGAAGAAGGATGACTTCGTCTTTTCTGTCAGCATAGCTTCGTCTACTTGATGCAGCAGTGCCGTATAGAGATCCAATAATTTCCTGCTGTATACGACCCTTTTAGTTCGATCAAACACTTGACCGGACAGTATATGATTGATCACTCAAGATGATGACGCTATCTTTGAACTTAGAAAACCACTTTCGAGACTTACACTCAGCTGTACAGCACCATATATATGCGTTATGTAATAAGTATTATCCGGAGCAAAATTCTGGTTGTAACAATGCAAAGGGGTTTTGCAACTACCCCATTTAACGCTCAACATCGAGGACTGAGATTATTCAGTTTCATATTGCATAGATCCCTCCATAAGCAGCCTCAGCCTTCAGCTCAATATGGTCTTATGGGCGCTAAATGGGAGTTACGTTTTCATTTTTTAGCTTCAATAAAGTAGCCTGTAATAAAGTCATTTTCTCCACAAGAGAAAAACATTTATTCGAATTGAGGCGCGTAAAATAGTCGCCTTCTGTGAGCTGTAGGCTAGCACATGCCAACCATAAATTTTTTATTGTCATTATTGAAGCAGCTTTGCCTCGCGCTGCCAGGGCAGAGATGATATGCTCCTAGTGTAAACCAACCAATTACAGCAAGTCTATCACTCTGTTAACCATAATTAATACTCTACTATTATTACTAACAAGTGTGGAGTCTTCAATTTAGACTTTTATGCTATAACGAATCGGCTGGCTCGGCTGTAGCGACAATTTGTCTTCTTTTTAAACCTAAAATTTGTTCAATAATGAAGTATTATCTATTAAAATGTACAACAGTAATAGACCGTAAACTAGTACAACTTGAATGTAATGTTGATTTTCTCCTACTGATAAAATTCAAATAAGAACACATGCCTTATAAGGTCTGTAAGATCTTCTTTATCTTACTACACAGCTTACTTTCGGCCTCCACATAATTGTGCACATGGATAAGTAGAAAGACAACTGGTCTATCCCCAGATATTTGTTCGTAGCCTCCTATGCACCGAATATATACCATACATGCTCCACAACACCACGCTGTGATGAAAAAATCCTTAACTGTTTTCAGGTAAAAGCTGCCTTAAACATTTTTTCGATGGACTATTATTAAGAATGATTACTGGCGTTAAACACGACCTTATTCTATTTAAATTATATTGGGGACAAAAGAGTGGGAGCATCCTTCTTGTAAATTGATGGACGCATAAATCTACGTGCTGTTCGTTGCTTTTGGGGGGTATTCGCTAAACAGGGGTTGGTGAATTGCTTCGAACAGATTTAAAAATATCGACCCATACGATCCATCAATATAACCCCACCGAATTAAAAAATCTATCACGATCGGTACTGATGTTGGCTTGAACTTTGTTGGATCGCAAATTACTTCAATTAATGCGCCAAGTTCGTTATTGCTGGCAAGGGGCATCTGGATAAACTCGTCCACTTCACCGTCCAGTGGTTGCGGCTCGTGATCGGCCGGAAGGCTCGCGTCGTAGCAGAACGAAATCTGTGAATAGAAATAAGCATATATAGAGAGAATAATGAATGTTTTTAGTATTTACAGGGATAACGACGACGATACAGTAATTGCACAGATACAAAAAAGCCCTGCACGAACTTGAACCATGTTATTGTGATTCCATTCATCACGATTGAAAAAGGGATCATTGAGTTTAGTCTACCCATGTGATATATAACTTCAAACGTTGTGTGTTCTGAGGAGCATTTCAGTGTGTTTTTTTCATTTGAATTTATTTTTTTTTTACTTGACGTTCAATTCTGTGAGTCTTCAATTCACTGAGCTAGAGCCAACGCAGCCCTAATGTAGCACATCCTTACATCTGAAGTCTTTCTTTACCGTTTCAGCGTATTCTTTACGCCTTTTATTAATTATCTATAATATCTAATTTCATGTGTGTCGCTCGTTTGAATAATATACAGTGGTAATCAACACTCTAATAGTCACTGAATATATCGACCTACCTCAGGATGCACTCCGAGGCTGTCCTCATAGACGTACGTTACACAGCTAACGGGTTTAACGTAACGCCGAGACATTTCCTCTGGAAGAGAGGCTTCCTCTAGGCATTCTTTTTGCATACAATGCGAAGGGCTTTCGCCAGCGGCAAGACCTCCACTAACGTAAATGTCTAGTAAACTCGGGAAAAGCTCCTTTGCCTTAGACCTACAACAAACCAAATTATTGAACAGTACACAAAAAGCCACATATGGTTTAGTACTTTGCATGTGTGTGGGTGCGAAGGTGTTTGTTGATTGTACAATTAAAAACCGTCAAAAATTATTATTACCATTATTAATACCATGACTACTTCTAATTTATCGTTATGTACACAGGTAATCAATTTTGTTAGACACAGCTGTGTGAAAGCGAGGCGCACGTTATCACCTGCTTTAATAAAGCGTTGTCAATGGATGCCAGTCAGCGTCACATAAATTCAGTGGTCTGTCATCAACTGGAATCGCTTGTGCTCGATCCTATGCTAGTATCGATTATCGAAAGATAACGTTCCCTATTCGCGCAAGATATATAATGTGTGTTGCTGGCGGTGTTTGAAGCAGTAAGCCCTGGTCTTTTTCTGGAGGCGTTTGCGTATCGATGACAGTGACACGACGGAACTAACGTACCTTCTTTGAAACCAAATAAATTTCGGTCGACCCTCATCATCCACGACGAAGGCGTTGACATCAACCCCATAACGTTTTGTACCGAAGATAAATGTAGCAGCCCGTTCAATTTTAAATATTGGCGGGTCACCAAAGGAAGATGCCACCTCGTAAAGTTCGTCTCGCCAACCACGAAGACACGGAAAGACATCCTGAGTTCGTAGCTTTTTCAGCACTTCAGATAAGCCCTATTAAAAATAAAGGTAACACCACCTTTATCTTTTAAATATACGCAAAAGCTTACGTACGTCTTACGTAACAGCTCTATCATGACTTCTACTCCACAAACCGTAAATTGAACTGGAAACATTCATTTTCGTACATTCGTTTACATCTGTAGGATCAATTAGCTTGGTCAGTGGGTGATAACGGCCACGTTAACTAATTCTAATCGCCCCATTTTTTCTTGACACAGTAGTGGTAATAATAATGAACTATTGCGTATCTCCCATTTTACATTTACGTCGAGTTTATTACAAACTATTTTCGTCGCCATCAGCCAATGGAGACTGGAGAGGTATATGCCTGACACTGGCTCTTTGCTGCACCGCACTGAAGAGTCAAACTAACACAACGAAAACCGTGTGTATGTCTCTGTCAGATTCAACGGTAATTCCTGATAGGACCTGCCAAACGTCCTGGGTCCAATGCTCTACATTTCGAAAGTTGGATTTAAATAACATAAAAATTAATTACTTTCACCATTATCAGTGTTCTATACATGCGCCCTCAAAACTTTAGTAAAATTCGAAAGGAAAATTGGTATTCTATTGCGAGCTGGTTAAACAGCCGCCGTAGAACGATGAATGCGGTCGGCAATCCAACGCAACTCGTTGAAACGTAACGTGGACTTTCGGCATAAAGCAACATCGCAACGTTCGATTCGACGTTACTTTAGGACTCGGAAAAATCTGACCGACGTCCACTTTGCGCTATCAAGTTAGCGGCCGAAGGCCAAGCGATTCATGATGAGTAGCAGAAGGTGATAAATGGGTCGATCAATGAACCGCATCTATCGACGCTCTCTTCTTTCGTTGGAAAAATTATTTCTTCAGATTTCTCAGATATGTGAAATAACCCAAAAAACAAAATAACCTTCTAACCAACCTAATGCATTGAAGTTCATGAATTTTACAATAAAATTCGTAAAACGCAACTCTATCTACCAGAATAACTGTCACTGATAATAAGTTTAAATCAAAAAGGACCAACGAACCCTAGTGATTTCTGGTTCAGTTTTCCACCGGCAGAGGTGAATTTCTAACCCTCTCTGCTCGAAGGTGTCCGGCGCATGATGTTTTAATAGCTGCCATTCTCCTGGTCGGATAACTCCGACGATACGACCGTTTACGACGAATTTAAAACTGGTTGAGATAGACGTATTTTTCAGGCAAAACATCTTAACCACCTTAGATAATTTCACCAGTGGGTTCATGATAAGGTCAGAGTCGGAATCGCCCTTAAAACAACAATTTTCATAGTTAGTATAAAGAGCTAGCTCACGAAAACATGCAGGATAGAAGATCTTAACAAAAACTGGTTGAAAATAAAGTAACTGAAATATACCTAGAATAAGATAATTAGTAAAACGTAGTTTATCTTTTGGTATGTTTGGTTAATCAACGTGCGAGACACCACTACGCACCCAGAACAGAAACTTGGAAAAGAAAGCAAAATCAAACTATTTTGTTAATTTTTTAGACGAGCTCTGCAGAAGCCAGGTTCAATGCTTACCTTCATTGAACGAATAGTGTATAAAAAGCGATTATATTCGTCACAAGCGTTCCGAAGTATAACGGGCTACCCCTGACAACAAAGCGTCATGCTGAGAGACCCATTTCTGTCAGGTAATGGACCATTTAAGGGACAATAGTCTTACCGCACAGCGAAGTCAGTTTTTTCATAAGGCAGCAGCCAATAATCAAGACACTATTATACGCAAAGTTCTAGGGAGACTATCCTAGTAAATAAAAGCAGTGATATATTTTATTAAATAGGCCGAAATTATTTGTCGGATAAGCCTGCAAAGTCCGCATTTTTTGAGTGAATTTTGACGTGTAGCTTTCATTCGTAATATTACCGGTAAGGCTTTGCTAGATAAGTAAGAAATTCTTTAATTATTCGTCCAGAGGTTGTATGCCAAAACGTTTCAATTGTTCCTAGAATTCAGTAGAACTGAAAGCACTTCGTTGAGGCTGGCAGCCGGATACTAAGGCTTGACGTAGCTGGATCGGACTTCCTAAAGCCCTCTCGTTCTCATCTTAATTTGAGCAGTAAGGTACGATTTTCAAATAAAATAATTCAAGTTCGATTTTTAGGTTGAAAAACTTCTCGATGAATGATTTTTAAATAACTACACTACGATACCAGGGGCTCACTATGTATACAATAAAGAAACAGCTATACGAACCCTCCTCCTTCCAGCACTTGACAATGTGCATGTATGTGCAGCACTATTATTCTTAGGCAGTTTTTAGTACGTGTTCTGTACATAGCCTCTCGTATGTATACGGTATATGGAAAGCGTATAGCATATAGGAAAATATTTTCTTCAGACCAGTGAAGAACCGGGCAGAATTCTATCATAACTGTGCAACATAGTTTAATCTTGACGTATTTACCTTTTGAGAGCTTTGACTCGCACTTGGTTGTTCGCAAATCTCCCCAGCCATTTGCTTCGACACCGCTCCACAACTCAAAATCAGCAGGAACTAGCGCGGCCTTTGTTGTGACATAGAACAATGACAACGCAGATGAATGCCACTATCAGCTGTTTCAAAATCAGTTTTCCACTGCTTCGCCTCAACATTCACATCATTGACAAGCCTCAACAGCTCGGATCGCGTGCACTGTCGGCTTGTAGACTGCTGTTACTAGCCGGATGAATTGGGGGCCTGTTTTTCTTTTAGTCTCACAGAGAGTAACGTTCTTTCTGCTCGCTGTGCCGCGCAGGTGGAGTTGCAGGTTTCAATGGCCCTCTCCCATTAGTAAACACTAGGGCTGAGACAGAGAAGTATCGTGACGATTCAACGACGTCCGCAGCGTTAACGCTGGTGGAACTGTAGGGGCATCGTCCATGAAAATATATCGCATCATGCTGGCTAAGCATAGGTTGTCCCCTAAACGAATGCTAAGCAGTGGCTAATTAGTAATAGCACTCGCTAAACGAGCCCGAGCTTACAGAATAGGGGTCGGTTAGAGAGAAGGTGCGTTTTATTCATGGGTAGCGATAGAATCGGTTAGGGAAGGTCGATACTAAAATAAATAGCTTAGTTAAAAAAAAAAGATTTGATTGTGTATGATTAGTTGCTAGAGAAAAAATCATATACACTATTATTTATTATTATATTATATTATGATTATACATATACACTACAATTTCGTTATGCAGCGCTGAACATTTGCCAAACAGTAAAGGTAAAAAGTGGCGCGGCTTTAACAAACTTAAGGTAAAGGCTTTTGCTCCACCATAAATAATATATATATCATTGCAGTTGTTCCAATGATGCCGTAGAGGACTTAGAGCAGGTAAATATAACCCTTTCGAGACGCAATCGTCGACAAAAGGCCACTCATAATGGCCTATGTTAAGCTCATGTGCTGAATCCAAAAAAGTAGCATTGGTAAACAGCTGGTTCCATGGCTGTTTAGTTGCTGGTTCAAGGTTGACGACGCAAGGCGCATATTGCTCTCACCAAATATAAAAATACGAGTAAACTTTTATTCTAAATCGAACAATACGATCTTTATATATTTTATATACGGACTAGAATATTTACCAGATATACACAAGGTTATTTGTCTGTTGGAAACTTGCGCAAATGTCGATATAGAATGGCACTTCGATAAACACCGCTAGCGTATTCATTAAAATAAATTTGTCATCCAATATCAAGCATATGGCTGCGGTTTTCCCACACTTGTTTCGTAAAACATATTTAACTTTACCAATCTCTCCTTCTCTCTGACTGAAAAATGGCAGTGTTTATTTATTATAGAGTATCCTTTATAATTTCTGTTGAATGGTATAATTTTATGTGCGTTATATTCTGGTTGACCACCTTGCGCTCTAATTAAAGCTAGCCAACATATAGAATCCTTAGTGCAGGAGATGTGGCAAGCAATAGGCTCTGCATGCATTATATTATAATTGTTAGTTCTACTCGTGTAGTCCGCTATAGACTTAGTACGGTACCGTAGTCTTTCGTGCTAGAATTGGCCCTAATCGTCGCCGATACCGGTACATAGAGTACGTATGAAACCGTATTGTTTTCTGCTGTACCTTGATACTCAATGATCATTCTCCAAATCAAAGCTCCGGGGTAAAAAGGTAGCAGCGTTTATGTTTCAGGAGTCTACCCCACGAGAGAGAGGAGAGAAAGGGATACACAAACTTTAACTGGCATAGGGTATAAGGACATGCCAACCTTGTGGATGGCATACCAACGTTGTTGGTGTCATGCCAACGTTGCAGGTCACACCCACATACGAGTGAGCTATGCCCTGCATCGTAGCGGATTTCTGCCGCCAACCGTTGCAAATTTTTGCACAAATCTAAGCAAAATTCTCCAACAATCGACGTACAAGTAAAAGATAGCGCCAGTGAAACAAAGGTTAGTTTTTAAATGTATGTAGTCCTGAAACGTATTCTCTAGAAGATCGGCTATTAGTGCGCTTCATGTAAGTGATAAATAGCAGTAAATAGGTAGCAATAAAAAATTATGGTAACAACAAATTCGATTTGAAGTTCTGATACCTGTACACAAGTTTGCACCAGGTGCCTGATGATACATTTTGCGGTGCACACATTAAGCTACTGGCATTTACATTTGCAGTACATATTGCGTTTTTTTTAAAGGTCATCCTTATAGGTTTACAATGTTTAGTTACGGAAAACCTATCACCATGACCGTTGTAGGTGTACAAAGTAATACTTATAAAATTAATGACGAAACGACGTTAGGTGGCTTTTGATTGGACCTTTGTTCGTCGCTTAAAAGCGCTGTGCTAAGGAAATTATAATTTTCATAAGTCCAAGGTAAACTAGAATACCGCAATTTAGAAAAAATGCTTCGTAAGTTTGCCACCAGGGCTACAGTGGTGCTTCGAATATTATGAATTTTTGCCGCTCCTACTGCTGTCCTTGAATCAAGTTGAATAGTAAAATGATCATTCTTTAGTGAATGCAGTGCGATGCGTGCCACACAGGGTTCTCATTCGGCGGCTAAAGGTATTAGCCCCGTTTTTGTAGTGTCATTCTATGCAGTGGCAGAATAGAAGTAATCGTTCTCTCTAATTTACGTTCTGAAAGAGTCAGCAGTCACTGAAATGAAAATGGCGGAATTATCTAGCTACCGTTGCTATTCCGTGACTTGCTGTTTACATGTTAATTCCGAAAGGTTTCGTTTATGCCTGCTCAATGGCGGCTTATATGGCGGTGGAGCGAAAATGCAGTAACTAGATAATGCTCGTGCTGATAGGTTACATTCCGCTCTGTTATGCCTTGTGCTGTTGCTATAGTTTCAGTCAGGTCATCCGATCGGTAATGCGGTTTTTAGATAGGTCTGTTACAGTAAAGGGTGCAACATTAGTTTTCTGCCGGTTCACGAGAATTCACGTTTCTCTAAGTTGACTAAGACCGCCTGACCAAAGTGTCAATCCTAACTGGTATCCGAACGGTAGCGAACAGTGGCGAAATAGAATTTACAGATGATGCCCTCGGGTGCAATCAACGAATGGGAATAGCGCACTGCTCACCGCTGCGCATCGGCAAGATGTTATCTAGTCACAAGGTGAAAAAGCTTATATAAAGCGCCTACTAATATGATTTGTATGCGTTCATCTGTGTGATTGTATGATTAAACCTTTTACTTTTGTTTAGGAGCAAAGTTATAAATACGAAAATGGATAACCTGGCCGACCCAATAGTTACTGAAGAGGAAACTCAGGAGGAGCAATTAGATGAAAGTGAAACAACATCACCCTCTCCTGGAATACCTCTTGGTTGTGGTAACCCGAATCCCAGAGAGGAGGAAACTCAAGAGGGGCAATTATCAAGTAACACAAGCATTGTTGACAGCGATTCTTCCCGAAGCGCAACAGCAGAAGAATCGAAAGACACTTATGCGGATTGCCTAGGCACCGATGAGGTTAGCGATTTCAGAAAAATTGACCAACGGCAACTCTACGACACAGATTTGGATGATCCCTCAAATGATCTAATAAATGATCTAGCCCCGCAGCTAATTCAAGGAAACCTGCTGCGTTGCATCGAAATCAACCAGGCAAATCCTACAGCTGGTTGTCCGACCTGCTCTATTTTTCCTGGAATTAAAAGAGAAACAGCGGCGCCGATGGGGAGCGATTATTTACCAGCGGTTCGGGAATTCGTGAACGAAGAGCAGCCAGTTATACCAAAAGCTCAGGGATTGCTTTACGAGGATCACTGCGAACCAGTAACTGAAGCGATCATCACCGAAGATTCAGAATTGCCGACTGATGATAAAGCTAAAGAAAATTGTTCTGATCAAACTCTCTTTGCTCAGCAAGCCGAAAAAGAAGTGTCGGTATTGATGAGAAGATCGAGCGAGAGATTCACTGAACTACCGACGTTTGCTGATAGAACTGGTACGTATTTTAATGGTATTTGTGCGTTTTTTTTCATTGCACACGGCATGCCAGTCAAACAAACGTCTATAAGTACGTATATTTCAAAGAATGTTTTATGTTCTTTCATTAAAAAAATACTAAATTATTTAATACTGATTGTGTTCGTTATTAACGGTTTATGGCAAGCATTCCGTTGCGTTAGTTTTCTGCATCTATTTTTTTAAGGTTATCGATTCTCACTTGTGTTTATAATATTTGATTAACCATTTCCCGTATCCAATAAACGGACTGATCACGGTTAATGTTCCTCATAGTTAATAAAAATAATACTAATTATTATTAATATATCAGGGCCTAGTATTGTCTCAGTTTGGCGTAACCAAAAGAATAATTTCATATTAGTAAGAAGATTACAGAAATATGTAAGTAATAATAATAATAATAAATAAAGTAATAGACAAGTAAATAGTTATTTGATTTGTGTCATCTGTCGATTTCAGCTAGCCTTGACAGCTTTTTATTTATTAGTATACTGTATAATTACCTATTGTTTTTTTCAGCTGTCTTTGAAGAAACAGTGACTGTTTCCTTGGGTGAGCTCACGCTAAGTACAGAACAAGTCACAATATAATGACCATCACTTAAAGGGGTTGACAAAAAAGATAACTGAAAAATTTAAATTTTACGTTAACACAGTCAGGCAGTAGCTCAATCAGAAACCGTTTTTCCTACGAATCTCGTACCTGCTTAGAAGCTTACGAACAGCTCGAAACAAAGTGTATCGTAAATTGACAAACCCTCCTCAGTAGAACATCCAACAAAGAGTTGAAGGTACCACAATATATAGGATGATTCGAAAGTCTATTTGCGTTTATAAGAAGTAGGTTGGCTATTATTATTATGTTTGCTGTCAATTACATTATGAAGAAAATAGGCTAACAATTAGGCCGTCTGTGCGTGTATATTTTAGTTCTTAGTCTCCCTTTACCCTTCAACGGCTCCTGTTAGTCTACCTTCTTGTAAAGGTGTGACTCCTTTCGATTAATTATGACTTCATAAGTCATAATTAATCGAAGCAATTAATTAGCAATCGGTCCTGCAATATTATTTAGCATGCAAGTGTTAGTTGAACTTACAGGGTTGAGCCCCCTCTATTTTTCTCACACGCCCAATTAGCGGAAGGTAATCAACTAAAGTGAAATGTTTTTATGGTGCACAAAAAAAAATGTGCGACAACTAAAGACAAGCACCTTAGTAGAAATGTGTAATGCTGCACTGAGATGTTTTTTCTATTGTAATCTAACCTGCAATCTAAAGCAATGTTGCAAACTAAGTGTGATTTCGCGCGCAATGACAACCACGTTTTGTGCTTAGTGGTCTTTGTTTTTGTCGTATATCCTTTGCTAAGAGCTAGGAAAAAGCTATAAAAATTTCGACCTCTGGAAAAACTTTCTTCAAAACTATTCTAATTTTACAATGTGCAATACGCATTATTCCAGTAGAGAGCGATCCGGGTCTCCACATCGGCATAATGTGGACCGTGATCGTAATGACGTGATCCGTTCATTTCTCCAGAAGCGGACGCGGCAAAAGCGAAACCTAAACACAGTTGTTCAAGACTTAGTCCATATTTCACTACTGCTACAGCTTCTGAATATTCCATGCAAAAAAAACATCTCCGTTGGACCTGGCATTTAGGAGATACAACTATTGCGTAGACCTAATCTGCAGATTTAGTGCTTTGATTGTGCATTCGATATGACAATTGCACATTTCCTCTTGGATGGCACTTTCCATTACAAAATTAACTGTATCTACGCCCGGCCTCAACCCTGAACAATTTTGCATGTCTCTAACTAAAACTAGTAGATAATCATCGTATTCATCAAAGACACACACTTATAAGGTACTTAACAAGAAGGTTCGTTTAAGTGCTATGTCAGGCAATGCTTTAGCATTACATCAGGCAGATTTAATGCACCTATTGAGGTTCCCCTTTGAGGATACCATAATTATCGGGTATTATTGCTTTTCAATGTTCCAACATTGGCAAATCGTATAAAACAATTTTCTGCAAAGCACCGCATATTATACAATAAGAAAATGCGTAACATTGAAGTTTAATTCCGAAATACGAAAATAACATTATAGTATATATATATATATTAAAACAAATAATAAAAAAATTCGCTAATTATGAGTGAACGTGTATCGCGTTTTCGTTCACATAGATTCGTTTTTCCTTTGCCCTAAGTTATTCAACGTGTTTTTCATAGAGTCTCATAAATTAAGGTAGGTTTAGGTTGAAAAATAACACGGAGATAAAATTAACTATAACATTGGCACAAAAAAATGCGAAGTTTTTTTACCAGTTCAAGTTACGATTATCGTATGCATTCGTTTGAATTATAAAAATATTATATCAGAAAGTTAAGCGAACAGCTAAAAGTACGGTAGTCGCTTTTGCCAGACGCATGGTATATATACATGAAAGCATCGATTTCAGAACCAGATGAGATACTAACTAAACTAAATGATATGATGCTTGGATTTACTTGCTACGCAAGCAACTTTTTTAGGAAGTTTTTAGTATGATGGGAGCTTCAGCTAAATTCTGCATCAGAATAACGTGGCCAATATTCTTAGAGCATATTATCACGTTCTCTTTTTCTCTGAAGTCGCAACTCACTCGAATTAATCCACCTCAGGTTTCAGGAATAGATTAGCCAGGTAAAAATATGTGTTAATAAATAATGACAGGGTTACATCGAATACGCTAACGAGAATATTCAGAGACGTTAGAATCCTATAACCTGTAGAAGTGATGACTGTTTCCAGGTAAGATACAGCTAGAACTGCGGAAATATTGTATCTGTAGTAGTTCTATACACGAACCTAACAACCGAATGAGCACTGCGATTTTTTAAGTGATAAACTGAAAAAATTATAATTTATTTAATCAATTTTAGAACCTAGTAGAACATTTGCTGTATCGCCTCGCATAACTGTATTTGCACAAGAGTATCACAAAATGTGGTTATTATTTTCTGCACCCTTAAAGACTAATGGATATACCTGTAAAAATGATGTATAAATTAAATGAAAGTTTCAACCGTGCCACACGTCCCACTGTCTTGAAAACGTTGTACTACTCATGGTTTTTCACACAAGCCATGAGCAGCAACCGTATTTTCACCTTAAGGTCGACATAGAACTGATTCGGTTCAATCACACCACAGTCAAGTTGTGCCGATTCAATTCTATACCGCAAAAAACTGGTGCCTCTGGTGTTGCTTTTCTGCGTTTGTAAATATCGGATAAACACGAATTGGTTTCGATTTACCCTTCATGACACAAGGAAGAATTGCTTTGAATTCATATCTAGTAATACAAGTACGGTTTACTGGTTAGCAAGCTATTAATTAGTATTTGATTCGAATCATGAGAATATCTTCTATTACGATGCCATTATTGAATCCGAATCTCCTTGGATGATCGCATTCCTTGTTTGTAAATAACTGCGTATAAGCGATTCCTTTCTAAATCGTGGTTTCTCGTCGTTTTAATTTTACAACCTACACTTTAACTTGTATTTACCACATAGAGACATATTCCTTCTTTTGATTGTTGAATTACTGAGTTTAGTAATGATACATCAACAGTGCTCCACAACAAATTTCGCCGATGCTTGTCTCACTTAACAAATCAACTAAATGAGTAATTATTTTAATTTATATTATATAACTATACGTATCCATGGGTGGGATTACTAGATTCAACGCTCTGGAAGAAAAGCCTTTAGATACTAAGTCACAGCAGGTAATTTAACATCTTGCATTTGCCACTTGCCTCGTTAAAAATCAGTGTTACAACCGTACAACCCCTATATTCTATTATAAGTTTCACGAGAAGCGCTAACCTTCCCTTTCATTGTGAAACCACCCGTATTATAAGCTCTTTAACCATGTAAGTACAAAGCGATAGGTTTCCACACATTTTTATTTCGTTTTCAGCGATATTACACGTATCATATACTTGTTTCTCTTACAGCTCGTTCTTTGTCTAAAACAAATCAGTCTGCGACGCCTAACACCTACTCATCTTTGTTCTTTCGGAGTAACGAGAAACACAACAAAAACCAACAATAACGACTAATTCGATCGCCTGCAGCAAGTTCTGTCGTATCGAAAATTAGTAAAAGTTACCTTCATTTGCATTTACCGAACGACCCTATTATCCTACTGTGTTTAGATTACACTATAGTTCTTCAACCCAACTATAACATACACTTCATCAGTGAATGAAACCCGGTGAAACAGAGTAGGCAAAAAGCTTCTCAACGCCTTGTCCGCTCAGCGAGCTATTTGCACTCACGATACTCATTGCTACCGAAGCGTCGTGCGGCGACGCTGACGTTATCGAGGTCTGTCTGTCAATTTTCATAACGCGACTTCGGCTCGAACCATCTTCTCCACCACCGCCACTCGTTTCGTCGTCCATTTCCTCAACGTCTTCATCCTCGTCATCATCTAGATCGCCGGCCGATGACAAATAATCAACGTAATGCCTGTAAATGGGCTCAATCCATCGACGAGACCGTATGAGCACGTACGGATCGAAGGGAAAATAACCCTCAATGATGGTGCTGCATTGTGAAGTTTGACCGGATGCCGTTTGGGCATTATGAGGTCCGTAGGCCACATGAGCCATGGGTAAAGCGCTTCGCTGGTTGCGCTCAATAATAGCGTGGCAATATACGACCTGATAATGGCGCGATACATTGGCGAAGTTTGTAGCAATCGACTTCGACATGATCTAAAAATAGCCAAAAAAAAGATTAAAAAATTAAGGCTAGGTTGATGATACATTATTATTAGTTTAGTATTTACGCACTTATGGAGAAATAGAGTACTAGACGCTTATAGGACAAGTACACAAATATTCCAGTAACAGCAAATTCTAAATGATATGTCCTGTATACTTTTAACAAACCAATCTCGCCAAAGTGCACACAAAAGTTGTTTTCAACGTTGTATTCTATAGGTTTTTAATGAATCAATCCAACGAAAATTATATGTACACTGACATACGTAATTGTCTTACCTTCAATGGATTCAGCGGCGACGTGATCAGTTGCTCAAGGTTGAGACTCCGTAAGAACTCTAGCCCGTTAGTGCTTTCAGCAATATCCTTATGACGGAATGCGACACAGTAGAGAAGCGATTGGCAAACAGCGTAAAATGTTGCGTGACGATTTACATCTACCCCTAGCAACTGGGCAGAGCTGCTTTGTGCAATATAACTATGTAGAAAACGTGACAAGAGCGTCAGGGTGTCCTTTAGCGTGCCAACGCTAACAAACGCTGCCCGACTAAGCAACGAACCGAGATACGCAACGGATATCTGTCGAAACACAACTGGTGTATTTGGATCCTGCACTTTGTGCCACAGAAAATCAATCAAATGGTCCATAAATAGCGGACGCTTCGAGCAGATGTAAAACATAAGAAATTGAACGTGCAAACATTTATACGTCGCCATAATGTACTTGTCGAATACGGCCAAGAACCGCCGATATGTGGCCTTTGCCTCGTCTAGAGAACCTGTCACGTGGCTGTCGATGTATTCAAACAAGAGCTCCATAAGTCGATCTAATGCATTGCCTAGAGAATGCTTCATTTCCCTATTACAAATGGAGATGGCCGATGGTTGGCTGTCACTGCCAATCTTCGATGAGTGTTTTGTTGGGCCTTGTTCTTTGATTGTGCTGTCATTTTCAGCAGAATCCATTGTAAACTGGGTTGCCACCGTATCGTCTACAGTTTCTTCCATTGTCAACATCTCCTCTTTGGGGCAGTGACAATCGAGGTCAATGATTTTGTGTACCAGTCGTGATAAAACGTCGAGCGAAAGTTGTGTGGGAACGTAATCGACGATTCGAAGCACTTGTCGGTACATGTTCACCTGCTGAGACCACGGTTTAGTCATAAACGGAAGACATTTGCTAATCTGCTTTAGCAAAACGTCGCTGAAATGTGGCAGCTCTTGGATCATCTGCTGGAGCGCCTTATGCACCAGATCGAGCTGATCTTCGGGTGGCTTCTCGTCCTCAATCGATGCCATAGTACTGAGTAGCAACCGGCAAATTTCGTCGTAGTGAAATGTGTTGGACCGAGCTAACTCAACCAAAAGATGAAGGTAGGCTGCTAGTATGTCAGTTTGAAGTGATAGGATTTTGAATTTAAACAGTTCAACAACAAGCACCTCGTTGAAGCCATCCAATAGACTGGTCATTTTGGCCAATTCGTTAAGAAGTTGTACCGGAGGAATCGAGTTTGTTGACCTGACTCCTGTGTGGATGGACTTCAATGAGGCAAGAATCAAACGATATTTATCACTGAAGGCGCGAGAAGCGCTAGCCTCGCTAAGAACTTCTACAAAATTCATTGCTGTATGAATTATTCCAGACGAGGTTGCCGGCTGAGTTAGGGTTCCATCTCTGCGAGGAACAGGTTGAGGAGTCAAAAACTCCGGTCTCGACTGAACGGGTTTCGGAGTCTCGTTAGTTGCCACAAGGGACGCCATCTGAAAGAATCATAGAAATTGGTTCTTCAACGCAATGTCGTCGAGCCCTTCACGATTTGTTTGTTACGCGGTCGTTCACGTAGTTCCTATATGCCAATATATATGTTCTTTACTGTCCATTACATTCAATATTGTCTTTAAACGTTTGCCAACATTTAAAGAAGCTCTACTTTGTTTTTTGGTGTTTATTCTAAATCGAACGTAAGCACACTTCGTTTTGTGTAGAAACTGACCAGCCGTTTAACGCCTAACGACGGTACCGGACGTGAAAGTTTGAATTTGAATTCTCATATTAACTCATAATAAAATGGAATACATTTGAAAAAAATGCATTTAAACTTATAAACACGTATAACTAGCATAAATATACTCATTCACCTTAAATAGGTTAGTTACTAAGAGATCAGCTATGAGCCCGAACGAAAGAAGACAAGAGGCAAAAAAACTATTTGATTCTTATGGTAAACATATAAATTACAACCGGTAAACAACAGATAAACCTAATTGCTGCCTCTATTGTCACGGCTCTCAAACTGTTACAAACACAATATTAGATAACGAAGTATAAGAATAAAATACGAAACACAACCAGGGCTTTTTCTGTGAGTCAATCGGGTACTTACATCTGAACGACTGCGCGAAACGCACAGGACCAGAATCAAATTATATTATACGAGATGCGGTTTGCGGGTAACACACTTGTGACATGTTTAATCAGACATCAGTCGCGCGATATGTACATGACAAGTTCGACAGTTACCACCTCACTATTAAGATTATGGGCAAATGCAGGCAAATCTAGAGAGAAAAGATAAGGACGAAAAATAAAGAAGCAAATTCTATGGAAACAGTTTAGAAATAAGACATGAAATAATGTAAATAATTATAAAAGCTTCTTACAAAATTGGCGCCGATTAAGAAATTATTAGATTAGAATAACTATAGATATAGAACTCTTCCGAGTTCTATGAACGGCCTTGATGACCGCATCTTAACCTGGTCGTAAGTAATAAAACAGCATTCTTTGTCATTTCATTTAGCTAGCTCCCATCAGTCCTTTGTCGAATCGCAAATTTTGTAATTAATTGGTGCGCTTTTAGACAACTCATATACAGATTCCATAAGGTTTTGGTTTTCCAAAACAGCACAGTCATATTCAGCATTATCATACATGTAAAACAAAGTGATTTTTCTTCCATTATCTGTCACGCGCATATTTTAGATATATATTATATACACGATCAATTTTATCCAGTAGATCACATGATTCGAACATCTTTTCCTCGCTTCACGCCTAAGTAAGTTAGCGGACAAAAAGAAGCGAGTCGACACATCCGCATCGAACTCCGGCGTGGGCACTAATATCAATCATCAAATCCGCCACTACCATTCGCACCCAACAGTAACCGATTCGCCCGAAATTGCAGTAGCCACCAGGGCGAACCGGGCAGGCAAAACTCAACTGTCGTTAGCATCTAACTTAAATGGAGCCTGAATACATTCTTGAACGTGACTATGCATCGCTAGCAATAGAGAGAATTGTTACGACACCTATTCTGCCCCGCTAAACACACGAGGAGGTTTCGTCTGGGACACCACGATCTTCTGAGTTTGGGCAATACAAATTTTTAGAAATTTCTTACTGCCCCGCACGTGCTCGCGGGCCCTAACAGACTAAGCAGGAATCGACAATACGCACGATTCGTCCCAGAAGAGTTCTGCATCTGCTCAAACTCTACTGATAGAAAGAATGCAAAGGCTCACCATCACAAACCAACGCACCAGCTGACGGATGCAATAGGAAACAACGATAGAGTAATCGGTTGCAATTTTCGCCGCATCTAAAGAACACAACCAAGCATTACCCGTGACGGAACTAAATAGCGAAGTCGTACGAAGCGGCGCACTATATGCTGAGCTAGTCGGTGAATGAAATAGTAAATAATCGCATGTAAAAGGGAAAGGGAAAAAGGCGGGCACTGGGCTGGATCGATTTGGGAAAAAAGATTTTGAACTGAGGCTGTTTGTGGATCCGTTTTGGCGAAAGTAATCAGTGAAGATAATAATAGTTGCATTTATTGTCTTAGGTGATGTTGAAACAAGAAATTGGAAATTCTGAACTATGAATCAGCCTTCTCTAGCGTTTAAGTATAGTTCACTTAATCTATTTATTTTCAAAACTTGTTCAACTGCGCAACAGAATAAATGAGTCTAGTTCTTAAATTTGGAAATCAACTCTATGCCACAGATCGTCGTAGCAAAAAAGACAGCACACATTTTAAATCTTTTTTTTTGTTAAGATTAAGCCAAATATTGAAGTTCCGAGAAAAAGTTTAACTGGAAAGGTAACAAACCCATGAGACCCTCGTACTGCAATTATTATGCAGCCGACGTTTTAGGTGATTCTGATATACCTAGAAGGCATACGTTTTCTGAGATGAAAATTTCTCCTATAGAAATACGCACACCAAAAAAACCTTATGAAAACAGTGTGCAAATTATAGTATAAAAAACGGGTTCAGCTTGTATATTTTTAGTATTTGCAAAAATGCACGCACATAGGCGATCTCACATTAAGCTATTAGGATTACATCTAAAAATAGACGCCAAAACAATGGTCGTGCTCGGTAAGTTACAATATATGAAATATCTAACTTGTTCTCCAACATTAAAAAAATAGAATCAATAAATTTCCATGTAATGGTAAATTTTCATTGATACACTTTGCACTAGACGGGGAAAAAGATATCTTGCAGATTTCGGGGTTTTTAGGCTTTCGTGCGCAGATTGATTAAAAGTTGGTCCACAGCATCGTTCTGAGATTAAACCAATTGCTCTCAAGTGTCTTTATAAAAAAAGTATAGTTTGCAAGCAAAATCTGGCCTTTTATCAGCACCCGTTTGTCTCGAAAGGTTGATGATGGCTTTCCGATAAGGACATCCGTTGTATACTTTTTTTTTAATGTTATCACGCATATTATACAATATATGCTAATAGTGCGGTTTGAACCCGAATCTACGAATTTTTCACCTTATTTTCAGGTTTATTAGTTACAGACTCACAGCCACTACCTCCAACCACCAAGAAAAACGGCGATTCCCACACTCAACATTCAAGCTGTACCTGAAAAGGCAAGTTTTTGTTGTTTTTAGGTTTTTTCAACTGAAGGGACACAAAGATATATATCCTGGAAAATCTATAAGTGCAATATATATATATATATATATATATATATATATATATATATATATATATATATATATATATATACAAAAAGAAACTTTCAATAGATTCTGAAATAAAAAACGCACGCATTTATTTACCGTAGTTACAATATGAATCTAAGGAAACTACTAAGTTCCTTTGTAAGCGTTTAGACACTTTTACAATATATACAGGCTATTCGAGAATGCTATGACTGCTGTTGGCGTTAAGTACTGGTGTTCAGTACAGGCACAGAGTGAAAACTCAATCGCTTCTCGAAACCCTTTGAGCTGAAATTCTTTGGCATCGAACTGACAACCAATAATAATCGAGCCTCATAGAGAAACTGCTCTATTTCGAACACGTTGGCCACATGCTATTTGCCTTAAATGTAGAAAATATCTGTTGCATTTGCTTGTTTTCATATAGATCGCTTAGGTTCAAAACGCAACCGTCTCAATAAAATACTTAATAATAATAATGCTTAATAAAAAATTTCAATTTAGCAAAAAGAACTTTTGATTCGGATGCGTTTTGAGAGGTGAATTCCTGAATGATTCTCAGATTGATAAATCTTTCGGGCTTTCGTGAGATTCTTGAAACCCATTTCAGATAATTAAGGTGATTAAGTTACTATTAAGATATATGCATTAAAAAAAATCGCTAGTTAACATTAGCATTTTATATTGCGTAGTTAAAAGGGTAATTCAGACGCCAGCATAAGCGCATGTTTAAAGAAGTTTTCATGCAAGATTTATGCCGGGATCCTCTACGCAATCTGTGTGCCTAAAGGACGTTGTATAAAACACCATGGTTTATAAACCTTGCCGATTCATCTCGGTCTGGATAGCCATTGTTTTAATCTCTTTGATTCTTGCTGGAAGACGAGTGCCGTCTCCGGTGGCGAGCTTCTTTCTTAAGATGGTTTCTCGTGAAACCGACCTGCAATCGTATGCCAGGTCAAAGTAGGCCATCAGGTCTATAAACAGCTTAGAGGGATTCACGAACCTGAAAAGGGCACAAAAAGCAGAACCAAATAGGGAAAACATTGTTTTAAATCAGATAGGTCAAATTGGGTTTCGTTCTAGTATAAAACATATGGTAATAGCATGCAGGTGCAACGTTTATGACTATTATGGATTACTTATTCTCGAAAAGATCCACATAGCTTTATTGTTGTAATAATTATTATATACAAATGTAACGAGTGTAAAATGACGGAACGTCCTTTACCTTGATTCAGAGGTGAATACATTTAAATTGATTAGAGAAGCCCCCCTCCGCTTAATCAAAAGTAAATGGATTAATTAAAAAAGTATATATTACCATCCGAGTTCCGAGCAGGAGTAGTCGAACGGGAACGCATGGTGGAAATTATGGAAGCCCTCTCCAACAGCCCAAAAGGACACTAGCGTTGTTTCAGTTGGAGCCATATATCTATGAACAAGAACAGTGTACAGTAGAAAGTAAGTACGAACTTCAGAAAAATCCTTGATCTTAAAAAGCAGATGGTCGTGGAATGATTGCACGGTGGTTGTACACAAAAACTATAGCGACATCCGTTAAGGCGGGGCAGCTGACAGCGAATAGCTACACAGGGAAATTGTTTTGATAGTAGCAATCTACAAATCAGTAGACAACTATGACATGCTGTACACGGCTTACGTATGCATATTATTTTATTCACTTTAATGTTTCGATAATTGTGCTTAGGCATTGGTGATCTGTTTTCAGCGCCTGCCCCGGAAGTAATCTCCGCCTAATGACTGCATATTGTTTTACCTATTGTTTAGTGCAATGGAAATTGCTGATTCTATATATTTTTACATATGTAACCAAAAATTCAGCTAAAGACACTTACTTGTCGAACGGCTTGTCACCAAAATAATGCGCCAACGAATTAACGGACCAAGTGAAGTGGAGTGACGCAATTAGTCTCAAACAAGTTGGTACGAGGAAACTTATCAACAAGGATTCGTTCCACAGCAGCCACGGCACGTATGTGGGGACAAGGAATGCCATAAAGATCACAAGCCATCCGTAATACCTGACAGTCCCAATCGACAACAATCATTGGAATATGGGCAAAAAACAAAAACATATATGTATTTACACTTATTAGAGAACTATCTTTCTATCTGTTGCACTCGTCGCTCTGGAATCGTAAATAAACTTTGCAATAAATAACATAAAAGGTAAAAGAGTTCTTAGACTGAAGCTAGCGATAAGGGATTGCATTTAAGGTACTACTTTATCGCAGGTATAGATGGGTACCTTGACTATGCGGATTGATTTAACTAAATGGCCCTCATAAAAAGCTATCCGTGTTACGATACCTCCTTTGGAAGCGCACAATAGGATCCGCTAGGACATCCGAGCAGTCGATACGGCGTCCGAATTTAGTCACATCGGGATGCTTCTTGAAAAGGAGCCAACCCATGTGTGAGAAAAATAAGCCTCTGAAAAATTAAATTCAGATACTAATCTGTATAATTTCGTTGCACACTTTATCATACTCTAATTCACTTGGGCTTAAACTTTTTTTGGAAGACAACAATGGGAAGCTCATATGTAACTCACGGAGATTCCTAATATCTGTCTATTATCTTGAGCTTGACCTAATAATGAAATAACGCGCAACCATGATAACGCTAATGAAGCTTTTTCTAGTAGTTCTGGTCGTTTTCTAGTTTGACTTTCTAGTTGTTTTTGGTATGTTGTTCACCTGTTTATGTTGTGGGGATCGGCATTAGTATCAGAGTACTTGTGGTGCACCCGATGGTCTCGTACCCATTCGTAGAGATCATTTTGGGCAGCGATACAGTTGAGGATCATAAGAAAGGCCCGAAGTGGACTTTTCGCCTAAATAAAATAAGATAAAGTAATAGAAATCGAGATCAAGAACACTTGGTAATACTTATGTGTGGGGGGGGGGGGGGGGGGGAACAGCAACAGCAAAAAAACCATTCGATTTAATATTCATCTTCGGCCTATCAGTCCTTGATTTTACCAAACATATAGATTTCACTTAACTATTACTTATAATAGCGCAAAATTACTTAGCTAATCTTTTAGTTGTACATAGACGTTTATTATGGGTCGTCTCCATTGTTTACCTTATAGGATCGGTGGCACCATAGACGGTGAGCTCCTACGGTTACGGAAAGGCCCGACAGCTGCAACCAAATTAGACCTACAATCCGAAGGATGGTGTCATAAGGAACCTCATGTCAAAAAACAAAGTTTGCAGCTGAAATTGTATGTGTACGTACATCGCCGCGGGTTAACTTGCCCGGTCGATGTATAGTTTATTTTCTAGTAACTATTATTAGCACTTGTCAGAACGAGATTTTTTTGAAATGTTTGTGAAGTGGATTTTAACTTACAATTAACGATATACAAACTATGCCGGGAACATGGACCAAGAAAGTTTCCCGTTATGACCTGGTTGGGCATGTGCAAATTGATGTGATTTTAGCTTAAAAAATGTGCGAACAAACAAAACTCTTATACTTTTTACCTTTTCAAATTTCAAGCAAACTACAACGTTAGAATTCTGTTAGAAGAAGACTAGCACTGAAAAGCTTCAGTACAACTACATACTAAGAACAGCGCGCTCTGGCGACTGAAATATAAAACAAAAGCATTTTCGATCTCGTAGATGGATAGCTATAGCAACTGGAGAATGCATGATTCCGTTGCCTCTTTACACATATGATATCAGTATGAGTGGCAGGTAAAGATTTAAAAATGATATTTAAAAATATTTAAAAATTCAAATTAACGAAACTACAAGTAATAAATGAAATCCAGCTACTAATTGTGGTATATTATAAGTTTCTATTATGCGGATTTTCTAATGTAACATTTTCTGGTATATTTATTCACTTATTTTTGATACTAGCCTTGTCACTTACCGAAGACATGTGTTTGCCATTTCAGTAGGTGCCAGTGAAAGATGCCCCAAATAGCGAAGATATGCAGAAAGCCAAGCTTGACTACGTTACTCCAAACGATGTTACTCCATGTCCATGTCGGAAGCTCTTCACTTGGCTTTTCGAGAACAAGACCATCACGTTTTTGCTCAATCTCATTCTTCAACTCTGTGCCGTGTAAATTTTGCCTGTCACGCTGGTGGGTCTTCAAGTCGGTCTGATGAAGCTGGCCCGTAAAGGCGTTGAATCTACACAACGAACGGGAATCGATAGCCGAGGGAAGGATACTCCGAGTTTGTGAGATAGGTTAGCGGCATTATCGTTAAAAATCTAATAATCTATCGCAAGTGAGATAGAAGTTCTAGAAAAATCATCACTTATCACATTACAAAGTTATCCTGTAAGATTTTTTTTTATACTGATAGGCGCCCGTGAGGTTTAGATAGAAAAACCCGTCCCTGATAATTAATGGACTTACATATCGCTGACGAGCGTGTCGAACGAAGACAAAAACCTACTTAAAGATCTTATTCTACTTCTTCTACCGCGTATAGAATCGCGTATCGTCAAAGTCTTTGATGCCCAAAATAGTAATATGATTGAGATTAATATTGCTAAAAATATGTGTTTTGAATAAATAGTTGGTCATAATAAACATATCTTAACTAGACTGTTTGGATCCATCAACCCGAGAAACAAGCCATTTGAAGTTTCTCCTCATAGTTTAATTCAAGTCGTTAATAAACCTCACCGGGCCCAAAAGTCTTCGACGCCTGTTCAGCGTCTTTATAAAACTAAGTGCTATTACATAGCGTCCAGCGGAAATGTTCCATTAGAGCTTGAAGAGATATTTCATCCAAATGCGGCAATACCCTCTCATAAATGTGTACCAACTAATTCTTGAACCCATACCGTCTTCTGGATCTTGTGGATCTATGTGCAACTAACTAATGAAGTAGAAACCAATGAAACTTTCGTTACGAGATCCCCAGGAGCTTCTGTAGTCTTCATTTTGCCAGGCACAGTGTTTCTCAAGGCTTAACCACATCAAATAACGGCAAATGGCCACTCTCTGGCATTACATTCAGTTTGTTTATATTTATAGGCATGATTCCTCCCGTTACGCAAAAAAATAATTTTTCCTTCATTGAAATTTGTTCGCTTATATCAATTCATTTATATCTTGCTCTACGGGGTGTTACCAACTCTCCTATTATATGTTAACCAAACTGTTTAATGGAAATGTTCTATAGCAATAAATCACCGGTGCGACCTATTTTCTAAGAGAAGTGTTCGATTCGTCGATACAATATTGTACATCGCGTGGTGAAACCTTGGCGTTGACATTATTTTCTAAATTAAATTGTTAATTATTATGAAATTAAGTATCTACGGTGTACTTATAGGCTGCCTTTGGGTCCTTGACTAAATAAAAAAAATAACTCGTACGTAACCGCCAAAAAGCACATCGTTTTGGTTGCTTACGAGCGCGTAAAATCTATACAGTTAGTTTACTTTACTAGGCCTAATCATCTATCACTTTTTTTTTTATCAAATCAACGCATACCTATAATTGAATTTCATAACTCTTTTATAATAATGATGTTTTGTTTGCACGGCTTCACTACCTGCCAACCCTACTGCTCCTTGCCAGTAGAGAGACTCGATTCGTAGGCGTATCCGAATTGTCAGTGATATTTGCCAAGGAATAGGACATGTCACTGTATTCGTAGTTTATAATCCGCTACATTCTACATACACATGCATGATAATAACAACACTGATCCAAAAGATACAAAAAAAAACAATACCCGATATCTTGAGTCATCATGTCAAGCCAGAGTCGGACAGATGCCGTACGAACAGGCGCAAGCAGGTCGTTGATTCACCTCACTCTACTTGAAACGTTCGGTCAGTTTTTCGCCCACCGGACCTGTGACAGGTGTAATGATACTTCCGACGAGAAGTAAACTGTCGCTCTGCGTCGGAGCTGCTTGATACCGTCATGAACGGCAGTTTCAAACTAGTAGTAGCAGTAGCAGTAACAGTAATCCTTAATCCATTGGATTCGTATACCACGGTCTTGGCGAGGAGATAGATCTCACCCCATAAAATGATACTGTGCCTACGAGAAGGTGCGGAGATGGATGCAATGGTTTCGTCTGGGTAAAATACATGTATCGTTGCATAGTTAGAAGAGGGGACCGACGAACAACAAATTTTCCCCCTTTCTGGATCCCCAGAGCACTCTCCGCTCAAACTAAGACATATCGATATGACGACTGGTGCTAACTGAAGGACTAGACCTGACGGACAAAAAGAACGGCACACTGACGGCTTTCAACGACTGACATATTCGACCCATATCTACGCATCTAAAAAGCTCTTCGGTTGTTCCGCCTAATCGACATGAACACCCGAATGATGCGTTTTAAATTGTATTTTATACACTATAATTTTTACCGGAATTCGTAAGAGAAGGACTATACCGCTCTCTTTGCTGAATGAGGCACCTTTCGGCTCAATAGGGATCTATCTCGACGTTTATATTGGTTCGGGCGGAACAGAAATGAAACCATATATGATGAGTTCGGCAGAGTGCGAAGTAGTGAAGGCGGGTCATGGTTTGTATTAAAAATCTCAGCTCTACTTAGTTTACTAGCATCGTGCTCATAAGCCAAAAACCCAATATTGGGATGTATGCACGCCTATTTTGACATCATTTTTCTAATAGTTGTACATTTTCTCGTCTGATTCTGTTTTTTCAATTGCATCATGCTAACAATCACATAGAACTAATCAGCTTGATTTATTAAACCACATATGCAAGAGCTACTGGTACTGTTTGGGGGCCGCTAATTATCCGGAACTGCCTTTTTATAAGATGCATAATGCTTACTCTTGACAGTTTTCACCAGCTTGCCCAGTTTGTGTCAGTGGAAAGTGTTGAATCTGATAAAAAAAAAACTTTTGACACGAGATCAATTTCGCAGAAAATACGAAGCAGCCATATCAATGAATCATTCGCTGTGCAGCGTTTGTTAAAAACTGCTGCTAACCACGCCGATGATGAAGTACGGGTGGTCTTCGTACTGCAAACGTTAAAACGTACTTTGGATAGCCATCAACACAAGCGAATCCGTACTTCGAACCTGGTTTTGCTACGGACACGTGCATGTATGTACTAGTGCTTGCAGCTTAGCAGAGAACAGATCAATTGAACGACGACTGTATTTAAGTTGTCAAACGGCTGGCCAATGAAATTATTTGTACTTCGTTTAGTTTATAGAGAATCATACGAACGAGAGCTGTGCTTGGATTGCGCTGTTATGTTTAATTACCGAACAAAGAGGTCCTTGCCGTTGTGGGTCTTTTACTCCCGTCTTCAGCTCGATAGTTGTTATGGTCGTTGCTTAAAAAAATCATACTCTCAAATATGGCAAATCGGACCGGGATAAGAATCAATATATGCTGTGGACATGTCGCCAACTCTGGGCTGACAATACGCAGTGACCCGAAACGTAATATAAATATGAAGTTCAATGAATATAAGCAGTCTATATGTAAAACTCGAAAAGAAAGATAGGTCGAGAGAAATTAGAAAGATTAACGATCGTTTTTTTTTATCTACATGTCGGGACCACGTAAACAACTAGTTAAAGCCATTAACCCGCTATGGCGTACGGCGGTGACAAACGAAATCAGTCGGCTTGAAGACGCCGCTTACCATAGAGAACCTTTAATAAGTTTGACACCATTGATAAGATTCCCCTGTACAGAAATCCAATGTGGCCCATCTATTAAAATGGCAGCGTTCCACATAAAAGTAAAAATATCCTCTTGGGCGTAAAACACACGAGCAGAGATTCGTACCATGGAGAGCATTGTTTGTCTTTTTCCTGTCAGAGCCAAAAAAAATCACGGTCTGTTCGGCGAAGCAATCAGAGAGTACCCTGGTAAGCGTAGCTGCCGGTGCAAGTTTTTAGTTATTACTTATTTACAGTTATTATTTAGTTAAACAAGTATTATAGTGTTGTGTTATATTATATTGAATTGAATTTAGCGTGTCGTCGGATTCGTTGCAGCGAAAGATCAAATGATTTTATACTTTTTCCCGAACGAATGGGGTCGATGTATTCTATAGTGTGCTAACAAGAGCGACCGTAGCTATTGTAACAGCTACCATTGGTAACAATAAACTATATATATATATATATATATATATATATATATACATATAAATAAATATAAAGATAAAAGCTTATGAAGGAGGAGACAATTGATACGTGTCATGAGGAAAAGAACTTCGATAAGAAACATACATGCGCGATAGTTGTCAATATTGACAGGGTAACGCAGCGGCAAGCAATTCTGATGGCCAGCTTGTGTCCTTTCAGTTTGATTGACAAAAAAACTGAAATGGAGTGTAGTTGTTGGCTTAACAGGGAAGAATTGCGCTTGGAAAAGTGTCACTAGACATTTTGTTTACACGTTATTCACGTCTACTACAGAAATCCTTATGCTTCTTAGGAACTTATCCTGGTCAGGTTCAAACCTGTTAGTCAGTACTGATCACTGTTACGTGCGAGTGTTCGAATTTTAGCCAATGGGGAATGGCTTTCCTCTATTCGAATTCGTTTGTAGTAAAAAATCAAGAGCAGAAATTGTCCTTTGTTTTTTTTGTTTAGCTAAGCACTCGACGCGTAGGTCCAGTGTTAGTAAGCTGAATTAGTAACATACGTGTGTTTCAGAGATAGTGGTGATCCATTTTATTTCGAAAATACGAAGCGTTATCGAAGTGCAAGAAGTGGGACAAAAAGTCGTTCATCTATCATCCGATTTCATATATACTGAATAGAGTGGTTTAGCCGGCCTAATTTATAAGATTCTTTGTTATTAGATAGTTGGTGTCGTTTTTATGGCGGTAGTAATGGTCAGTAGCCTACAGCCGGGTAAATTCCACGAGGTGACGACTGTTTCCATCAATACCACAATGTACAAAACTTAAAACTTCGATAATTTCATATTGCATGAAAAGAAAGAACATGAACTCGCTAATAACATTTACACATGGTCAAATCTAAGTGGTTTCGCGGCGATTACCAAGCGATCAGGTGACGCTGATGGAAACTTATTTTACCGATGGGTATCTTCATGGGGTGAGAAAGCATCTATAAACCCGGCCGAACCCAGTGAAACATACCAGCTCAAACCTAGAAGCTCCACTAGCTGATGCAGCAATCCAAACGGCCATTAATTTTCTTACGTTAATTTACTAAAATTAAGAAGAAGACAGCATACAGTAGAATTAATTCTCGCGTCTAATCACGAGGTTAGGTCACATTTGTAGCAGGTCAGTATTCTTCTATAATCAAATGCGTCAAGCTTCCATAGAATATTCTAGACGAAGATGACTTCATCTGAAAATAAGGTCCCTGTACTAGCTCAGTGGGTAACTTATTTGCGTGCTAATGTTAGGAATACGTTGTGGCCTTGGTTTGAGCTCGGCCATAGACACACTTCGTTTCGTGCTGGGAAGGTTTGATGGAACACCGAACGGCGATACCGGACAGAGAGTTCGAAACGAAAGACATGAAGTGATACTAACAATGTTAATATAAATTCTCTCGATATGGACGTCACTCTCTTAGTAAACTGGGTGGCAGTAGTAATATCAGCTATTAGAAATCCTACATTGTTAGCATTAATTTCTTTCCGCAACGTTAAAGGCGGTCATCAGCTTTCGTACTTCAGTTCTACGTGTACAGAACTGCTGGTATGGCCTTTTTTGCTTTTTGTCAGTACAAGGTGTTAGCTACTCTATTTATCTACTTGATCGTCTCAGCTATTTTCGCCAAACGTTAGCAATGGACACCGAGAATTCAGACGAGCGTGTTTCAAGGAGAGCGTCCATGCACATACGTCGCATACATTAGGCGCACACAAATAAATGTATGTATTTTTTTTCCTCAAGACACATCCATGTGTACCTAGCGAAAGATGAAAAAATCAACATCAATCACCAAAAATCTTCTCATACATGAATGTTACTTGGACAGGCATTTGCGGGGTTTAATGGTCAACATGTCGTGTAAAGTAAACGTAATCAATTCAGTTCAGATGTACACTTATGTGCTTGTTTTTTTTTTAAGCTAATTCTATCGCTAATTTCAAATGCTCTACTAGTATTACGATATATTGTCATTACAGGGCTGTGAATAATATAGATCTATATGAAAGAGACCCTTGATAGCATCGTTTTTTCCTAAACATTTAAAAATACATAATGGACTTAACAAATAATATAACTGTTATCGAGTCCGTCCATGATTTCATGTTAGCGGACTGCGAGGCCGCTACATTGGTCGCGTCTATAATGATCAACATGGTCCTACTTGATAACAATAATTGTTTACCCTTTGGCAAAAGCCCTGCTATATGGCCTGTCCTTAGCGAACACTCGGTGTTCAATACTTTCTTACACAAGTAGTGTTTGGTGCATCTGTCTTGTCTTAAGCAAACGATCCATGATCAATCTAAGATTAGTTTGCAGCAGAATTCAGCAAGAACATTATCTATAGGTGTAGTCTTTTTGTATTGACAAATACGACAGTATTGAGAAACGTAACTATACATTAATTTAATTATCAACGATGCAAATCCAACTCAAATAATGAACTCAACTTAATCATATTAAAATTAAGCTAAACTGCCTTAGAAACAGACATATTAAAACATTTAGGGCCTTCGTCAAGTTATATTCAAGCAGGCTAGCATGGCAGGCATTTTATGGTGCCATGGTGAATCTAAGTCTACGAAAAATGTGCGTCCCCAGTATTTGTCTCACCAAACAATGAAACGATAATGAAACAATCGACGACCAGCCAGAACAGATACGGAACTGTTAATGTTTCGGCCAGAAAATCAAGGATCCTTCATTTCTGTAAAATCTGTACGCGGATATAATGAGAATATAGAAACGGCAGAGCGAGGATATTCACTTGGAAAAAACTACTCATTTTACTTTTCCGCCCTGCTTCTTGCTTTGTCATAACTGACCCATTGAAAAGATGGCTGCTACGAGCAGCGGTCTTTATCGAATCTATCTATGCTAACAACGCGACGCAAGTTACTTTGTAGCTACGAGTTAAAGAATGTAACAAATTGATGCTAACGAAATAAGTTCTTAAGATAAAACTTTTCAACAAAAATAAGAAAAGCCTCTGTAACGAGAAAAAATGTGTACCACATGATAATATCCTAGCGCGATGTTGTTTGACAGCCGGCTGCCATTTTAAGGAATGCATTACCATGAAATGACTTCGGTGTTGAGGTGTCTTGCCGTTTGTTTGTTTCACATGGTCAAAGTGTTTTCCTTGTCTGCAATCATTTTTATGCGTGCCAAATGACATTATTTGATTAATAGAAGTGCTCACGGACGCGCTCGTTCGCTAAAGCAAATAGAAACTCAAGCAAACGATTAATTTCTACCTACTCTATAACGTTTTAAGTGAACAAGCATTGCCACAACGTATAGATACTACAAAGCATAAAGTCTGTACCTAAAATGCCCAGTACTCTGCAGTCTCTGACAGTTATTGACGACATAGCGATTCAGAGATAGTAGGATAATTCATTCAGGAGTAAATTGAAGGTGCGCTTTTTCAGAGGGGCGAAAACTGATTTTGGGATGCTACGGAAGAGTTACTTGATAGCTGAGATCATACAAATTGAATCCTTTGAGGCATTCAGAAAAAGAGCTCAAGCTTACGGCGAGCTAGTGGTTTGATTCATCAGTTAACTGATTCATTACTAGGAACAGAAATAAATCTACTATTTCCAATTTTCCAAGTGCTCAAAATGGCCAGTTATATGGTAGAGGAGCAAACAACCCAAAGTAACAACATTAATCACAATTGCTATACGAGCAACACGTCACAACAAACAACATGTTCATTTTCAGATATCCAAGAAATAAGAAATCCCAGAGGTCAGCTGAACCAATCCACCTTATCCCTTCGATTCCATCACATGAGTAATAATTAACATATAGACCGCGGCTTAACTGATGCTCACTTGATGACCATGGTGACGCCTACGGAGGTAATTCGTCCACTTCCGGTTCATACGCTGCTACTACCCGATAGTTCAATGCTTGATGCTAACGTCACCTATTCGCGAAGTCACTTGTTTACTGACTGACAGAACATCTGCGCGAAGTTATCAAGTCTGCTTTTATACATCGAGCTGTCTCTCCCTTAAACGCCGAAGGAGTGTATCAGCATTTCGGGGGTGGACTGATAATATCATTCTCATCTCTTACCCAAGCACCTTGTACATCAGCATTAATAGCTCCTTCGAATGACCTTAACCATCTGCTTTAACGATTTCACCATACGCAGTGCTTCTCCTTCTCTTTCAGTGAAATACACCCACATGTGTGCACAGAATCCAGGAGCGACCTCCCTTTCTTATTAGTTTATAGTGTATCATTATTAAGCTTATCTTTACTCAAGCGATTAATCGCCACTTCAAGTAGAGGTATTTGGCCTACCAAAAAACAAAAGCGAAAAAAACAGCGTTCGCATCGTAACGCATCGTGGTGGGCTTTGAACTAGAAGCTTCGTCCGGTCCTCGATCCACAGGAAGTTGTCAGGGCTGCTCTTGTTTCAGCCTTTTTCTACACTCGACGAACCATTCGTTGCTTCACATATAATAAATGTTCATCTATAGTACTCGCAAAACAGTTACATTTCCCGTAGCAGGCATCTTTGGCAAGCGCTAGGGGTTCAACGAATCAGAAGGGCAAGGACTTTTGTATTTGCATGCTTAGGACTCACTGTCCCTTGCACTTTACTGTTACCTTGTCGATGATCAGATAGATCGATGGTAGTGGACGAAGCGCGGCACGATGACAGAATGGCTGACCGATTTTCTACTAGCCGCATTCAGTCCGATTCCTCGTGTTTATTTAACCGGTAGATGCATGTGTACAGCTGTGTGACACTCTGACCCATTCGAACTTGAACTTTATCATGAGCGGAACAAACGACAATCGTAGTCATAATGCAGCGATATTATCTTCGCCTTGTGTGGAAGGTACTGATTGCCGATGTCTTGACGGCCTTCACTGCCGGTAGTCATTGGGCTCCTTCATTGCCAACGCCTTTCCTTCGATCCCGGAAGCGGATAATTGTGGACAGTTTTCTGTCGTCTTCGATGAATAAAGTTACGAATCGTTTGTTTGCCTACAGCCCATCACCCCGTCGAAAGGGCAGCTGTTGCTTTTGGCGCGTTGTCTGGAAGCTCGGTGCAGCAACAAGCACCTCACTGTAGTATACAGGTGTATGTGGTTGGTAAAGTCAATGGGAACTGGTGCATATACTCATAATGCATGATCTAAGGATATATTTGTCCTATTTTAGTGGGCAACGAGGCAATTTTTTATAAAAACCTGCAAGTTGGCTAGATATTGAAAGTAAAAAATAGGTTGTCGCTGAAAATTAAATTAATTATTATTATTATTATTACTGAATTGATTGTATTCAATTCGATACAGGATGGCGCCTATATTACTGTTTATATAATATATTACCGAAGAGCTGCCATATGGCCAATATGATCTCTGATGCAATATTAATCATATTGACGAATATTCGTTTCGAGAGCCAAATGAGGCTACACGCCAATTTTCAAATCGCTACCTATTTGTATAGCGGATCCGAAGCTGAGGAGCTTACGGAAGTTGAGGGACAGATAACAAAGCAATTATAATCTTCCAACCATGGCCCACACCTTCGTGGAACTCGCTGACTGCGCTGGACTTTCAGTAATAATAATAATACTCATAGTAATTATCGTGATCGCTTCATGATGACGATAACAACTGCTCGTTATGGTAAAAACGTACTGTATATTGAACTCCCTCGTTCAATTACTGATGGGTGGTAGGCAATGGTCAATACAATTAACAGTGAATCAATAATCCCTACTATATAAATGATTAATCTTGTGTTTTTTTCATTTGTTGCTCGTTTCGGACTTATTTATTAGGGCTGTTTTGGGATCTTAGCTGTTCTACTGTTCTCAATATTGGAGCCGTAATTCGGCATCAGTTTTCTCTATAAATAATGAAATAATCCTAAAGATAAAGCATGCTCGAGGTCCCGAATTTACGAAAGCAAAAAATTACGTACTTCCTCAGTAACCTATGAAATTTATTTAGAATATGGCAGTACGCTCTAGTTGGCCATACTGCCATACGAAACAGCCGTTTTTATAGTACCTTATATGCGCTTATAGTACATTATATACGCATTCCTGCATTTTATAGCCACATATAAGTCATCTCCGTAAAATGATGCAAGGGTAGCGTGTTTCCCTGCCAAGAGAACTTAGGGACACTTGGTGAGGTGATCTATGTTCAGGACCAAGCGCGGCAATACATGCTAGAAGCCCAATGGCAGTTACGTACGCAAATTTTAAGACATCTATATTGCCTACGCGTACACATCTCTAGGTTATTGTAAAAAAACCGATGAAGACAACAACAACAATATTAAGGTTAAAATTTCAATTGCTATGTTTCTTAGCTAGCTCATAACTGTAGTTATCCAACAGATACCGATCGTAGGGGCTTCATATATGTAAGCATTCAAATGACACTTGAGAATGGCGGAAAGAAAAGACGACGACCCCGACAGATTTCTTCTATTTTCATGCCGCTATTATGTAGCTGGCGCTGTGTATCATTACCGGCGTCGTCTACTAGGAACGAGAGAGAAAACGCACCAACGATGGGGCGGTCTCGACCGTGAATTGGTCACGGCTACATATCAACGCCACCGCAACTACAATGACAGTAATAAATCAATATTGGGTAGTTCTTCACCTAAACGACACGAGCGCGTAAAGCTGCGCTTAAGAAGACTGAATTGAAGAAGACGACTGGAAGAAACTGGGAAAGAAATTAAAAAAAAAAATAGAGGAATGCTGAAAATGTTGACCGGTGCGATTAATTTTTCGGAAGAACAAGACCGTATCGCGTACAGAGCAGACCTATAGGGAATCAATTTAGCCTGTCATCGAAGGGGCAGCCGAAAGTCAAGTTTGGAAGAAATTCGACGAAATAAACGTTGTTATTATTACGGGAGAAATAACTGTGTCTGGGCTGAAATTGTGGGGGCGACAGCAGGGGGAAAAACATTACGTGTCACTGTGTCTTATAAAGCTAAATACTTCTGAATTTGATGTCCGATTCCTCTGCTCTAGCTCCAAACGGCAGCTGGACCCTTCCAGGACCAAATAAATCGTACGTATACGCTTGTCCCTAGGCCTTTTTTTTGTAAAGCTTAGTGTGAGAAATTGGTTGTTCATAGCGGTATAACTAGACATTTAGATGAAGTACAGAGAATTGATTAATATTTAAGTTTATGCAATTTTTACAAATCAACACAAAGGCTGTTTGTGAGGCGTAAATTAGTAACAGAAGTTAATCCCCAATGAGCTTCACGGCTCAGCTGATTTCATTCTGTACGACTCGTATGAGCGGTACACACCAGGACACATATAGGAAAACTGTATCTAATTGGAGAAGTCCAATGAAAGAAACGAAGGAGGCTGGCAGAATATCAGTGAATGCAATTCTTTCTGCCAATGATGCGTAAACACCGTATCCACGGTGACTATCGATTCTGCTTAGTAGTGTTATTGGTTGAGGTTTTCCCACCAAAATATTTCACTGGCCATAGTCGACCAGCCAGGATCATTTAATTTAGTCAAATATAATAGCTGTGTCGTGATAGTCAACCATACGCGGCACATTTTCAACGCACAGACGAATACATGTGAATTCGCTAAGTTACCCATTGATTCACACCGAAGGATATTTACAGGTGCAGCCATTTGACGGCACACTACGGTTTTTGCGTAAGCCTCACCAGAGCTTACAAACAGGTATGGCCAAGAAAATTATGTAGCTATGTGCATCGATCGTTAATATTTATCTTGTACGTTATAAAGTCAGTATAATTGCACTGACAAAGCTTGCATTTCCCGTGTAGCGATGCATTAAGGGGCGCAACTGTATGATGAACTTCAAAATTGTCAAAGATACCACGAGCAACAAAAAAAAGATCTACTTGCGAACTCAACACATCACATTAACATCTCAGCATTTAGAGCAAAAAGTAAACAAAAACTGGCGGCATACCAGTGTTTGGTCTAGGCCTACGTGAGCTGCCGGAAATTTACAATCTTATTTTTTTTACGAATTTCCGTTGTTTTTTCAAACGTCTTCATCCCGTTTGGAAAATCGAGTGCCAAAATGACTACAGGAAGAAAACACTTGTGTTGTACTGTTCTTCTTTAGAAAAGCATCTTTGTAGGACCTCATCTTTGATGACATGTGCAAAAAGAATATCGTCATACCTTGTTCCCGACAAAATAACGAAGAGGCTATCAAATGGCATCTATTTCCGAGCATCTGTAGCATAGCGAATTAAAGTATACAGATGAAGATAATTGATATAATTTCGTAACGTAAAAGTAGAATCTGTAACTTGCATAAAATTTTACTTGTTTAAAATTAACTGCTATAGTTGTAGGCTTAACAAAACTCCGAAAATCAATGAAACTGAAGTAAACTAAAGTTCCAATACGCCTTATTTTTGTCAAATATAAATTCGGCAAATATAAATAGTGTGCAATTCGTTTGACGAAACAGTGTCCTGTCTTTTTGTTTCGATCAAAACATACTTAAACCTTAATACCATTCACCAGGTTTCCACTTGTCACAGGTAATTATCACACTCGATATCCATTCAATATCACACGGATCAATCGAATTAGTTTTTTTCTTAAAGATCATGCCTTGCAAACATGGTAGACTTGGAAGTATAAACCTCTAACGGTATTGTGCCGTAAAGTCTATCTTTGACACTACCGATATTACTTTTTGCCAGTAATGCCAGTTCGCACTGTTGATTTCACACCAGCTACCGTTTATACGAACACAGACGGTCTGAGACAACAACCATTAACGATAAATTTGCGGAAGGCGGGAAATGAGAAAGTCCGAACGATAATCTCCTGCTAATCCCCTACGCTGTGTGCATCTCTGCGGTACAGCGCTATATACACATATATATATATATATATCGCAAGTCTATGTTTGTCAACGGAAGTCAAATCTCGTTCTTTTTTGTTTTCCAGCAACGGGTGCAATTTGTTTGTACACTACTTTATGTACGGACGTAGATATACATCTACGCAAGCCTTCGAATGGTACTTAACAATACATGGTATACCGGTATGGATAATAAAAGTGATTTTGATGATCGTAATAGGGATATGCAACGGCCTGAAATTGCGGCGTAAGTATTGGTGAGCCTTTAAGGTTGTCAAAAAAAGTTGTGGCGAAACCAGTGAAGAATCCAAATGTCTAAACGCGCACCGCTTTTAACGTGTTAGTGGAGCACCTGTATACTAGCGTCCTCTAATTATTATTAGCTAACGTTATAGTACTGTACTGTTAAATGAGACTTTTCAGCGAACGCTCGTAGTAATGGAACACGACGCTGAAGGAGGTTTAACAATGTCAGATCGGTGGAGGGTATCTTGTTTTTATTTAGATTATGAAGCTATATCAGATTATATCAATTCGATAGATGCCATCAGCTGCTGCCCTTGGGTAAATTCACACTGAAACGTATTTCGAATATTCCGGGTCTTTTTTCATCGCGTAGTTGTATTCATATCAATCGCCAGATACATACACAGAGTTTGAGCGCGCTATTGTGGTAATTGTTATAAGATGGGTCCGCATCTAAGGGAAGGCATTTTCGGCTGGAATTCTTGTTTATGCTTCCTCGTAGAGCAAAGGGTTGTTAATGATCGCAGGGTAAAATCCACTTTAAATCTGGTTATATCCATTGAAATCGAAAGCGGCAGTGTACGCAGGTCAAATTGCAGAGACCACTTTAGGCAAATTTGATAATGATCAAATTGGCGCATTTGCTTACTGTTCTATAAAGGTATGGATAATTACAGGAATTTACGCCTAAATTTTGACCTACTCCTGACTGGGTGAAGATAGGGTAATTATTCTAGAATTAGCTTATGTCTCAGTCTATTGATGAAATTAAACTAGTCTTTACCCGCTATTTTTTCAGAACGATTGGGTGGTCTTAAAAATTTCATGTTCCGTAAGATCAATGCGTATTTTCTCAAACTACTGAAAAACTGAACGTAGAATTAAAACTATGCATGTAGCTATTATGAAGCGCTAAATAATTGTTTTTGTCTCATTTTTGTTAAAGTAGCATAAAACTTGCGTAAGCAAAACTTTGAGCTCATTTACTGCTCTTTAGGTAAGCCGCGAGAACGCTGCTCACATTCTTATGTGATCGTATCGTCCATAATAAAAAAAGGCCTGAAAATTCAGATCAAGCTACCGCGGATTCCTAATCTAATTGATATTTTTTATTTTATACTATATAGGTAGACACGTCCCAATACCTATAATAATAATAACAACGACAGGCAGATAATACTTCATTGTAATCACAAGTCTAAAAAAGATCCGCATTATCGTTCAAAAAACTGCGGTCAGGTCACGAATCTATTCTTGAGAAGAGAGACTAAGACAACTCAACGACTTTATTATCTGTTTGTTTATCCATAGCATCGTCGATTCCGTGTTTATTCGAGTCTTTGAACTTCAACGTTTCGTCGTGATAGCTATTTTCTGTTAATATTTTTGACCGTTGCTTTGCATTTTATAGAGCTCAGGCGAAAGGCATTGGCCTATTGAAGGATTCGACACCAAGTTTCGTCAGGACGGTCGTTTCTGAATGCATCCGTATCGTCTGCGGCACGCGGCGTACTGCGGTACGGAAAACGCGGTAAACTTGGACAAATGTTTAACCAAATACTAACATAAATTTTTTGCACTACTTTGAGTGAACCTTCACTGTACTGTATATTTTTGTATGCTAGTACAATGTAATTCGTATCCGACAAATCGCATTATTGTCGGGTAAGCGCTATCCGAAGAAGAGTCATGTGTTACACTATTTTTCTCAAAAGAATGGACATGCTTTTAGCAACTTAAAGATTCATCTTATCGGTGCAGATTGGAATTGTCTACTAGATGGAAGTCTGAATTAGCGTTTACCTATTCAGCAGTCTTTGGCCGAGAAATCCAAGCGCGAGTGCTCCTGTCGTCGTGCCAATGACATCTATATGACGGACTTTGGAAAGATGATATTATTATTCATGGTTCCACGGTCTTAAGTTAATAAAAGTTTTTTTTTTCCATTAGATTATTTCCATGACATGAGCATAATGCTTTCTATTCTTTTAACTATGAATTTACCTGACCTTTTGTTAGTGCAGAACTGTTCGCCGATTCATTATGTGCCTTTTTGGTCACAAGATTTCCATCCATGTTTCCCGATATTATTTCCTGTTGCTTTAACTTTACGCTACACAGTTTTTGTTTCTTTTAAACAAGGTCCCTAAGAGTGACGCCCGCAGACATCGGATCACCTATACAGATGGCAAGTCGTTGCTAGTTCATCAGGCCGATTTCCCCCAAGACAGGGCCAACTGTAGATCAAGACTAGAACTTGTTTAACGAACTATGTCCTCGCTGCTGGATCTGGATAATTTTTGCTGAAAGTGCGAGTCATATTTAACTACTATAATTTCTACTATTATCTGTTTCAAGACCAGCTCTCTGTGGAGAAGCAGAGGCATATCCAAAAATCGACATAATTTACTTCAAAGAACACCCTTATATCTAAGAGCATGCCGTTGGCAAATTATTGATGAATAACTAAATCCGCTTGCAGTAGAGAACGCATATCAAATAGGCTTTCTACTGCCTACAATTAGTACTTAATCAGACTGTCGATGCCAAAAAGTTTCAACAAGTGCAAAAGTAATTGTCTTCGATACAAGCACCAAAATAGGCCCGTCATACTGCTCAAGATTTCAATATGGATTTCTGATATTCTGTTGTTAATGTTTCGTTCGTTATCGAAAAATTATAACGTATTTGCTGACGTTGCAAGCCTCATTACAGGACTATAGTGTTGATGGCGGTAGATCCGGGCACTTCATAATATATCACAATACCAAACAAAAACGCAGTCGATGTAATAAACAAGTAATTAAAATCCTACCAGTATTCAAGTAATTATAATCCTATCTTTAATTACTTGGTCGGTATCGGGTCACTCAAGTTACTTCAACGAGCAATTTTTTACATGCAAGCACAGCACAAAGGGGTCGCGGTGGTTCCTGTCTACATAACGATATGTTCCGTATTATTATTTAATCAGACTTGCCATGTACTACATATATACCGTGAGATTGAATCGTCTAATATATATATATATATAGGAAGGAAGGCTCGATAGGGAAATTACTGAAGCACAATGAACGTCATTGCGGTACTGAAGAGTCTTCGGTTGTTAGTCGGAGGAACTTATTCAGATTGAAGCTTAACCAGTAGCCCACTTTATTACAGGAATTCGACAGAGAGGATCGTTGGAAGTCAACCCTCACTGATCGGGTAATGAAAATGGTGAGTTCTGACTGCAACGGAAGCGATATCAACTCTAGGGCTGACTGACAACTCTAGCTCGCGCTGTTGCGGTACACAAATTTTTCTGAATTAGCTAGTCTCGCTATTCTATATGATTATGATGGTGCTGCTGTTAGCGCTAACAAATTTTGGTGATCCGAGGAGTTCAGGTGAGTCTGCTCATAGATGGTAAGTAACCATAAGTAAGAGAGTAAGGGCAATAACCTAAACGACTTAAATAGAATGTGTGCAGATCAATGCGAAATGTGCACGAATTGACATAGATCTTCGAAACTTTTAGTCATTAAGCCCCTGATCCAAAAGCAACTTTTAGTGTATAAATGGTAGACAACACGTGAGTACGGCTTGAGGAAAATTATTGAACGTTTAGAATCTGAAACAAAAAGGTGCTGACAACTTAAAATGCGAAAAACATATGCAAAATGAAGAAAAAGATAAATATATGAATATGAAAAATGTATGCCCTTAGTGATTTTTGATTCGTTTGGTTTAACATAGAGAAAGGGAGAGAAAGAGAGGGCGGGAACTTTTGAATGTTATAGGAAAAAAATAAGCGTAGCCCACCTTCAGTATTGAAGGAAGTTTCAAGCAGATCCGTCTTCACATCTTATAATTAATGAAACAAAAGGTAAATTCAGTATAAATAGAGCTGTTCTGAATGTTCATAGACAACATACAGAAACACCAAGAAGATCAACGAACTTACACAACCACGAAAGAGCACTGGAAAGTATATGGAAAGTATGACGATTTATAAGCTAGGCACTAGTCGTGTCGATCGCAGCGAACTCGTTATTCGAATTATTATATCGAATAAATTATAAGGAAGTCGTTACCATAAAGGTTGCATTCACACAATGGTACATTCTATTAATAAAGATGATCCGAATAAACTAACCATACGATATATATTTTTTTGGGAAAATTTTTAAAGTGATAAAGCTGCAGTTAAATCGATTGTCGTACTTAGTCAATCTAGTGGCACTTACTGCTTAACTTTAAGGGCACACGTTAAAGCAGGAACAGCATATAACTTTACAATAAGTAAATTCATATTAAGTAATATTTTTTTTTTTACTACACAGTGCGAATCATTTGAACCTGTTGTAGAATGTATTTAGGAAGACTTTGGGAAAGATGGCGATTTTAATTTCCAATAGGACATTATCATCGCATCGTGAGAGAATGTTCCAAACAGGTGATTTCAACCAAAGGGTTGTCCTGGAAAACCCCCGCTTCTTATACTTTACACCTTTGAAATTTTCTTGCAGGAATATTTTAAAAAAGTCAATATCAGAAAAGGGACGACACTGAAACATTCAAAAGCTTCAGTTAAACAAAAATGTGTCGACAGTTAAACAAAAATAAACGCTTGTTGAAGTTTGTGAATCAATGACAAACGGTTGTCAGCAGCGTGTTCACTAAAGCAGTAATGGTTCTAATTCTATAATTCCGCGGTAGGAATAATAGTTACGTGGAGTATTCTGCAATTAAGCATTCATGATTGTTAATAAAAACTGCAGTTGACATCATTCAAACTGTACATACATTTTTAAGACATCTATATACATATAGACATTAGTACCCCATAGGGTTCTAATATTTTGCGCTCATCGATATGTAATTTGTGTAAACCGTAGACCACACAGTTCAACTTTAAAAGAAAATTAATTTTTTTTCTTCATTCATACATTGATCACCTAATATGTACGGAATGTTTATTGTTCATAATATGGTAGCGAAATAAGGTTGGATTTAGTTGTTTGATTGAAATATTATATTAGTAATAGTTATCCTTTTTGTGAAACCCGATTCGTGATAGCCAAAGTCTAATCTAAACTTATGTCGAATAATCATTATCTATAATATAACTCTCAATAAGCACCTGATACACCAACTAAATCTTCTTATCAAAATACGTTCAGCATATACATATATATGCTGAACCTGAATATATCATATATATATATACATATATAAATTGTTGTTTTATCAAAGTACAGGGTAGTAAAATGCAGTAATGTAAAAAAACTAAGTTAATTTATTTAATTATTAACTGAACACGACAAACTTATTTCTCTCAGCTTACTATAACAATATGCCAGGATTCCGCATATTCCATTTTAGATAAATACCATGATTTTGTGGGGACACAATTTAAGTGTTCTCTACTGTCGTTCAGCATGATTCTGCATAACCTGATTTTTAATAATACTGATTTTGCCCCTACTGTGAAAATGCTACAATTGCAACACGTAGCCAAAATAACTTTGTCAGGTCTCATATAGTACAGCTGTCATTCAAAATCTACGCTTTACTGAGTGAGCTAAAAAATCGGAGCACGGACCCAGCGACGGTGTACTACGTCGCAAAATTGTCAGCCGCGACATAGTAACGACAGCTAATGTAAGCGATTCTTTAATAAATATAATGAAAATTCCAGCAAAAAAAGGCGCGCCTCTATAATTCTTGTTTTATATATACGTAAAAAAAATTGAAATGGAATATATTCTCGAAGCAGACAATTAGGATCCAATTTTGTACCCACGTTTCTTTCCTCAAACGATTGCCCCTACACAACAAACGCGCGGGCGGTTCGGTACCTGTCATCTTCATTTTCTGCAAATCAGAGGGCAAACGGTGCAGTCACCAACAAGCAGTGAAAATAGTACTCAGCATCACTATCAAGTGTTATCATCATAAGGGAAGTAGCGACTGGCTGTATTTGCACCACTGCATTGCACCGTATAAACGAGCTGCGGGCCAAAATTATCACAGATCACGGAGCTGATAACTATGCTTTATATAACGCACAATTATCAGCTCCGTGATTCTTATATCCGGTGAGCGTTAGAGTAACCAATGACAATAATGTACCCACCGGTGAAGCAAGAACAACCCCACCAAGAAAGGTCAACTTAGTTCTCTCGAAATATACGTGACGGCCGGTACGTGCACTCTGATAGATGCGTGTGCATATGGCCTGTTTGTTGTATATTTGGGAGAAAGAGTTGATTGTGTTAGCTAACATTCGAAACTCAAGAAAGCAGCAACTATGCTAAGCAATGCTGCATGCTAGAGATACATTGATATACATTCGATCTGGACATCGAGACGCGACAAAGAAGGCTCACTTAAGCTCACTTAAGCTACGGACATGTGTGAAAGGGTCTAGATTAGCGAATGGGCATAAACGCACCGAGGCACCAGTTGAAGCACTAGCTGACGGAAGTACCAAATTGAAAGAACAATTTGGAGGCTTTCTAGTTTTGAATTCGCTCATTTCCCGTTTAGGCTAGACCATTTAATATACGATGGGATAGCTTTCGTTATTTCCTACCGGGTGACTGTATTGCATATACGACAAGGAACTTAATATAAAATCACGGGGAAATTACGAACAACGAAAATCATGGAACCATCACATGGCCAGGTCTACCAGACTGAGCTAAACATAGACATACAGACGAGCAGATACTGATGACTAGTTTACTCATTTTGCATTAATTGTTGAGGGAAGTTTTAATAATCAGTGTCTGCTAATCGGTGCGGAGCGTTCAGCTCGTGTAGTTTTCGAATTCCTAGAACAGATGAAGTATGACAACCTCCACGTAAAAGCAGTGAAGGCAGTAGTGACTTTAGCAATTGCCTTAGGCATTGGAATCACACATTGCGCTCTCATTTTCAATTCGAGCTTCTATCAATCAATTACTTAATTAATTAATTTCTGTATTTTCGTAAGTTGCTGTAGTCGTCATGATACAATGTAAATTTAGTCATATAACCAACCTGCTTTTAAACAATAAATCGATATTAAGGTAGTATTTCTAAGCACATGGTTGTTCATAAGGTTCGTGACAACGTTGGCATGCTCAGGCTTTTCATACTCTTTTTTAATACCTATGCTGGATCAGTGTCTGAAATAGGGAAGATCGGCTTGCAGAAAACGCATGCATCGAGCTCAAATCAGTTTTAACTAAATCCATCGATGGAGTTAGTTTCGAATCAATTTCTGCTTCGCCTTTCCTAGACCATAAACAAACTATCACCCCTCTCCTTATAGTGATATTATAGTTGAATATCATTGTCCCTGTCTACGTATAAATATGTTTAAAGAAATTTACCGTCCTTTCTTGTCTATAAGTTTTTTGCTTGCCAACACAAAATATCCAGGCAATACACGTGTTTATATGCGTATTTTCAAGGGAAGCATCTGGGGGTTCATAGTGTGCACGTTATCCATTGTTCAAGGGGGCTTGCATACAGGACGACTGCTGCGCACTAATTTCTAATTGTCAATGGGAAAAACATATAGTGGTGGAATTCCATTTCTTTTTTTAGTATTTTTTTTACGAAAGTCTATATTGAGCGGATCCCAGCATCGTCGTAGAATAGCCTAATGATCACAATTAAAAGGTCAGGCGCTGCCGTATTCTTTCGACAGGAGGTGCTTAATCGTACATCATACTGGATTGTGTTTTTCACCAGTTTGTCGTTAGCTGTCAAGATTACTTCTTTTGCTTTTAATTACGGTCTGCGTTAATTTTCTAAAAATTAAAGTTGTACTCTTGTATTGCGACAAAGGATTCGTGTAAGCCACTTACGATGCGCAGAGTTGGCGACCAATTGCTGTTCCAACATGAAAACCGTCTACTTTCCCTAACTTCTTTACGCTTGGTCAAGTCAATACATTTTTCAACACGTATCTGTATATTATCTTTTTGTTTAAAATCAGGCATTAGATCGATTTCGGTTTGCTGTTCAGATGCGATTCAACGCTTCTTCTGAGTAGTGGTGAACTTGCTTGAGGTTTCAACAAAAAGAAGCAATCAAGCATATCTCAAAAGTGAGGGAAACAAATAAAAACATTTTAGACCCCCATACACCTCTATATAGCATACCACGTTTCATTGGTGACCCATCGAAAAACATAGACATGTGAAAAACCTAAAACATTATAATCTCTAATGTCATTTGATGGTTTGCCTTACCACCTCTTACTTTAAGATATGCTTGATTTAAAAGGTATCAAGCACTTGGTCTTCTTTTTTATTCTCTTTTTTGTTTGTCCAATTCACTGTAATCTAGCTGTTATCAACAACCTTTGTTTACTTTTCTTTCACACCACTCGAGACCTTGCTCTTCTAACTGTTCAACAATCGCAGATTTCTCGTCCGTTTCCAACGTCAATTGTATGCACCTATAGTAAAATATCGTCTGCAAATTTTTGGCCGAAGAAGCTTAAAGAAAAGAGCCAAAAAGTAAGATTTATCTTCGTTTTTTCGGGAGTTGATTCAGCCATAGGGAACACTAACCAGCTGGCGGCGCTGCGAGTAGATAATGAGCTTTTTTAAACACCTAATATAGTATAATGCTAATTGCTCTGGAACTTTTTAGAATTTTTATCTTTTTTCCGTTGTTCTTTTTGTCTCTTTTGTATGATTAGCGTTAACAAGCCCAGCGCAGATCATAATATTGATATATACGGGTGCATGTATAACATATTACTTTCAATATGTTTCGCTTTGTTATTGGGAATAGAATATATACTGTTAACGAGTTAATATATATGGTGCGTTGTGTCGCCGCTCTCTCGCTTGTAATATCGTTCGTTTAGGTAGAGCTTGTGTACTTAGCGAACAATATAAAAAAATCATCAAAAACTAAAACATTTCGCTATTAAGCAGCAGTAATGTTATTAGTAATATAGTTGCATTCGCCGAATCTGTTTTTGTCTACCGTCTTCCACTTTTTCGTTATATTTTCACTTTTTTTATTACAATTGTTTTCTATATCGTTTAGTGAAATATTTATATTATAATAATGTGCCATTAATAACTTCTAGCGCTCACCAAAGCTTTAAACCATTGTCTTCAGTCTTGTCTCGCTTAAATTTAGCTTGCTCGCTGCTGCTTCCACCCCTTAACTCCCTTTTTAACGCCCTTGCTTCGGACGTGACCTCTTTTTCACGGTTTTTCTACATTAATATGAACCTACTCATTGGTCTGTAACCTATTGTTATTATGCCCATAATAACCTTTAGGCCAGGCCCATTATTTATTCCTCTGTCCTGCACTGCGGCGCAGAGCATCAAGCCCATTATCGCTCAACTGTTCCTACGGTGCAATTATCCTTGAGCTTTCTAAACAATCGGATCGTCCTGCCTGAACACCATTTGGGCGTTGATGTCCTGGTTTCTGTCGACGAGTGCGCCTACCGCCATATCTCTTGGATCACTTTGCTGCTGCTGTGCGTGGCCTCCCTAGTGGTCGCCCAGGTCATGGAATTGCTGATAACGTCTGTCCCGGAACCGCTGCAATACCACAGGCACGCCCTTGGTTAGCAGCACAGTGAACAGCACGGCGAGCGGTAGACCCGCTCCGAATGCCGCTTTCCAACCGTTTGATCCGATCTGGTGTGGTATCGGCTGAGGACCTTTGCAGTAAAACTCGTCTGAACCGTCGGAGCAATCAGCCTTTCCGTTGCACCGCCAGCCAGGCAGCATGCAATTCCGTTCGGTCTTACACATCGTGTACGTACCGTTATCATTGCTGCCATCGACTGGCGTTTCGAACTCACAGGAGATTTTGGTAAACGAAATATTTAGCAATTCGCTTCCTTGATACTTAATGATCACCTGTCGGTGACTCGAGAGGAAATAACCACCCTGACTGAGGTTGGCTACCGGCGCTATCAGTGGACTTCGAAGAGTGGATTCTCCGTCCCAGACAAGCAGTTCGCCAGCGATTAGCTTCTTTTGAGTAGGAACGGTCACGGTCAGATTAATGGCGATGCCCTTAGTTGCAGAATTATCTAAAGGCAAGCTGATAATGTAGATACAACGTTGGTCTTTGCACTTATCAAGAGTATAGAATTTGCCCGCGGCTGTGACGTCGGTGATTGTCTGCGAGTCGGGGGCCGTTGGGGCGATATTGACACGGAATCCATACGAGCCCTTTGGATTGAACCTTTGATTAGTGCCCGCTGATTCAAATAAAATATTGGTAAACTTCTCCTTCGAAAGCAATTGGTCCGCAGGCAATTTTCTGCCGCTATATTGTACTTTATCTTTGCTACTTCCAAACACCAGTGTATCACCCTCCGATAGATCCATTGCCTCGAAGCTGACCAAGTACTGATCGGCAGGATTGTCGCCCAGCCTTACATCGTACGTAAACATAGCCCCCATCGGGTAGACGTCTGGGAAAAACGGTGACATGAGGGTGAAGTTACTACCCTGCGATGCCACAACCTCAATCGGCGCCTTCGAGTTTGCCGTGATGTATGACATCTTGAAATTCGAATTCGCTTGGAATATCAACTTAGCTCCATGTAGTACATTGTAGGCGAACATGAACGGGTCACTACTTTGCGAAACGGAAACCTGGCCTCCGGTATCAGTCAAGTGCGTGATATTTGCAAATTGGACATTGTTTGGCCAAATCTTGACAAACAAAGCTGTATTTTTCGAGTCAGGAACGTCGGGACGAATGATCCAGATGCCTGTGGCAGTGCAGTCACCATTGAGGTGCATGTTAGCTTGCTGGGCAGCGATCGAGGTGCGAACGCAGCCTGAGTCGCGTGCAATCGTCTTGAAAGTGACACGTTCAGGTGTTGTAAATCCAGTCCCTTTTACGTGAAGTTCCGAGCCTGGCGAGCTAATATCGAATGGCGGGTGATCCTTGTCAAACTTGACAAGAGGGGTAGTTGACGTGAAATCGGTGTAGATTTCAATAGTCTTCTCATCGCTCAAATTTTGCACTGGAGCAAGGCTCACAGCAATCGACTGGTTGCTAAGACTGGACAAGAAGTAATCACTTTTGCTTCCAAAAGTCAAGTTGCCTTCGCCAGATAGGTGTCCGCCAGACGAAATTAAAGACGCTGATATACTGACCCCATTGCTGTTTTGCTGGAAGTTCATAGAAGTTAGAATAACCATTAGGTAGCTTCCGGAAGAAACAACGACTGAGGGAACTGCCGTAGTTGTGGTCACTTGAAGTAGCAGCTTTCCTGCTAGGTTACCTGTAGAGGTGAATTACATTTAAAGTAAACAGGAGATGAGATCGCCTTTAATAGGTTCGGAAAAACTACTATTCATTTTGCTTAAATAACAAATGCTTGAGTTGCAGCTACGATTGTCAGATACTACTTAATAGACGTCTGTGCAGACACATATAAATGGAGATACCAAATGTGGTTCGACTAAAAGCCGAAGAACGTTTTTGATTTGAAATCGAAAAAATGTATATTTGATTCTTAAATTATCATTGTATGCTCGAATGGGCTTCTTCGTTAAGTCCACTATTGTGTGGTGACGTCCAGTCTATCCAAATGCTATCAAGAGTTCTCTAGCTTTGACTAAAATCGTTTTATACGCACCAGAGTCGAGAACACTGAGAGTGTCTGTGGGATACTCGCGCTGGAATTTGTTTAGGCTCAATTCGATCTTCTTATCGCCGGTGGCACACAGGAGCCAAACGCACATGCCAAGTCCGGGTCCAGCTTTGGCGTCCAGCAACGTAGGAAAATCAACGCTGGAGTTTCCTACTGTAATTGCATTCTTAGGTCCGCACACTGTACCTTGATTACGCAAAAAATCAAGTACACTTCAACGTCATTTAGATATAATAGCACAAAGAATCTTTACTGGATTTCACGATACGGATGCAACAAACGATTAGTGACGCTATACATTTCTTTAAGCTTCTCGACGGGAGTTCGTTAGTTATAATTGGAAAATTGGTTGTTCTAGTTAGATCAAGGCTCAGTTATGCTTAGCGTTTACTCAGCGATTTAGCCTGTTGTGATTGAAATCTCTGTGGTTTGCCCTATATTATCATTTTCGTAATAATAAAAATGGGCTTGTAAGATATGGATAGAGACGATTCATAAAATTAGTCTTCGGGTTTCCTAGCCCACATCGAGGGGGTTATATAACACCAACGTGTTCGAGCTCAGATACATTCAATGTATTGAAAAAACGAGGTAAAGTAAAGAGGAAATGTCTCGACATAACCCTCGATGCAATGTAATGCAGGCTTATCCTCCGCTATTGTAGGACCTCTGTGAAAACAATCCATGTTGTCTTAATAGAACTCATGGAAGATATCTCTCCCTATAGTGACCTCCAATGAAATGGAGGTCACCTTTTTTAAGTTTTTTAGAAAATGCAATTTTGATAGTACACGAGAAGCACCTTGTGCACTTAGATCACGAATATGAAATATTTGAGATATTTTGGGTATATATACATATATGTTTTGATTTACGTGCAAATAGATTGATGACCGTCGTAATTACTTTTAATTGTTCTTCTTCTTACTTACCAGCCAAAAGAATAATGAATAAGTCTATGTCCTGATTAGGGTCTGTGACGTCCAATTCGAACTTTACAATGGTATTCGTTGAACCAATAATCACGTGATCAGGTTTTGTCCGAAATGGTCCTTTAGGCTCGGCCTCAATAAACGTCACACTTGACTTTTGGGCCAAAGTAAGATTGCGGAACTCGTATACCGCAGGGTCACTGACCTTGAAGATGCACGGTACTGGTAGTAAAGACCCGAGTTCACCCTATAGCGTAAGCATTATTGAAAAATTCATCGTTAGTGCCTTAGTCAGTGTCGTTCGCCGCAATACATTAAGTAATAGATATTATTAGATTTCGCAAATTTATAGTAAATTTCGCTAAGCTAGCAAGTTTGCTTTTGTGTAGGAGATAAACATCTAGATAGTGTAAAATCTTGGTCTTTCATCGCGCACGGGCTTCTAGGATGCTCGCACATAACGATAATTGTAGAAACTACACATATACACCAAGCTGAATGCATACAGAACACTTCGACCGTATTGTTATTTTCAAATGAAGTGCTTGAGTGAAGTCTCTCTTAGCATACCCGAGCTTGCACTGGCATATTTAGGCGACTGGCCAAAAGAAACCTGGGGTCTTTTCGATTTACTATGCCCCTTATTGTTATTTAGCTTGCGTTACAGTCGCGTTTTCTTCAAGCTCTTTAATTAATTTAGCCTAATTATAGGTGTATTAATCAAGTCAACGCCCTCATAAAATGGTTACAATTTATTCTTATTACAACAGATAAAGTCAAGAGAACTCGACTCATTCATGAATCACAAACGCTTGCCGTGTAACAAACAGGAAATTCATGAAAGGATAAACTCTGCTAGGCCACTCATGCCAACAACAAGTTGCAGCCTCCCTCGGCAGAATAGTACTTACAGAGCTGGGTAGTACTAGTGGACTGGATAGTCCTGGTTTGAGGATTTCATTATTGCCACAGGCCTGCTTGACCTCGAGATAAACATCTCCCCTTTTTGAATTTGAAATTTCAATTCGAAGAGATGACGTGCCTATAGGCATCCAGGTGTCAATTCGTCTAGACATAATATTTTCCGCATGAACTTTCTGAAAAGAGAAGAACGTCGTTCAATTTAAAATGGACAGGATCCAACTTCACACGTGTACATTTCGTGTACCGCAAATTGAATTTTGAATAAAAGCGAGAAAGTAAATATATCTAAGTATGGTGAGGGACAACTCTCACAAAAGTGAGGCGCCTTTGTTATTATTATTATTAATTTTCTTTCTGGTTCCAGGCAAATATAAATCAACAAACACGCATAGATAACAATGGCACCACATTGAGGAAGTAAGCAGGTAGTAAATATAAGCTTTTTTTGCTTTTAGTTCGCTGAGAAAATTCGGCAGATGACTCACCTTAAACACATTCTGGACTTGAGCCCACACCACAAAAGTGTCATTTGAAGCGAAGTCCAGGAGACTATTGAACTTAATTGATAGCTTAGAGGCTGTCTGACTGGTGACAGTCACGTTCAATCTCTGCCACTTCGAATTAGTCTGAAAGCCAATCCAAACATTAATCTAGATGTGATTAGCGGTACATTCAGGTATGGACTTTCAAAATATAATTTACCACTTCGCTATTGCAATTGTACTGAAATATATCTAATATTCTCAAATATGCTACTCAAGTTAGCATGGGCAACAATTCCCAAAACACTGACCAACAGAAGCTTATAAAGATCCATTCGTGGCAACAATGTGTTAAGCAGACCAAACCAAACACTGCAAAGGACGGTAAAGTCGCTCTGCAGGTGCTTCACTAGGGGATTCTGCCGCATCTTGCATATCCTTGTGTCAACGGCTTGTCACCGTTTCCAACTCCTTGCAAATAAAATGCTAAGCACTCATTTTACAAATCAAAAATCCGATGAACGGGCTCATCGACAGCAGACCTGAACGTTTTGATGGAACAGTGTTGTGGGAAATAACAGTGAGAACAATGAGTGAATGAATTGATTAATTCATTCACGGCTATACTTCGCACCAAACGCTGAATTTTTATTTAATAGTTCAAAATAGTGGACATTACCTACGCACTAACCTAATGGTATTCACAGTGATTCATTCATGTGATGAATTCAATGATATCACATCCCTACACGAGTGGTGTTGTCCTGCCTTAAGTAGGTCACTTATTATAATTATTAATAAAGTTAGCAAAGTCTATTAATGAAACCATTATACACTCCTGCAATTCTCATTACAAGTTTTTTTTCAATTTAACAATTAAAATCAGGAGGACCTCAAACGTATCGTCATATCGGCGAGCTGGGCTTATCAGCAGTGCTGCTGATAGAGAAATGTTTCTAAGTATGGTCCGTGGCGACTGATAATTCACCGCCGGCCACGCAAGTGACCAACCAGCCAGCAGGTTTAGAAATATACGCTAAACTAGAAGGTTAGCCAATTAAAAAGCTGTCTGCAGTAGCCAACAACTAATATATGTTCCTCTCCTTTATTAATATTTCACTGCTAATATTCGATATTGCTCGTGTACAGTAACCCTACTAAGTTTGATAGCATCCTCAGTTGGATAAGATAATCAAAAATTGAAACAGGCACCGAGCGAATTTCGAATTTTTAACGAAAGCTAACATACACGTACATAGCAATTCAAGCCAGATATCGCGCGGAAATCAAGAGCTAATCATTTCGGCGCTTCCAATATAATGAACTCTCCCCTGGTCCCTTGAATGTGAATTTTAAATGGGCCCATAATACTAACCATTAGGGTTATTGTCAAGCCGGTTGATTTTTTGCTGTTACCCAATATCATAAGAAGTATCGGCGTACCTCGCTGACAAATGTAGCCGGTAATAGGGCTGTGATTTATAAAATTCCATCCCATTCGCCACAGTCAGACTCCTAGAGGCTACAACGCAAGCTGTAGGTTCGCGAAAAAGAGTCCGAAAGTGTTTAAGAATTAATCAATGAATTCTTGACACGACTAGGCGCCTTGTGTGTATATACTATATACCCTAAGCCTTTTCTAAACTGCAGAGTTCCAGTTATATCTGCATTTAGGTAAAACAGGTATGGCTGTGCGAAGTTGGCTCCAATATAAACTAATAGCAAAAATAAAGAAAACCAAGAAAATTTATCCGTAATTCGTATGGTTCGGTTTACGATTAAGTGTGACGCCATATCGTGGGCTGATGGTAGTATATTTCAGTTTATTTACTCTTGTTGTGTCTAAGAAAACTGATTATTTACATGCGTTTATGACAATATTTGACATGAACCTGGTGACAGAAGTGTACTGCTGGGCCCCAACTTACTATACTATTATATTTGTACGGCAATTAAGACACGTTTGATCCATCAAATCATCAATAGATAGATAAAAATCGTCAACTTTATTTGATGCTCGTATTTATCGAATTACCGATGTCGCTTACTCTCAATGCAACAGTTCAATAACTTAGAAGCTTATTCAACAAAATAACATGCAGGGAACGAATCGAAGTAAAGTTGAGTCAGTATAATGCCCGTTGGTTTGCCAACGCTAAGCGGCTGGAACAGCACGCCACCTATCCAGAGCGTAGACATGGGGGCAGGTCTAAGGTAGGTTGAAGGTCAATTTTCACCAAACTACAATATACGTCGCAGATCTATTGGCGAACAAAGCCATGATACTTATCTAAGCAACACACAACTCGCCTTGGTCTACATGCTGTAATGTAGCCGTATCTTTTGCCACTTACAAAAGTCTCTTTGGTAGGTTTATCGATCATTCCATTTGGCTAAGATACTGTCGTTCTTAAGGTAATTTGACGCCGCGTTAAAAAGATATTCATACCTTAAGTTTCTTTCGAACTAAAATATCCCACTTTACGAAATGTGTATTCGTATATATGGATATAGATATTATCTTGCGCATATACTTGATCCTTGATATATCTCTGCAAAGATTTGCACTCGCACAGCATCGCGACTCACTAACATTTTGGTTTTGATAGAATAGAGTTAATGCGCAGGGTTTTAAGTCATATACTTATTGACCGAAATTTATGTACGGCTATGAAAAAGTTTCACCTCCTCCCACCGATTAAGTCGCTGTGTACCAGTAAAGCAATGTAGAACGAAATCGTCCTGCCTGATTTCTCTGGATTGATTCTCACATCGCCTTCCTAAGGATCTCTATATCAAAAACAGTGCACTTACACGCTTTGTGACAACCATTACCGTCACCTAATCAATATGCGAACAATGTACGTACGACACAATACTAAGACCAGTACTGACCCGCAACACGAATTTTAATTTGACCTTTGCTCTTGTCGGTCGACTATGCTTCGCGAGTTGACATCCAATACGCTACATTCGCCAGTCGTTGCGTCTATCAGAGGCTACAACCGCTGACGTCGCACCAAACTGAATACGCGTGCACGCATGCGGTTTGTAAGATGGGAATCTCATGCCAGATAATGTACTTCCACTAAAGATAATTCCAGGCAAATGGTAAAATTATTAAATTGGCGGAGCCCAATGGCGAACAAGTCCGCTGTATGTATATATATACACATGTAATAGCGAGTTTTAATTTTTCCTTCTTTTGTCGAATTCAATACTCGATCTCGTTCATCTAAAGTTGCTTCATTTTTGATGAACACCAGAAGCTTTTTTTAATTTAAGGTGTGCCAAAAGGCTGGCAACGCGTGTATATGTATATTCAATAGAATAAGATTCTAGAGAATTGTCCTAACGCTAAGTACAGCTATATCACTATAAATAACTAGGAAATATATTCTTATATTACCTTATATTACAAGTACCTATCTTCCCATAGATTGGACGAGAGTCAATGCCACATTTGTATTTAACAGTCGTAATCATAGTTCTATCATTGCTTACTTACACAAAATTATAACAGCTGGGTATTGTAGCTGTTGGCGGATCACCGTTATTCGATAGCTTATTGACTCCGCATCTGATTATCAAAATAGCCGAGTAAAATTAGTATTCGCTTTTACGACAATATAAAGTCTTTAATAATTACAAAAGCTTTGTTACAAAAGCTGTTACTTCAACGGACTTGCTGATAGCGCAAATCATTTGAATATCGAAAAATATAATGAAACAGTTTTTATTGCATAATAGTTTTATGCAAATGGCGACATGCTTGTCGAATAGCCACTACTTGGTACTGCTTAATGCCATCATAGCTAAATCAAGTTAGAACGACCACTTAAGACACATAATGATACATTTCGCAATGTCAACAGGAAACATTTGCTGACAACAGGGTACAGCGTGATGTTATGCCTGTAGCATCCTCTAGGGCGATGTGGCGCGTATTTGTAAGTCTCAAGTTTGGCGTTTGCTGCTTTGTGGGAGTCACCGTTCGTACAAATTATCGCACGCAGTTACGTACGCGTACGCATTCTTGCATAAATTGTTGCTCTACAAACAACAATATGAAACCACTGTTGTTTGACGTGATACACAAATACGGTCATGGAACAACTAATTGTTTTCACCTACCTGACAGTTGATATACGCAGAAGCGTTAGAGGTCGGAAGATAAATTTCTTGGTTTTCTTCCGTAGTGCAGATGGCATATTTACTCATATCATTCGACTTCTTGTACAACTCATTTTCATCATTCACAGCAACGATCAACCTAGCCACTAACGCGATTGTCAGCAATAGTCTCCACATTAGGTTTGCCATCACGCAGAGCAGGCTATGTCCCGTTTCATGAAATACCTACCCTTACCAGCCCGCATAAAAACCAAAAGACGATCCGCGACGTCCTGCTATCCTGTACAGAACACACAGACATACAGAACTTACACAAACACTCAGTGGCAACAAGTTTCCGCGTCAATCCTTGAGCCGAGTCCCGCCTTTAAAATCTACTTGTCTTTCCTTTTTGCATACTTGATGTCAGTCAACTCGAGGTGGGCGACAAAAGACTGTCGTTCAATGATTCAATGTGTTAATAAGTTTATGGAAACCAATGGAAATACTGGAAAGGTAACCGTGGTCGTAGTTGTTACGGTCAGGCCGTGCTATACCGATCACCAGCGGCAACAAGATTTGTTGTGTACGACAGCAACTCCGGAACCTAGACGATTCCAGAAATGTTGCTGCAGCGATTGACGACAAAGGTAGGACGGGCAACACGAGTTAGCAGAAACGTTCAACATGGAGACAACACTATTTTACAGCTGTAAAGACAGACTTTCCTATCATCTGCTGCAACAATAACAATAGTAGCTAACAATAAAATAGATTGGTGTACACGTAAGAGGAACCCTTTTTCCAGTGCACGCCAGAAATATGGAACTTGGCTAAAGAAGCAATAGACGTGCGGACTAGAAGACTGACTCCCGTGAAACCATACAATTACTACAGCGGAAGGAGGCCGCAGTAAATGGCTGACGCTCCAACAGCGCTAGCGGTTATCACCTCAGGTCGATGTCAACGCCGCTGCCATTTCATAGGTGGTACCGACTGTGACAGACTGGATTAAGGGAGAATCGTAGCAACAAAGAGCAAATCGTGCTGTGACATGAGAGAGCGGTCCGGCAAATGAACAACAAACGCTAGATGGTAATAAACAAAAACCGGCCCAAAAACCCAGACATGAGCTAGAGCTGGCTGGACATGACAGTGATTTGGTTAAAGATGGTGACAGGCAGAAAAATGTTTATGACAATATCGGAACCTGCTACATAACACAGATTAATATGAAAGAAAAAGAGCAAAAAAGATAAAGTCGAAAAGTAGAAATGTGGGAAAGTAGAAAATGTAGATAGGCTTCCATCAACCTTAACCGGTCAGCGTATTTTGAGCAAACAGGTCGCTAAGGTCGAAGTGGTATGAAGTGGAGCGAACGTACTGTCTAGCGGATTGCCTGGAGAAGACTTCCTTTCTCTACCTTTAACAAAGGCTTAAGTGATTTTCACAAATGTAATGGAAAGGACTCTCAGTATTTTTATTGTATTCGTTTACGGAATAAAGGAAGTTGGAAGCTGAAAACGCGAGTAATAAACCGAGGAAGGATGGAAAGAAAAAAAAAAAGTAAATGGGTGACAAACAGATTTGGAAGTAAGGCGAGACGAAAAGCGGCACGGATGCAAAAAGCTTTGTTTGGTGCATCAGTAATCAATTACCTAATATCAGTGAAATCGACTCTCATTTCAAGGCAAAATCGATATCATAAAATCGACACCTATTATATACTAAAATTCAAGCAAAATTTTTAATAGGTTCGCCGAAACATGTATCATAGCTGTATCGATAAGAATAGTTTAGTCAAATAAAAAGAAATTAATGTTGATGACGCACCATATTTTCTGTTATTTTCTTTGAAATTTTACTTGTATGAAGGGCTCCATAAATTCCTACATGCTCAGAAACATTTAAACTCGAGTGAATTTAGGGACCAGGAGAGTGGATAAGATAGAACTGTATTTGCAGCTCATCTTAATTCTGATTGAAATGGTAAAATTAAGCGGACATCACGACTAGGACGACGTTTAGCTTCTGACTATAAAAAACGCATCATCCTAGAGCTGTAAAGCCCAAGTCATGAAAAAAAACGTGCGTTTGAGCTTATTTACGGGTGCCAAGGTAGCTGTAGCATATATACTATTATTCAAAGATCCGAACGCGTTAGGAACTTTAAAATTGAATTACTTCAATTGACCAAATAGAACGTTAAATTTAATTAAAAAATGAATAAGTACACAAATCCACCTATAAATATTATAAACAACGATACATTTATCCAGCTTGAATTACAAACTCTGCGAATCTAGATAAAAAATCCAAAAATAGCATAGTATCTATGAATTCCACAAATTTGTATACATCGTCTCTTGGAAACCACGTACCAATCTGTTAAAGATGCTAGTTGAGCCCGAAAATAAATTAATTCTAACTTTATAATAAACTTTTTAATAAACTTTATTCTAATGTTTGTTACTAATTGTTAATAGATAAAATACTGACCCGAAAGTATATAGTACTTACCCTTACTGGTCTATACCAGGCCTCAGGCACGATTGCACCTTGTTGGGGGTACTGACGCTTAGAGGTTCCAACAACTATGAAAAAAATGTCCGTTTTAAAATGGATTCCTCATGTAAACTGGGGACGCTACTGAACTCTTACATATGTGTATCGTAATACTTTCTCGTGTTTTTTAGATTTTTATAATGGCCAAATCCCATGATGACGATAGAGACTACAGTAACCTCACTTAGTTAAACGAACGATATTTGAATAACATTAATATTACTAAAAAAAACCAATTACTATTTAATGATTCTGTTTTCCGAACTCTATGATTGCAATTTGCTGGAGGTTTTTTCGGTTATTAAGCACCACCCATCTAACTGAGTAATTATTGTCATAGTGGAGCATGATCTTCAAAAAAAAATTGAAATGTGTGCCTTTATAAAAATAAAAAAGTATTGTACTGAGAAAAGTCGTTTGAAAACCATATATAGAGTCGGTAATCGCGACCTATCTGTCTAGTCAATCACTCACTAATCTATAATTAATTATACAGTACAGAAAGTATTGCGCAAAATTGGAGCTTTTTCTGGAAGTTTTCACATTATGCTTTTCATTTTTTTATTTAAAAATACATTCAGTTTAGAAGTGTATTATGACACAAAGAAAATAAATTCTACAGAAAGAAACTCCAACAAACGGTTTCCATCATAGAATCATTGCAGGATCTCAGCTGAAATGTAATCGCATCTAAGTTTCTGTTACTTCGTCGTATTTTCATTTCCATTTAGAATTACATACCTCTCTTTAAATATGCATTTAGAGAAAATAGAAAATGAAAAAGAATTAATTAAAAAATGTACATTAAAAATGTAGAATTACAATCATTGATAGACTTTAAATTCTAACCCCGACAAATTTAACTTATCTCACTTTAAGAAGTCACCGAGTGAAACGCACCTTTATCACCTTAAAGATGACAGATATTTTGATAATTCTGAAGGTATATATACATACACAATTTATTATCGAAACGCCCGGGGCTGAGCATGGCAGCCGTGGCTATTTAGCAGACAATGCTCGGAACACAACACAGCGCCCTCAGAATTCGTTGCGTGTCTGGGTTTCAGCCCTCTTGCGTTCGTGTATGAACATGTTTGTTATGATGCCGTATGGCTGTCGACTGGTCAAAAAGCGGTGGCTTGATTGTGCTTTCCAATAGCAGCAGCGGTCGGTGGTTTGCGATGGTCCACTGGCCTAAGTGACGCTCGTTAGAATAGAGCTTCCCCACATTTACATTACATACATCTGACGAGCCGGTTTCTGTGCCGACGTAACAACAAGAACATTTTTCAATATGGCTGATTGTACGGCAGCTCGTAGTTGAGAAACCAACGGGAAACAGTTATTATGCCAGAATGCATGTATGCAAATGGATTCGATGTGATGCGTCAATGAAGTAGTTGCCAGTCCTGTGGTTAACAACCTCCATAACCTTCTAAACATTTTGGTCCTGCGTTGTATCAGACGAGTACTCCTTTCGCCGCAGTTTCTGATGAAACGAGAAGAACTTTTTGTCTGTGTGTTGTCGGTATATCGCACTTATTATAGGCACCTGAGGTAAACGTTAAGAACGTCCGTCTATCTCAGCCTTAATCACCAATTGGTATCCATGTGGTCAACCAAATATTTAAACTGGATGATCTTCGTCGAGTAATTCCTCTCCGAAATTAATAGTGAACCTGCATTGAAGTTTTTCTTAATAACAACCAACTCAAACAGCATTAGTGTCTGTGTGTGGGTGTGTGTTAACATTCGTTATATGGTACTAATGCGAACGTGCCCTCTACTACTGGTCCTTTTAGTATTAACCACACCAGCAATCGCAACAGGCCAGTCGTACCGTATATATATATAAATATACATACGCTCTTTCATTTGTAGTGATGTCCGGCTATATGAATTCGCCGTCACGGCCTTATTCCCCAGGCGGTGCTCCACCCGCTGGTGGAAATCCTTCTGGCCCTCCTGGAGCAGGCGCCCCTATGGGCTCACCGATGCGACCACAGATGATGGGATCCCAGATGGGAGGAGGTCCGCCTAGGGGCACATATCCCGCTGGTGGCTATCCACCTTCACAAGGCTCATCCCCCCGACCTCCGCCGCAGGGTTATCCGAGTCCTCGGCCATCGATGGGTCCCCCGCCAAGTGGCGGCGGTGCAAGCTACGGAGGAGGTGGCCGATCAGGTGGCGGAAGTGGTGGAGGCGCTACCCCTAAGCGGCCAGGCGACGCCAGGACGGGCCCAATGGGAGCTCGCCCCGGCGCTGGTCCTCCGCAGCCATCACCCCAGCAACCCCCCCAATCACAGCAGCAGCAACAGCCGCCGAAGAAGAAGAAGAAGCTCGCGGACAAAATTCTGCCCCAGCGGGTCCGTGACCTCGTGCCGGAATCTCAGGCGTATATGGACCTACTGGCGTTTGAACGAAAGCTCGATTTTACAATTATGCGTAAGCGGCTTGATATTCAAGAGTCGTTGAAGAGACCGATGAAACAGAAACGCAAATTGCGTATATTTATCTCAAACACGTATTTCCCAGGCAGCGGCGGACCGGCAGATCCAGCCGACAGCGGAGGCCCGCCTCCAACTGACGGCGCCGTACCCTCTTGGGAACTCCGAGTCGAAGGCCGCCTTCTTGAGGATGCAAAAGAAGGTGCCCCGAAAGGCCCTAAAAGAAAGTTCTCATCGTTTTTCAAATCGCTTGTCATCGAACTTGACAAGGAGCTGTACGGGCCAGACAACCACCTTGTTGAGTGGCATCGTACGCCCACCACAAATGAAACTGATGGTTTTCAGGTAGAATTATTTTACTTAGAAGCTCGCTTTTTCCTTATAGATAGGATAAGGCTATTCATATTATCCCATTTTAATTAACAGCTTTCAAACCAGATCAATTTGAAGGTACGTTATTTGATTTGATGACTGTAAATTGAAGGTACGTTAATTTATTGGTCTTTATAAATCCGGAGTCAATAATAAAAAGATACACAATGGCGCAATCGAGCGATGCTGGTTACAACAATTACTAAAGCTATTAAAAACCTGAAAGTCCTTTGTATATCGTCCCCTGTGAAAGTTTGATTTGTCAACCAATAGGGCACTTCTAATTTATATTAAACGTACTCTTGGATCATTCTGCTGCTGAAGTCCTGATATCTTCGCCCCTCCACTCTTTTCATCAATGTATACCAAGTTTAGGCGGAACGACCTGTCCTGACAACTGTCGGTATACCTAAATCTCTATCTGCAGGTAAAGCGTCCCGGCGATCGCAACGTTCGCTGTACCATATTGCTTCTCTTAGATTATCAACCTTTACAGTTCAAGCTGGATCCACGGCTCGCTAGACTGTTAGGTATTCACACGCAGACCAGGCCAGTGATTATAGCTGCTCTTTGGCAGTACGTTCGAACGCACCATTTACAAGACCAGCATGAACGCGAGTTTATCAACTGTGATAAATATCTCGAACAGGTAGGAAAAACTGAAATCTTGTTTAACTTAGGCTCCACCGAATGTAAAACATTTAGTTTCTATGGAAGACTGCACGGCTTGTTGTAGTTTCTATGAAAGACTGCATGGCTTGTTTTTTTTTTTATCAGGCTTCGACTTGCATTTTGTAGGAAGAGTTCGCAAAGATAAGGAGACTTGACGCATATGTTCTTCGGAATGTGGTCGAGTTCATGGACGGTAATTTCTCACGTCTTTTTTTAATTTTTTTAAGTTATTTAATATATTAAAATATTAAGATGATAATCAATGCATGTTTATTTGGTTCCGCTGATTAGATATTCCAGTGCTCACGAATGAAATTCGCCGAAATTCCGCAGCGGCTTCATCAGTTGCTCCATCCACCAGATCCCATTGTCATCAATCACCTAATTACGGTTGACCCTCAGGTACGTCGATAGACAAAGTCATATTTTTATCAAGTTCTATCATGTACACTTAGCTAGGAAATTGTTATGAAATTTCTAAATGCGAAGTGGCGCAGCTATATTATTTCTTCAATGTAACTAAAAAATAATCATCTGTTCATTGTGGAACGGTCACTTAGTATTATCATTATTAGTATTATAATCTATATATATATACACTACAAACCCGCAAAACTGTAAATTAAGGAGCAGCTATTTTTCTGAACACCTTCTATTAGCCGTGCGTGGAAAAAAATGGTAACCAAAGAGCGCTATGGTCATCTGTCCTGTAAATCTCCAATGCTCATACCTACTTGTTCATTGCGTAATCATTGTACCAGGATGTCACATCCCACATAAGCTTTGTTGATAAGCATACTTCAGAAACGACCGTTTGCAGAATGCTGAAGAATAAACCCTGTATCAAATAACCGTTCTATTAGACGGGTTTATTGTACCATCCGCGACAACTCAATTGTCAGACAATTTCTGTACTCGTAGATTCGTCTTTTGAATATGTATCTATTTAGAATGCTGTGGCCATCTTTTCGCACAAATTCTTCCGTTTGTTCCAATATTTTAGAAAAGGACACAGGTGCTACTAATTATTATCGTACAATAATAAACTCAGTTCACTCCTAATATACGGTTAATTTTGTTTGCTTTTGTTTCACATAGGACACCAAGAAGACCGCCTGTTACGATATTGACGTTGAAATCGATGATGCTCTCAAAAATCAGATGAACCAATTCGTGCTGTCCACATCAAATCAGCAGGAAATTCAACAACTAGAGCATAAAATCCACGAGACCGTCGAGACGATCAACCAACTGAAAACTCATCGAGAGTTCTTTCTATCCTTTGCGAAAGATCCTCAATGCTTTGTGAACAAGTGGCTCATATCACAAAGCCGCGACCTGAAGACAATGACAGACGTCGTCGGAAATCCGGAAGAAGAGCGCAGAGCAGATTTCTACCATCAGCGATGGTCAACCGAAGCTGTTTACCGCTACTTTTATGGCAAAGTCCAGCAGAAACGAGCTGAACTGGAGCAGGCACTGGGTATACGGACGTAGATAGATGAGCGGTAGTATGCACAAACGAAAAAAATGAGCTGCTATTAAAGCTTCAGTATATATATATATATATATAAGATGGCATAATGATAAAAAATTGGAAAAGCTAGACAACAGTTGGAGATCAGCTGGAATTTGTATATAATGATATATCTATTTGTGACTTGCGCCAAAAGACTGAGAAACTCTTATGCGGTTGCAAAAATAGCAGTAGCTACAGAACTCAAACTAGCGTGAAAACGTCACGTAAGAAAAGTGTTGGGGAGAACAAGTTACACAAGACGAAACCAATAAAATCGATGCACATCTCCGTAAAAACCGAAACGATCATGTACTATGCACGTATGTGTGTGTGTGTTGATAACGATTCAGGCGTGTAATTATAGTATTGATAGTAACCATTGATAAATTATGCAGATCCCATAAGTTCTATATATTTAACATATGACAGTGGATTGTACAGGTATTACTCTCTGCGAATATTGAAAATCAACTTGGGTACATGGCTACAATGCCCTACATCTTTTAAAGCTATTACCCGCTCTACCGGCCTATAATCGCAACTGTAAAGTATAACTTTTTATGGCCAAAAAGCTCTTAATTGTCTAAATGATATTTGATTGTTTTTGCTTTTTTTTTTTGCTTCTTTGTAAAAATGCTACGTTTCATTTACAATGAACTCCTATTCATGTATTATGTTATTCGGTCTGAGAATAGACCTATTTAAATCTCGGTATCATTTGTGGCAAAGCTATAATTATGATTATTATTATTAGTTCTTCCCCCAATCTCTTACCAGATTATATGAGATACCCTGAAAACCAGTGAAACCCCATATCCTGTAGAGTGAAATTTTAGCTGCAGATACCGTGATGACTGTTGGGTTTTACTAAAAACACCTCTTGTGACAATTGAATGCAAATGTCATATTGAGTGTGCACGGTTGGGACAAACAGATGCTGCACTACATACCTGAAGTGAAATTATTCTAAAAAGCGAGCACTTGAATTGCGATAATTCGATCATAATACAAGTGCACGGTTCAGAGTTCATTCCTGTTGCGATTGGGGACTTGCGATGCTACGTACGCACCCTTTAATATACACTATTAGTAACACAACAGTATACAGACCGACAAACCAACTATGATAAATTTTAGCAGTGAAAAATGTCGGCGACTGTGTAAAGACGAACGAAATACAATATTCATTTGAAGCACCGTCACCAATACATTATTATATAGAGCAGTATACTGTCTTGTAATGCAAATAGCAAAACATATGAAATTGCGTGTGTTACTACTGTCCCAGGAAAGAAACGACAAACAGAAGAAAGATAGAAAATTAAAGAACTGAAGAAAAAATTATCACAAAGGAAGATGTTGAAATAAATATATTGATATATTAAATAATATTAGAGTGGTGTGCGCTCTATTTATTGGGACAGCTTATTAATTCATTCTTATTAGTAATTGCAATCAGACGGTTTGTTTCGTACCCAGGACGGAGGCATCCATATAGCATAGAGCCAGCGTACTGCGTTAACGTGGAGGACGGGACATCGAAATACCTGGTACATGGATGTCATCTCGAGAAGAGCCCCCATGTTCTCCTGCTACGGCAGATATGCCTTGTTAGTGTTACGAGACGTTGCTATGTGTAAAACGAAGCTACAGAATATGTAAATTACATGATAAATAGAGAATAAAAAATAATTAACTTAGGGGACTCTTAATTTTTGGAAAAAATTAACTCCGTGTGCAGTTTTCAACGCGATGGTCTCTATGCTCACTTCGAACACATTTTTTCTACTTCTTAGTTTCACCTCAACGTCTGACAAACGAACATTTACAATATTTCTGAACTGCGCATTAGCAACGTGTGCAACCCTCATAACGATTTTGCGTTTGGTCAACATAAGTATAATTGTAAACACAAATAGAGTTATTTTAAATATCATTACGTTGAGTAGATGTTATCTATTCTGAACGGCCTTCCATAGTATCAAGTTTAAAACCTTATATTGGTGCCGAAGAAAGCCCCTTAAGAAATCGTTTCTATCCTCTACAAATTATTTTCCTGTTAATTATCTATATGTACTAAGCCAAGAATACTCTCCATGTATTTCAACTGATTATATTTCTGCCATCAAATGCTGGCCATTTCTATTTCCGATCGCTACGTCAAAATCTTCATCTAAACGCCTGAAGGCTAAGTATACTAGATGAGCGTATTTCGAAAGAGTTACATGCTCGACTCTTGGGTCAAACTATTTTTCGCATTCCTTTAAATTTGTGATGCCTTCACAAATTACTCTTTTGTCTATATATTGTCAATGATTTTCCCATATTTTTTTGTCCTCTAAGCAAATGAGGTTCACTCGGTGCACCTCAGTGCTGTGAGTTCTCTCAAGTAGTGTCATATTACTGCGGAAGTGCTCACATCAGTATCCTTACAAGGTTTACCTATTGGAAAGCATACTTCAAGTACGAATTGAAAAATAGCCGTTTGTTCAAATGTATGAAATAGACCATATGGGGTTCAATTCCGCTGTTTACTTGGGAAAGGCACCGGTCGCGACACATCATTCTTTAAACAAAGAAATCGAATGGATTATCAGGTCGACGTGATCAAGCCAGGCCAAAGACATCATTGACCTTGAAATATGCATAAGTAACACCACTTGTCTAATGCAAAGCTTACACCTTCCGATATTAACTTGCTTAATATTATTGAAAACTACGTACCTGTCTCGTGCTTTTAGAGTTAAGTAATAGATAATCAGTATTCAGTAGACTCATATTGCATTATAGATAATTTCTAAAACCACATTCGCAATTGCAAATTTGAATAATGCTACATAGCGTTACCTTAACGATTTAAGGTTTTTTTTAACTTAAATTGAAACCGCAAGGCATTAATACTTCTTATGAAAGCTTATAGCCCTCTTCGCTATACAGACTGATTATATATATATATATATATATATATATATATATATATATATATATGTATAACTACTTTACATTTTGAAGGATATCAAATAAAGGTTACATGCTGTTATTTATATAAAATGTTATATATAAAAATAATAGTTATAATGATGATAATACCTAACTTCAACGATTGGACAGAATAATACACTTAGTTTTTTTACAGCGCCATCCAACAGCATTTGAATCGCTTGCGCGTTGGTGGTGATTTTTATTAGGGTCTTTTTATTACTTGGCGGCAAGTGCAGGTGCACCGGCGGCCGCACCTTGAGCGCCACCCTGTCGGGGGCCCTGACCACCTTGGCCGCCCTGGCCTCGAGGGCCGTCCATAGAGGCACGAGTGAATCGAGGAGGCGGGTCACGGTCCTTACGCGCCGACTTTTTTCGGTTGCGCACAATTTTCGAATGGATAGCGCAAGAGACACAGTAGTGCAACTTGGCGTAGAGCTTTGGAAGGGGGTAGCTCTCGTAGACGGATGCTACCGTGATATCACGAACAGCAGCAGCCTCGACGATATTCCTGTAGAGGAAACAGCAAGGGAAAAACAGTTCATAATTATGAATATATATCTTGATAATATCATGTCACATCATTTGGGAAGCGAAATCGCGGAGAAGTCAAACATTCATTCGGTTGTATAATACCACTGAATTAGTTGTATGCCTTATGTTTACAGGCTGCAGGATGATAGTATTTAAATTATGTTGAAAGCTTAAAGTAACCTTCTTTAGAGGCTTCTTTAGAACTTTAACCAACTGTTCGTTCCCAATACTGGAAAACACAGCTGTTAATTTTTTCAACCTCAAAGATGCAATTTGGAAGTGGCAAAGAGAGGAGTATGAACTGTATATATGGTTCTTAATTTTAAGCGACTAAAACAATTCGCATACGAAGTTTTCCAAGTAAGACGCAGGTAACTATGCCCCTCTAAAAATCATTGTTTGTTATTCAGTTTATCTTTACAGCACGTATAACTGATATGAAGGTGTTAATTACACGACCCTATTTTTAGCCTCACTTCGGTCTCCTTTGTCACACAACTAATTAGCGACGTATGCATAAATGGAACTGTCAAGCCGCCTATGATTCCATCTCGTCCCAAACAAAGAATGGACTCCGTTTCAAACATACAAAATTGTTTTAGCGGTCTTAGTGCACAAGCATAAAACACGTGTATAGAAGGCTCTGAACGAGCATGAACGAGCAAAAAATAATATACCTCTAGCAGTCACGCTATAGCTAGGTAACGAAAATCACGCGTCGCAAGCAAGGACTTCATACACATAAGCATATCTCTATCACATATCCGCCACATATCGCGACTGGGAATGATAGGAGAATGATCAGAAACCAGAACTGTTTCGATTGGAAGTCCATGCGACGGACAGTCTGCTCTATCATGTACAACTACCGCCTCTAGCTGTATTGAACCAGCGGGAACACATTACCTGATAACAAATTTCTTGATAGCTTTGTCCTTAGGGACACACCGGGCGCAGTTCGTGCACCTCACGGGTTTCACGTGCCCCCTGCCGTGCTTCGAACGACCTCCGTTTCGACGTTTACACGTCATTTTTTCACACTTTCGTTACGAAACTTCTCACGTGCCACTAGAACAAAATGGCCGAAAGGCCGGAGTTCTCAATGCGTTTGCTGATGTTGTGCATACAAGCAGACAAGCCAGCCAAACTGGCGGGCAGAATTTCCAGCACTAATGGCTAATAAGTCTTGCCACAAATGTTTAACGCGAAATGTATCACATCACTTTTCATTTATTGAATAACGAAAAGTCGACTACAACAAAAATGAAGTCAAAAGCTGCCATCACTCCTGAACGCTCGATAGGCTACTGTGTAGTCGGTGGGCACTGTGCCGTCAACGCACAGAGCGCATATATTTCTTTTAAAATTCTTCAGAACAACTCCGCCGAAACGTCATAACCATTTTTTTTAGACTTTCGAAGTCCTATAAAGAATAAATTTGTCTAAGTTGCATGAATCAAACAACTTAAGCGTCCAGTGCCGTCCTCCGCCAGTTCTCCTCTCTTAGTGACGTCACAGCACAACACATACAGCATCAGCTGCTGTTTTGAACCGTCATAGACTATAGCAGAGAGCTTCAGTTGACCGTCGAGGCCAAGCCGTCTACCGGAGGAGTCGTAGAGTGAGCGTTGCTTGCAGTAGTAATATCGTCTTTGTGCGTACCGCAATTTTGCGGGATATTGTCAGACGTGCGGACAGGCTGCTCCCCCTCCTATTGCGTTCTTATACTCAATAAGATATTGAAACATTAATCTTCTCACGACTGCCGAAAGAGGATATGATTGAAAAGAAAATCTGGACAGAAAAATATCGATTGTCGGCGTCACTGCGGCCCGGGTGTTGTCAATTCGCAAATAATCCAAACTTACCTCCCATTAAAACACCTTAAGGGTCAGACAAAGAGTAAGAAAGCAGCTTGAACCCCAGTGAAGAGAAGGGGAAGAAGTCGGTTACTTGACGTTGTTTTTGCGGCTATAACTTTAGACCTCCATCTCATAACTCATTTCTCTATATACCTAGTATAAGTAAACATAATCACCCAGGGGTAGCGGCGAGAGGCGAAATTAACAGATCATTCCGATTTCGATTTCCACTCCCTACCCCCCACCACGGTGAGGAAAAAGGGCGACAAAGAACTCGCAAATGCTTTTCTACATCACAACAACAAGAACAGGAGAAGTGCTAAATAACAGTAATGGATTGTTGCGACAAGTTTAACTTTAATTGTCTCTCTATTGGTCAGGTCAGGGCGCTAATCGGATGTTGAGCAGGCAACCAAACGAAGGCGTAAACGTAAAAAAGACGATATGCTTCGAGAACGTGCAACAGCCGACTGAAATTTATCCAATTTTTTTACGAAGTATCTATTAGTTTTGGATCGAGCACTTGGATGCATGTGCCTACCAGATGTGTATATAAAGTGCGTGTGTGTATGTATGTATATAAATATAAAGAGTTTATGTATATAAATATATCATCACAGTTACCCATTTGTACCTATCTGATCCATAGTGTAGCGTGGTAGATACTAACTACAAGTTTATTCGTGAGAACTTCATAGGCCAAAAAGACACGTCCCGAACTCTCATTACGACGGATAATTACCTCAGTACTGAGCGAAACGCGTAGTAAACGCGTGAAGTCAACTGAACTGAAAGTGCTGTGGCTGGGTTGCACTGTTCCCCTTTGTTAGACGGTTCCATAAACGCTCAGGAGTGCTCAGAGGTGTCAGTAGAGACAGTATTGCCACCGGAATTCTAATCGAATCGGATTGCCTGCAACTCGTGCAGTATTGCTATTCAGTGGGTGGTCAACGTCGTCAATTTAAAGTGCCGATGCCTGTTTTCCCGTATCATCCATTGTGTGTTAAAAGGTAGTTAACAACGATGCCTCGCTGTGGATAAAATAATCTCGACGCTGTGTACCGCTCGCTGGCAGCCTGAGCGGACACAGCCGAACCTTGTGAAGATACAAGATCGATTTTTGCGCCAGTACAGGAAGCTAGGCGCTGGTATTAAAGTGTGTGCTTTCCGGCGTTACCCTTCCGGATTAAACTGAATCGAGCGCTGCCGCAGTTCCTGCTGCCATTGAAGATCGCGTCGCCGTATGACGTCGTAACTATGGTCAAAAGCGGATCTTCGATGATGGCCAAGACGGTAGCTGATGAGAGCAGCGTCCGGGTCGCTGTCAGGTAAGTCCGCGTCTCGCTATTAGGTTAAGTACGTATGCATTGTAGCGTTTAGCTGTGTTTAATACGTTGATCTGGTGGTTTCGTGGCATAACTGTTCATTTGTGTTGTGCGATATAACGTGACGCCTGAGTTAAGAGTTCTACTGCAATACTACTGATGATTTCGGTGATAGGCTCTGATGATGAACAAAAGCTCAGGTTTTATAAAAACTGATTTCGTGTTTGATTGGTTGTGGTAAACCAATATGCAACATTTCTGGGAACCTAGACAAAACGTTGGTGTGTGATGTGCGAGCTATGTAGCGACATAAAACCACACGAACAGCCTACTTGGTCAGACAAAGTATTTCCATTTAATGCACGATATATTAAAGCCGCAATTCACGCTTACGTCTTGTTTTTATTAAACCCCGAAACAACTGAGGTTCGGAATTGAGCCAAATTTTGGCGCGTAACGCACAGTTGGTTCGGGGAGTCGAACTAACGTAAGTATTCTGCCCGAGTTTTTTCCCATTTTATTTAAGCGGGTAATGAGCGCTGGGTGGGCGGCCGGAATTGAGTTTTGCCCTACATTCACACTGTAAACAGAGGGTGAGGAATGATACTTCCACCGAGTAATCTGATTACTAAATTGGCCCCAATCGTATTTACTTTAGCTCGGCGGGCCAAATTGGGAGCTTTTGAATCATCCTTTGCCCTTCTCGACAACTGCTAGATTAGGAACTTGTCGTCCCTCTGAGAGTAGTCGACGACGCAGACACATGTACGTATAAAAAAGGTGTACGTTTGTGTGTGTAGAGAACATCTAGACACAACTACAATATATAAAAGCGGTAGATATGGAACAGAAGGAAATATACAAGATACCCCGTGGTACAGACGTTTTTTCAGTTATCGTTTTAGCTTAGAAAGCGATTGCTTTTTCAATTAGTGAACTACAATGCGAAACTAGGTCATTAATGTATGGCCTCTTAGCTAGAGGCAGAACAGTGAATTGGCAGCGAACTATAGGAACATGAATATTACAGTATGAAGAGCATCTATCCCCCGCTATCAAGACACAAAATCGCTATCTTTAATTGATATTAGTAATGTATACGTTCTGCAATAATATCCTAATACTCAATAGTAATTTTTAAAATACGGGACTTCTTCGGTGACTGAGCCAATCCGAAATCTCCACACGCAATCATGTTCGTTCCTAACAAATCGTTGCTCTACAATAATTGGGTTAACAGTAGTCCTGTAGTCGTTGTTTCCCCTTTTGATCATCCCATCAATATGGTGATATATATTCTATGTGCAGCTATATTCTTTCATTACTGTTATTTCGAAAATTGCTACTGTTCCGATATATCTATGGATGTATTGTGACAACTGAGGCATTTTGTCTCATTGTCGATAACGTCAACACCATGTTCCAGACTATGTATCATTCGTATACAATATAGTCACACATTAATGTCGTCAAAGCGTATGCACACAACAACCAAATTGATTTCTTAATCTAGACATTACTCGGTGTACTAGATCCAGGATAGAACGTTTCGAGGATAATAAGCTATTATTTTTATTTACTATTAATGTTTTTATTATGTACACATGCTGTCACCAACCATGCGCACTGCTTATACCTTAGCCTGATATCGAAACAATGGTTTTATCGTTTTCGATTCAGTAATTTTCATGTGAGCATGCTCTCTGTAGTAGTAGGTCAATTAAAAAGGAAATTGATGAATTCATTGCAGAAAAGTTAGTATCGAGTGAACGGTAATAATATTGCCAAGAGATCGTAACCACCAAATAGATTCAGACCATTTCATATGAGTGGTCACAAAAAGGCTCCATATTTGAATGCTATACTAATTGACAAAGGAACATCTTCGATCGCATTTCCGTCTGTGGAACTTTGCAGAAACATTACAGAATCGAGCCATCTCGAAAGCGGTTAAAAAAGATCATTTAAAGTAATAATAATATTAACAATAAATAAAAAATCAGTCTTTGGTGTAATTATAATTATTAATTCCACCAATTTGTGTCAAAGCCTGAACTGACATGAACGGTGATTACGTGTATTTGGTGGAATCAGAAAAGAATAGCGCTCTAGTATGGCTGCCGCCTGGCAAAGCAATTATCTACCAACAACAACAGCTAGCAAATTTTAGGGAGGTCAAATGGGATATTTCAATGCGTCCGTTATATAGCCCAGTTTGCGCATCATCAGACCACATCTCGGTCTCTATTCTATAATAGTGGTGTTAATTCAGTTTCCACGGAGGGATGCAAAACCCAGTTCTTCACCTACGCCCAGAAACTACGAAGTTATACAATGATTAGGTTAGTGTTACCACGAAAATAGCAGACAATGATCTATCGAAATATTTTACGCTTTTAGCATTGGGATATTATTTTGGCGTTAAAATACGCCATATACGCGAAAACTTAACTAAGAAATATTCTAGTCAAGTAGCCCTATGAACGAATATACAAACTGTAAGGAGTGGACTGGACCGTTATCTGTCCGTACAGCGCGTGTTTTCTTGCCCTGAATGACGATCAACTATGGAAGATAATATTAATCAGTTAGTTTGTTCTATTTACCTCACCCGCGGTCATACGCAAGGATCAGCACTCTCGTATGAAATAGCTGGGCTCTATGGCCGGATATAATAAAAAAAATTTTCGGAGTTGTTGCCGTGATCAAAGAAACTCGTGAATATAAGTGTATTGTTACGGTTATATTAACTTACTATAGACTAGTCTCGTCTCAACAGAGCGATTGAGTACAGTTTGTCATATGTCATATGTGCACAGATTCATTTTACCGAAAGACACGTACTTGAGATTTTTACCTGCACTTGTTGTGTGCATGTTGTTGGTTTTGGACGTATATTGTACAGTGCTTCGTGATAATGTAGCGAATATTGCTCAATGATAATTTCAATGTGCATGTAACCATGTTCACCGTAGTCTTTACGTCCACTAAAAGCCATTCTAAGGTTTTTTATGAATAAGTTTTTTAACTTATTGAAACGTTTCGCTGGTGAACGCAAAATGGCGCGGTGCTAAAATACTCTTTCTGTATCCTATATACACTAGCAGTGCACGTAAAAGTTGGTAGTCCTGCTAATTATCTTCGATAACAAATTTGCTCCTATTAAGAGTTGTCTATAAAAACACAGAACCTCTTAGGATGAGACAATCGTGTTGGGTTCATCCACTGAGGTTCATTTCATTGTGAGCTGCTGCAGTAAAGACGTGCGAGCATTGAAAACGGCCGTACAACCCGTGGGAAAAATGGAGGCTCATGTTCCACTTGATGTGAAAACCTTACGTTTCCACTGACAGAAAGCATTTTTTATTTGGTTTCAATGGTTACCATTGATATTCAAGAATTTTTTTTATTAATTAATACGTATTGAAGATATCTTCTAGGACTTCTTAAACCCTAGAAACTACCGATAGACTCATTTAATGCATCATAAAAAAATCAACGTTAAGTAGACTCTGAAATGACAATATTCGTTAGGGGAAGAGGTAATGAAGTATACACATGTAGTGTAATTATTTATTTATAAACTCGTTTTGAAAAACTCAATTGGAACATATTTTTAATCCCGCGAACAATGTGCTCTCCCATTTTTATTTGCTCTTTAGTAGTTGATTAATGAAGGTAGCCATCTTCACGTCCCGCCTTGAGAGTCCGTTTACGTCGTGGCTCGACAGAGTGATTTGCACCTGAAACAAATTGTGGACAGTTCAGTTATACATCCTGAGATGGAAGTTATACATCCTGAGATGGAGACGAAAAGTACAGGAGTGTGCAAGTGGATATATCTTCAATGGCTTTGCGAAGACCATACCTAGTAGTTCTAAGAAACCGTACCACGTAATTGACCACTTGTTCGTTGGTAACCGGTGATCATCAAAAAAAAGAACGGGTTAAAGGTAGTCTGTTGTTGGTGCCGTGCTCTAGGTTGGAGTATCTTCCGTGGGCAACCCTCCCATTCAAAGGGCCCGATGCACGGTAACAGGGTGTTTCGGTGCTAAGGAAAGGCGGATCGTTCCACTGAAACTGCGCCACTATTCAGCTTCGTCTACTATAGTGGCTGTTTACTGTCACTAGAATATACGCAGCTAAATACATTGTCCTATAATTAAGATTCTCTAGTTAATCGAAATCGATCAAAGAGCTGCTTGCCCGAGTAAGGTCAGTAACAATATAAAGTAATAAGTAAAGCCCCTCCGGTAGAGAACGTAACGGAATTCCTTTTGGCTCGGACTTTTATCGCTAGCATACTCAGAGGGTGCGCAAATGACAGTGATGCTTTTTGCTGAATGAGTTCCCCGCACAAAGAAAATTACCCCCCCCCCCTCCTTTCCGTTTATCCAGCAATTTTACCAATAAAATCGACCAGCCTTATTCTGCCGTTCCTTAAAATCGAAGGTAACAACAAATCTTGGCTGTGAAAACACTGCTGTGTTTTGACTCGGTAATATATTACAGGTATGTTGCTGTCGCTGTTGTTGGCATATTAGTGTGGGATTTGCTCTCCGGTGCTCATGAAGAGTGCGCTCTTTGTCCAGCGGCCACGACGTTTGATGCCGTAAAGTAGTGACGTTACCTTCCTATTCAACCGGATTCGAATTTTAGTCTTCCTTGAGACGCTGAGGTGATGCAGTTAACGGCAAGGTGTCATATCGTTACTCACTGTTACGTGACAACGGCAAACACCATATTTAAGGCATTCTCACCGATAAATAGATTAGTAGCAATGCAAGCGAGATTTGCCTCCAGTCATTGTACGATCCTTTGGAGCACGACTTAATATAGCGCTTAATTCCTTACTCTTTTTCTCCTTCTTGTAATTTTGCTGTGATGTGTTATGTGGCGACACCTGCTTAAATTCGATTACCTTGCAAGCATACTATAATTTCCAAAAGGAATTCCGTTACGTTCTCTACCGGAGGGGCTTTACTTATTACTTTATATTGTTACTGACCTTACTCGGGCAAGCAGCTCTTTGATCGATTTCGATTAACTAGAGAATCTTAATTATAGTTTCTATACTTTCGAACGGGTTAACGAGTCATATTATGAAACAACCCAGGCGAACTAAGCGCACATTCGCTATGTTAGTATATTTGTATCCTGTTTATCGTGACACACAAGCTAATTTTTGTTGACATAACCGAGAAACTCGACGTGGAAAGAGGCTCATTTGCAGCTTAGGTAGCGGCTGTCGGTGTCACAAAAGTTGGATAATTGAGGGATATGAATATCTTCTGTAGTACGAAAGAGCCAAATTTGATAAACGCCACCGGTGAGCAGTCAAATTTGGTTTTTGGCGACGTCTTTACCCTTTAGCTTAACGTTTTCTTTCATCTAATGTGTAGTATTTTACACAGCTTGCCTGTTTGTCTTCAACGAGCGCCAAGCAACTCCTGCTACTTTTAAGATATTGCATTGCGCGTCGCCAAGTTTGTGCGCTGTGTAGTCAATGAAGTGATTGTTTCTAATCAACTTAAAAAAAACTACTACAGCTTAAAAAAAACTACTACAGCTTAAAAAAAAACTACTACAGCTTAAAAAAGCTAGTACAATAAAAACTAGTGCAATTAAAAAAAACTAGTACAACTTTGAAAAGAAAACTAGTACATTACGACATTGAAAAAGAAAACTAGTACATTACGACATTGAAAAAGAAAACTGGTACATTACGACATTGAAAAAGAAAACTGGTACATTACGACATTGAAAAAGAAAACTGGTACATTACGACATTGAAAAAGAAAACTGGTACATTACGACATTGAAAAAGAAAACTGGTACATTACGACATTGAAAAAGAAAACTGGTACATTACGACATTGAAAAAGAAAACTGGTACATTACGACATTGAAAAAGAAAACTGGTACATTACGACATTGAAAAAGAAAACTGGTACATTACGACATTGAAAAAGAAAACTGGTACATTACGACATTGAAAAAGAAAACTGGTACATTACGACATTGAAAAAGAAAACTGGTACATTACGACATTGAAAAAGAAAACTGGTACATTACGACATTGAAAAAGAAAACTGGTACATTACGACATTGAAAAAGAAAACTGGTACATTACGACATTGAAAAAGAAAACTGGTACATTACGACATTGAAAAAGAAAACTGGTACATTACGACATTGAAAAAGAAAACTGGTACATTACGACATTGAAAAAGAAAACTGGTACATTACGACATTGAAAAAGAAAACTGGTACATTACGACATTGAAAAAGAAAACTGGTACATTACGACATTGAAAAAGAAAACTGGTACATTACGACATTGAAAAAGAAAACTGGTACATTACGACATTGAAAAAGAAAACTGGTACATTACGACATTGAAAAAGAAAACTGGTACATTACGACATTGAAAAAGAAAACTGGTACATTACGACATTGAAAAAGAAAACTGGTACATTACGACATTGAAAAAGAAAACTGGTACATTACGACATTGAAAAAGAAAACTGGTACATTACGACATTGAAAAAGAAAACTGGTACATTACGACATTGAAAAAGAAAACTGGTACATTACGACATTGAAAAAGAAAACTGGTACATTACGACATTGAAAAAGAAAACTGGTACATTACGACATTGAAAGAGAAAACTGGTACATTACGACATTGAAAGAGAAAACTGGTACATTACGACATTGAAAGAGAAAACTGGTACATTACGACATTGAAAGAGAAAACTGGTACATTACGACATTGAAAGAGAAAACTGGTACATTACGACATTGAAAGAGAAAACTGGTACATTACGACATTGAAAGAGAAAACTGGTACATTACGACATTGAAAGAGAAAACTGGTACATTACGACATTGAAAGAGAAAACTGGTACATTACGACATTGAAAGAGAAAACTGGTACATTACGACATTGAAAGAGAAAACTGGTACATTACGACATTGAAAGAGAAAACTGGTACATTACGACATTGAAAGAGAAAACTGGTACATTACGACATTGAAAGAGAAAACTGGTACATTACGACATTGAAAGAGAAAACTGGTACATTACGACATTGAAAGAGAAAACTGGTACATTACGACATTGAAAGAGAAAACTGGTACATTACGACATTGAAAGAGAAAACTGGTACATTACGACATTGAAAGAGAAAACTGGTACATTACGACATTGAAAGAGAAAACTGGTACATTACGACATTGAAAGAGAAAACTGGTACATTACGACATTGAAAGAGAAAACTGGTACATTACGACATTGAAAAAGAAAACTGGTACATTACGACATTGAAAAAGAAAACTGGTACATTACGACATTGAAAAAGAAAACTGGTACATTACGACATTGAAAAAGAAAACTGGTACATTACGACATTGAAAAAGAAAACTGGTACATTACGACATTGAAAAAGAAAACTGGTACATTACGACATTGAAAAAGAAAACTGGTACATTACGACATTGAAAAGGAAAACTGGTACATTACGACATTGAAAAGGAAAACTGGTACATTACGACATTGAAAAGGAAAACTGGTACATTACGACAAACTTTTAAAAAAATGCTAGTATAAACTTTGTACTTAAAAATATACTAGTACAATTTTAAAGGAATACTTGTACAACAATTTGAAGGCTAGTACGACCAGAAGAAGGGAAGTCTTGTTTTCGTTATGTTTCTCTTAATCTTTGTAAACCTGCTAGGTAGTCCCAAATTGTCAATTCAGCCTTGTTTCTATTGACTGAGTGCAACTGATGAGTGAGTTTAGATGTTTACGCATGTCGATTCTTATTCCCAACTATCCCAATCCATGTTAGCTTAACATGCATTAGGAATCTGGTTCTGTAATCAATAACCCGTAATGCTAATCGCTAACTGCGTTCCATAGATGTAGTCAGACAGTTCAGCATTGCATTACCAATTTTGATTCTAATACAATCGACGCCGTTTTATAGTCGGCGTAACAGTGCTTTCTAATGGTTGTGCCAACTGGCGCCGGATGCGTGACGGTTGGTCTTAAATTAGATAACACGGTAGCAATTCTTGGGCCTATTCATGTACGGCACTGTTAACCGAGTACATATCGGACGTCTCTGACGCTGACTGTATCATACGCGCTACCTATTGAAATGCAGTCTGTGCCACTATATATCTAATTCCTCCTCAATGAATAATTTAGATGGAACTGCCTTGCTTGTAGCTGGCAAATTGATTAAATTTTATTTTTTCGATTGATTTAGTTCTTAGAAGAATTTTTACTACTACCACTTGTGAAATAGAGAACTTGTTGCAACTGGTCAGTAGGCTTCTTATAGTAATCCTTTACGCACACACATTTACGCATATATACGGCTGTAGATTATCTGTTATAAGGAACTGCTCATCTACACACAAAGATAGTTGCCGTAATGCTCGACGAAAACTAGCTACCGGAAAAAAACTAGCGACGAAATGCTAGGACGAAAACTAGCGGAAGAACACAGGAAGTTCACTGCCGGAAAATTTTCCCAGTTTACCTTATTGTAGACATTGAACCACTCTGGATGATGATTCATTTTTTCTGCATGCAACGCTACGCGGCTCATGAATCCGAATGCCTCATTGAAGTCCTTGAACATCACCTCCTTGTATATAGCGTCACGTCCTGATGTAATTGTCCAACCCAAAGCCAGCAGGGGCGCTAGCTCTTCCGTTCGCTCCGTAGGTTTTAAGGCGTCCTAAAAATAATTGGCCAATGAAATTGGAATAGTATATAAAGCACTTGAGCACTATATCCGAACGACAATAGATCAAAAGATGAATATACGTTGAGCAATCAGCCGTTAAGTTGCCATTGTTATCAGAGTTGCTTCTAGCTTACAGTCGAGTCGAAGCAATAATTCATTCTCTGTAAGTCAACGGCATTTTAAAAAGCTTACCTAAAAAATGATTACAAATCAGGGGAGTCGGTCACTTCCATAATCGTATCTGCCTAATGCTCTGTTTTATAAAGATATTACGAATTAAAATTCCATTCTATATGAGAGAATGAGAATAAGTCTTTGCTTCAAAATTCCGTTTTGAAAGTTGTTCGCATTAGTTTCCACTGTCACTTTGATTTAAGCTGTGTTACCCCTAGAAACAACAATGTATGTACTGTTGTGCTCAATTGTATTACATTTAATGTTGATCAATCCAAGGAAAATTTAGCAAAGTCTCTAAAGGGCCTCTATGAATGAATGTTATGCACAACGTTCATTTTCACCCGCACCCCTCTCGGTCACGCAATGCACAAGAGAATGACGACGAGAAAAAACCGACGGACTTCGCGTATTATCGCTCAAAGATGCAGTTCTCAATCAGACCCGACAAACATTCTAATAATCGCCAGAAACGGTATCTTACAGATGGAAAGCAGACATGGCGGGTGTCAATTGACTACTCTGGCTGCCCACTAAGTCAAAAAAAACTGTGGTTCACTGCTCTAATAGAAAAACACCGCGCATTAAAATTCGGCTCTTTTTAACTAAGTAAGTGTTGAGAAACAACTAGAAAAATTGAATCAGAAATTTTACGTTGACTATAGTTTTCGCAATATTTTCGGCGATTTTCAACGGGACGAATCTCTTCCCGGTCGTGACTAGCCATATGGCAAAGTAACAATATGTAGAGACGCTATTATTAATATTACATTAGAAATACTACCACTATTATGATGAAAAATATCAGTTGGATGCAGTATCTCGAGCGAGTAGGAAACGTGAGGCCGAATTTGCTAGGTCCACGTAGATAAACGTTTTTTTTTTTATAAAGATTTTTCGTATCTCTGGGACTGTACGCATGGGTACATTATTTTTCAGTGGACGGAAGCATGAAATTGGATTGGGAAAGCCGTTCCGTAGCGCGTGCAGTTCACGGACCGACTGTTTATACACATATATATTGTGATAATCTGTGTTTTTGGCTAAGTGCTATTTTAGAGCACATTAGACCAACGAATATCTAGAAAAACTGCAACATTTGGTAAAGCGTTGTTATAGTCAATACGCGTTATATAATAGCTACCTAGATATATTTAGATTGAAAAGCGTCAGAATAGACTCAACTGCATAATCGAGTTTACAGTCTGAAAACGTAACTTTTTTTCAGTTCTGCGTATTCCCATTGACGAATTTCGAGTTGGTCCTTATTCACAGATACCAAATGCAAATGTGAGCAAAACAGCATTTGTGAATGTAATTAAACCAACACGCATGTCCGGGTTGATATTCTATTTACCGTACTTTGGAGCATGACATAAGTGCTCACATCGTCGGCATGGCAACGATACATGTTATGCAAAATGTAGGCACGAATTGCTGGACACCATTGACAAACTGAACTTAACGTCAGCTCCTTGAAATATGTACATCCTATCTGAGGACGTACATATTACGTTAATATATACTTTACGTTAAAATCAAACCATCAAATATATGAGAACCTACCATGTTGTGAATCCTGCTGGAGTGTAATGCACGTCTTCGTTCACGCACTTACTGCATATACGCACCGTCGGGTCCCGTTACTCGTTGAAGTGACACGTCATCGGTCAGATGCGAAAAAAACGCTGTTAAATAACAGGCTGTATTGTTAGGGTGCCGGCTATGATTGCAGTCGATCGAAATGACAAGGTTATTGCTAGGAAAGTTAGTTTATTCTCGCTCACATAAGTGCAGGGCAAAGTGGCATTTTTCGGCCAGCTCAAAGTGTCTCGATCGAATTATGTTATTTCAGTCGATTTGTATAAAAGCAGGTGTTTTATTTTAATACTACGTTAATTCTAAAATACCAAAAAAATGTACCATGCGGCGACTAACATTTCGCTGTAACTTTTGGTAATAGCTCTTTAACAGCTCTCCAAAATGTGCGAAGTGCAAAGAATCCAATGGAATTAGAAGCAAACGAAGATCCCACAGGCTTGTACAGCAGACTGTGCAGTAATGGTTGCAAGCGTTGTGTGTGATGAAAAGGATGGAGGACCCTTTCCACCGTCTGTGAAACACTCACTGATAGGCTCCAGAGGTCGGCCAGCTACTGGCCGCTGACGACAAGCAAAAGCACCGTCAACAATGTTAAGGAAAAAAGACAATTTGCTAGCTTCTCCCGGTCAATATTGTCCACCAATGTCGGTCGGCAATCTGCGTTACCTCGACGAGGGATACGTTCTACCGTATTAGTGAAGAGACACGCACACACTAAAACCTTGGAGTTAAAAGACGCAGTAAGTCCTAGCGGCTTAGGCAGGAGAGTGGTTATCAATTTCTGGTTGTCGACCGTGTTTGCTTATTTTTAGATAGACGAATACTGTACGGTAGCTTCCGAAACCTGCGCGTTCCCACAGGGGTTCGGCCGTGAGGTGACCCCCCTCCAGAGTAGAACTTATCGGCGCGGACATCACATCGCTACCGCCCTTCGTATCTTTTTTTCTTACTAGATGTTCAGTTACCTGGAAGGACATGAGGTTCGTGGCACGGAAGAAAGGTCACCTAAGCAAATAAACTCACCAAGGCAAAGGATTCTTTCAAACTTTCCTATACTGTATTATATATAATGAAGATAATTCAACGACATGAATGAGACAACGAAAAGCTGGGAGAAGTCAGAGAAGTTCAAGCTTTTACATGGGTTCCGGGTAGAATACCTGAGGGATTCTCTATAATAATATTGATGATCACTCTGGTAGTCTGTGACTAGGGGGTTGTCAAATGTGGGTCCGCTCTGTGAGGAAAGGCTTCAGAAGTTAAAGCGCTGAAGCTGAAGCACTGAAAGTGCTTGAGCCGAAATCGATTAGAAAATGGTAAGCTTAAACTGATATAGAAAACTTGTTTAGTAATTAGAGACCACAAGAAGTGAGTTGTCATCGATTTCGTAGCGATGGAACGTTTAGCGAAATAACTGCATGGCCAGCTATTTGGCAATTCTTTCTGGAATCTTAGGCGTATAGTGGCTGCTGATTTTGTTAGTACTATGTTATTAATACAAGCTATCTAAAAGGATTTTATTTGGCAAACAAGTAATCTAGTATTATGTCCAGTTGCCAGAATCGTGTTGGAAGGCAGGGTGTCATACGAGTTTGTCTACCAAGGGTTAAAGCCATGTTTATACCGGAAGAATCCAGAACAACCTTGGGGAATTGACTATTGTCTTTAGTTCCTCCAGATAATATCAATCGTGTATAAACAGAGAAAAATATCTACCTTGAAATTAATTAAATACGAATTATTATTATTATTATTATTATTATACTATTATATATAAATAGTTAATAAACGCAAACCAGTATACGAACAGTTCACTGGATAGTAGGGAGTCGGTTAATGTCGTTCGTGCTTCCGTCCTAGAAGCGTGGCTTGGTCTTTACAACAGACGTAGATCTGTTAATTAGCGAAAAAGCCTCTTCTATAACAAAAATTATCATCCTGCCTACACGGCTTTCTATGCTTTGTTGTTTTAAAGTTGTATTATAGTCGGTTCGTTAACATTGTGTACCTCAGTTAATTTATCTAGCTTAATTAGCTGAAATGTGCACCTGATAATTACTGTCGCCGTTTCACTAATATAAATGTGTGGTAGTTACTGATGGCATGTGTGTATGTATAATTGCTTTATAAATTAAATAAACCAAAAAAATGGGAGGTAAAAAGAACCCAATAGGTATACATACCTAACATAACTCTTTAACATACATTTTTCAACATTCTTTCTGTCGCGCCTAAACCCTCGATGGCATAATATTTGAGCTATCCATTGTTGTTCTCCTTTACAAATAGGATTGATTACGTCCAAACACGTTTGTTACAGTTTTGCTTTACTATAGAAGTATCGTCACCGAATGTCAACATGAACGCGGGGAAAAACGGGACGGTAAACAGGACGAATGCAAATTTCAACTAGATTATCATATTCTGAAGAAACAATCTATTTGCCTGTACTTGCATAATATGTTAATCTACACAGGGGCGATTAGTTGGCACTTTATACATTGGCTGTTAGCAGTGACTAATTTGTGCTCAATGATAAACAATGATAGTAATAGCTAGCAGTAATTTCCTGCTGCTGCCAGCATGTACCATCACTGCGCGGAACGGCGTAAAACGCAGGAAGTTTTCTCGATCAGAATCCATTAGATAGCTATTTAAGGTTGTGTTTCGCTTAAGGCGCAGACGACGCTTAGGGCGGAGTAAGTAATATCCTGCCATTGGCGTCCATGTTGTTGTTGTTGTTGCTGTCGTCTGCACCATTGATGGAACTCGGAGCAGGAGATGAAACTTCAATATTGATAATAATAATAATAACAACAAAAACAATAGTAGCAGCAAGTTAAACGCCAAGTTGCCCTCGCAGGTTGGATTAAGTTCAACCATCACCACTCACATGCGTTGACCTCCATAGTATGGTACGACAGCGCAACGGAATAATTACGTTGCGTATCTGCTTCATCATGTTCTGTGTTGGTGGTGAAATTCGCTGACCATACGGCAACGGACCACGATTAAACACAATATTGTTCATAATGATAACGGCAACGAGTATGTCCACGTACATATAAACGACAAAGATTGGCGAAAACGACAACGATAATAGTTGTATGGCTGTTGCTAGTGCTGCTTCATTGCTGTTACACGAGTGGCACTGCAGACATATACGTTCACTACGTGCACTTTAGGGTACGTGTATCTGTTATTCGGTGCCTGTACGGGTGTCCTGTACTTCGGGGAACGGGGGGAAGTAGATACTGACAGCGCCATTGTATTTCTCAGTAGCGGTAGAAGAGTCGAAGTGGAATCTGTATTCGAAGCTGTTTTGATGTGCGTATCGATTCTGCGCGGATAGAACCCCTTTTTTAGTCAATGTGATCGGTACAGTTTGTGGCCATGTATACGAATAACAGTGGATTATACGCGGACGCTGAATGCGAAGTCCGCTGTAAAATAGCGGACTTCGCATTCGATCCGAATGGATCCGCCAAATTTACAGAAGACAACGATTGCTTTTTGATTGTTGTTAGCAGGGGAAATCCCTCGGTGTTTATCTGTTCAAAACTGTTTATTGACTGATTTACGGATTTCACTACAATAGAGCGAATTACTGCTCTCTTCATCTATTCAAACAGCTCATTACGGTGGTTGGGTCTATTCTGGTCGAAAAAGATCATTTGTTTTGGCGATTTAACTTTTGAAGATTGGGTGTGACTGCTAATGATTATTTACGCAGACATGTTTGATGTCCGTCAACTTCACAAAACACAATCATTCGACTGGCAAACGAGTTAACTGGCTGCCTTTTTTTAGGACAGAGTCATCCATATTCCAATTTTATCTTTATTTATATTTTTTAATTGTCGTACAGTTTCACCGTTCCGATTACACGGAACTGTTTAAGCAGTCAATTAGGCACGCATAGTATCCATACTACAACATAACAAAAGTTGTGCGTATAGGAAAATCTAAGAGCGCCTATCGACTTAACTCGTAGTACATACATAAGCATGTAGTTGAAACTGCTTTTTCTTTTGTTGGAACATATTCAGCCATTTCGGTGTTCATTGATTACTAGATCTCGACCGTTGTTGTTTAGCGCGGTGCACTTACTGGCTGACTCATTGCTAGCGATTTGGCTGCCGATAGCCGAACCCACGTTGCCAAAGCGTGTTCAAATTTGGCCGGATTCCTGCTGCACCAAACCCAATTTAATGCGTCACTTCCGGTGCCAGAGAAGGTGGTTCCGGTAACTGTGGCCGAAGCACCAACTGCCGTCGCTTACCAGAATTTTTTGACTCACTGTATCAAACTCTTCATAGACAAGCGCACAAAATCATCAATCGTGTACCGCTGGTAAACGACAGAAGTTCTACATGTTGCCAACGTCCTTTAATTTTATTCGATTTGCTGTTGCCAACAGAGTAGCCAGTAGCCAGTAGTACTAGTAAACGCACGAATGGTTACGATAAAGGGCACTTTACAAAACAATGCCGATACAACAACAACAACAAAAACAGCAGTATTACGAACTACCGCGGAAGGAATCTATACACTGTTAAGTGCACATCTGTCGTTACGGTCTTTTGTAGTCAAATCTACTTCGCACCGCAATGGGTCAAGTATCGCTAATGTCTAGACATGCGCCTTCGTAGCTAAAAGCTGGTCTGATCAGTCCAGTGATTAAAGACCGATACGCGAGCAGAATGTCGGCTACTTTGTAATCGCAGGAAGACGGGTGACAAATTTGCACCAATGCCTGCGTAGCACAGGCATGTCTGAAATATTTGACTGGAGATGAGGCAAGGTTTAATCGTCGGGTGGACTTTTACCCAATCACAAAATGGTTCCCGGAAATACTACGTTCAGTTTTGTTCCGGTGAACATTAGAAACGTCCCATTTTATTCCTACAATATTTTTCTCTATGATTTTTGCATAAATTTGGCTATTGAATAGACGAAATAGTTGTAGAAATAAGTGAATCGACGTTGTAGGTAACGTCGTTTAGCGGACGATTAAATAACGCGTTTTTGTTTATTGCTGATGCTTTTAAACGCGGAACGTACATCTGACAAGAACAAAAAGCTTCTAATAGATGCCATTACTGCTTATATATGTATGCTGGTCAGCGAAATACTTTCGCTTCATCCACTTCATCGACATGTAAAGACATCTGCCAAGCTAGATAAACATACATACGTAATGTAGGCTAAATAAATAGTTGGAATACGTTTTAGTTTAGGCCGCGTAGTGAGGGGTCGGTTTTCGAGTACAGCTAATTCCGGCTTGTCATGGAACCTCGTCGAAGCTGAGTCGGAACTGCAAAGGGCTTGGAGAGTGAAAATTTCGTATATTTTCAAACAAGGCTCTCGAGACACCGTCACGAGTTTTTGGCCCATTATAACGAAAGAGTGTTTGCCGCCTAACTGAGATTATTTAGTTAGCCGTTTGGGAGAATGAGCAGATGAGTTACGATATAGAAATGCTCCCTTTAAATGGAAGGCGTAAGGCGAGTGAGGCTACAAGTTCCTCCGAGGAGCTCTTCGGTGAGTTTTGCAGAGAACCGAGAGGTTGCCTTGAGAATTATGCACTGCCTCAAAGGACAATGCGTTGTTTCATTGAAACTGCAAGAGTGCGTGGACAAGCACAAGCATGTTTATTCTAATAGTCTTCATGTAGATGTCGTGCCATTTACAGCCTCTATACAGCGTCTATATAGACGCCCTGTAACTGGCTTTATAAATCTACATTATTTTTTGGCTAACTCAAATATAGCGATTCCTATCGAACGGTGTTAGAATACCAATATTCGTGGCATGCTCATTAGTGGAGAATCTGCATCCAGAGGTACAGTGCACAACTTTTAGCCTTTAGCTCAATATCGCCGACACCCACTGTGAGACCTCACAGCAAGTATGGTAATTCAGATTTCACTC